TCTGGTTGCCAGCAGGTTGTCCAAATGAATGGCCATGTCCACCAGTTCCGAGAAGGACAACATGGTGTCACGGCAGGCTAGCTCCCGTCGGACGTCCTCTCGCAGAAGGCACCGGAAATGGTCGATCAGGGCCCGCACGTTCCACCCGGATCCAGCTGCCAGTTCGAAACTCCAATGCAAAGATCGAAGACCGCCCGAAAGAGGCGAGCGAACTCCCCGTAGTTCTCCAACGCGGCTCCTCCTTCGTTCCACACAGCGTTGGCCCACTCCAGGGCTTTCCCCGAGAGGCAGGAGACGAGGGCGGACACCCTCTCCCGCTCCGATGGGACCGGCCGGATGCTGGAGAAGTAGAGCTCCAGAGAAGGAATCCTTGGCACAGCGCCGCTGTCCCGTCGAACTCCCGTGGTTGGGATATCTGGATCCCTCCGAGTGCTGGGGTGTAGGTGGCGGATTCCGGTTGGCCAGCTGGTCTCGACGGATCGGGCTCTCTCGTCTCCAGGCGTTGGACGACCTGAAGAACCCGATCCATCGCTTCACCCAAGCTGGCTAGCATAGTTGAATGCTCCTGGACCCGTTTCACGACTCCAGGCATGCGCGTCTCTCCTGCTGACTCCATAGCGGGTGGGTGATTCTGTGATGAGGTGGTGTTGAAGGGTGTCAGGCGCAGGAGGGTAAATCACCGAATAACAGGCTTTAATCCGCAAAATACAGGTTTACGCAGAAAACAGGGCACAAAACAGGCGCACTGGAAAATACAAGGCACACGGGAAATACTCCCGTCGATACAAAATACACGAGCTCCACCGAGCTTCACTAACCTCCACAATAAACAATCACCCACACAGACAAAGAAGCAGAGGGAACACTTATACAATGACTAATGAGGGAATAAGGACCAGGTGTGTGTGATTGAAGACAAGATAAATGGAGTGATGATAAATGGATCGGCAGTAGCTAGTAAGCCTGGTGACGCCGAACGCCGAAACCTGCCCGAACAAGGAGGGGAGGCAGCCTCGGCGGAAGTCGTGACACAAGTAGAAATCCAATATGGATGGTGTTAAGAGATAGATGGGAGGGGTTGAATGGAGCTGAAGGTTGGGACTAATAACAACTAATAACAACAAAATAACCAATGTAAAACATACTGTGTCCATAATAAATATATAGGTTGAGAACTTTTGTGAAAAAGAGCACAGTTTGGGGGATATGGCATGTAGAGGCAAACCGGATGGACATCATGAAAATGATCGGAGAGGTTAAGGGTAGAGGAAGTTCAGGAGTAAAAACAAACAAAATAGAATTATTGTAAAATTGACTGTGTCCATAAAATGTATATACTATGTATAAACTGGAAGTAGAGGCCGAAGCGTTGTTGTTCATTGGTTTACTCCAATTAGGGGAAGGGTGGTGGAATTGGAAATTAATAAAGGAAAATAAATTTTAAAAAAGGATATGTATATATATGTATTTATATGTATGTATGTGTATATGTATGTCTGTATGTATATATATATATATATATATATATATATATATATATATATACTGTATATTTGTGGGGGGAAAACATATGGGGGATTGGAAGTGATGCAGACAATTACATTGATGGAAGTTACAATCTATCTGCAATATTAAAGCTGATCTACCCTTAATATATATATATATATATATATATATATATATATATATATATATATATATATACAGTGAGGGAAAAAAGTATTTTTAATCCCCTGCTGATTTTGTACGTTTGCCCACTGACAAAGAAATGATCAGTCTATAATTTTAATGGTAGGTTTATTTGAACAGTGAGAGACAGAATAACAACAAAAAAATCCAGAAAAACGCATGTAGAAAATGTTATAAATTGATTTGCATTTTAATGAGGGAAATAAGTATTTGACCCCCTCTCAATCAGAAAGATTTCTGGCTCCCAGGTGTCTTTTATACAGGTAACGAGCTGAGATTAGGAGCACACTCTTAAAGGGAGTGCTCCTAATCTCAGTTTGTTACCTGTATAAAAGACACCTGTCCACAGAAGCAATCAATCAATCAGATTCCAAACTCTCCACCATTGCCAAGACCAAAGAGCTCTCAAAGGATGTCAGGGACAAGATTGTAGACCTACACAAGGCTGGAATGGGCTACAAGACCATCGCCAAGCAGCTTGGTGAGAAGGTGACAACAGTTGGTGCGATTATTCGCAAATGGAAGAAACACAAAAGACCTGTCAATCTCCCTCGGCCTGGGGCTCCATGCAAGATCTCACCTCGTGGAGTTGCAATGATCATGAGAACGGTGAGGAATCAGCCCAGAACTACACGGGAGGATCTTGTCAATGATCTCAAGGCAGCTGGGACCATAGTCACCAAGAAAACAATTGGTAACACACTACGCCGTGAAGGACTGAAATCCTGCAGCGCCTGCAAGGTCCCCCTGCTCAAGAAAGCACATATGCAGGCCTGTCTGAAGTTTGCCAATGAACATCTGAATGATTCAGAGGAGAATTGGGTGAAAGTGTTGTGGTCAGATGAGACCAAAATCGAGCTCTTAGGCATCAACTCAACTCGCCTTGTTTGGAGGAGGAGGAATGCTGCCTATGACCCCAAGAACACCATCCCCACCGTCAAACATGGAGGTGGAAACATTATGCTATGGGGGTGTTTTTCTGCTACGGAGACAGGACAACTTCACAGCATCAAAGGGACGATGGACAGGGCCATGTACCGTCAAATCTTGGGTGAGAACCTCCTTCCCTCAGCCAGGGCATTGAAAATGGGTCGTGGATGGGTATTCCAGCATGACAATGACCCAAAACACACGGCCAAGGCAACAAAGGAGTGTCTCAAGAAGAAGCACATTAAGGTCCTGGAGTGGCCTAGCCAATCTCCAGACCTTAATCCCATAGAAAATCTGTGGAGGGAGCTGAAGGTTTGAGTTGCCAAACGTCAGCCTCGAAACCTTAATGACTTGGAGAAGATCTGCAAAGAGGAGTGGGACAAAATCCCTCCTGAGATGTGTGCAAACCTGGTGGCCAACTACAAGAAACGTCTGACCTCTGTGATTGCCAACAAGAGTTTTGCCACCAAGTACTAAGTCATGTTTTGCAGAGGGGTCAAATACTTATTTCCCTCATTAAAATGCAAATATATTTATAACATTTTTTACATGCGTTTTTCTGGATTTTTTTGTTGTTATTCTGTCTCACACTGTTCAAATAAACCTACCATTAAAATTATAGACTGATCATGTTTTTGTCAGTGGGCAAACATACAAAATCAGCAGGGGATCAAATACTTTTTTCCCTCACTGTATATATATAAGAAACCTTGCATGCATGAGATAAAATATAAATAATAAATTACTTATAATGTATTCATTTGTTTACAATGTGTCCAGTAACAGTCCATCATGAGCTGAGAAGCCACACTAACTTTTTTGACGTCACACCAGCAACAACTGTGCTAATCGTCCCGGAGGTTACAGAGGAATGGTTGATGTTCTGAGAAACAAGGGACATTTTGGTAGGTCGAGTCCCGGGGGTTTCGAATATGGAGGTCGAGAACGGGAGGTTGATAGGCGTCAAGTACAAAAATGGAAAACAGTATTTCAGTAGCTCGGAAGAAAACATGAGGAAGAAAGCGGAAAAGTTGAAGAAACAAAGGGGGAAAGAGCCTGGGACAAGAGAAGATGTTGAGAGAGAAGTACAAAAATGGGAAATCGTGCTACAGCAGTTCAGAAGGTGAAACTGACAAGAGGAAGATGGCGGCAGGGTCGAGGGAACAAGGAAACAAGGAAACGAGGATGAAGAGAGAGGATTAAACTAATTTTAATGGAGGAGCGGATTCGGAGCTGCAAGGTGTGGAGGTTGATGTGCCTGTGAAGAGTGGGAAGAAAGGAAAGGATGACTAAGGTGATTCTGGCCCAGTGGGAGTGAGATTTTTGGAGAGAATGGATCCTTGCCTTCTGGCTGATCCATATGTGTTGTCCGGTTGGGTAAGAAGAGTTTGGGGACTGTTTTTATTTTATTTTATTTTTATTTCACCTTTATTTAACCAGGTAAGCCAGTTGAGAACAGGTTCTCATTTACAACTGCGACCTGGCCAAGATAAAGCAAAGCAGTGCAGTGCAGTAAAAGCAGTGCAGTAAAAGTAACTTGAAGTGGACTCGTGATGATTTTTTCAGTTTCTTCCGTCCAGAGGGAGCAGGCGCTCCGCACCACACCCCTAGGGACAAGAACTGTGACTTGCTTTGATCTCTGGAGCATTGAAAGGAGTGATAACTGGGGTGGTGTTTAGGGTTGAGGAGGATCAACTCAAATGGAAGATTCCCGGTGTCTGTGACGCCCGCCGTTTAGTGCGACGCAGACCCGGTGGAGAGCGTGGTGAACAGAGAAGACACTGTCTGTCCTGTTAAGTTTTGATGCAGAGTCTTTACCTGACAAAGTCAAGTTAGGATGTGCCAAGCTTATGGTCATGTTGCAGCAGTGTGTAGGAGGGAGATTCCTAGATGTGAGAAGTGTGCAGGAGGGCATGAGACAAAGGAATGTGTAGTATCGGTGGAAAATTTCTGTGTGTTAACTGTAGGGGTACCCATAGTGCTGGAGATCAGAAGTGTCCGGTGAGAGAAAGGCAGGTTGAGGTTGCCAGGATCAGCTCAGTGTCAAATGCTGAGGCAGTGAAGGGAGTAGTAGAGGAAGATGGATCCAGAGCGAGCGATGCTGAGAGGCTCCCTGTGAGTAGGCTGAGGCTAATAGAGAGTGATAGGAATAACATGTGCTTCAGCAAAAGTTGGTTTATTAAGGTTATTTTCCTCCCAGGCTGCCGGCCTGGTGTAGGATCAGATAGGGCCAAGTAGTGGAATAGTGGTAAGGTTTTAATGGGTGTAGGGTTAGTTGGTAGGGCAATTTGTATTCCCTTTTCACTGGCCTAACACTCCAGTACAATAGGTGGCGGTATGTGCACCTCTCGGTTGCGATCTGCCAATGCACATTTAAAGAAGTAGAAGAACAGCTGCGCTTTTATATCGCAAAGGATAATGGATTTCTACTATAGCGACATTTAATGCACCGTTAAACCCCACCGACGACGACGAAGAAGAAGAATGCTACGGAAGTGAAGACACCCACACCGTGGATGAGAATGGTCCAAGGAAGTGAATGAAGTTTACTGCAACGCTAGTTAAGGCACACATTTAAATAATGAATTGTACATCCCACAAAGAGGGTAAGTAACAAGGTGACTCGATTAAGTCATGATTAGAAAAGGAGCTAACTCTCAGCTGCTGTTCAGCTAGGCTAGCTATGTCAATGAAATGTGGAAGGAAGCAAGCTAGCTAGTAAACCTGTCGTTGCTAACCAACCTGATCACCTGCGTCTTTTAACATTAGCATAGGTTTATTGTTGTTATTCGTCATCATCGAGCTAAGTTATTATCTCGTAGTGTAAGGAGACGCAATTATAAGTTAGCTAGCTAGTTATTTATAGTCAGTCAGTGCTTGACAGCCAAGTATCTCAAGGCTAAATTTCCTACGATGTTCCTGACATGTTTCCTACTCTGACAGGTTAACAAATGGATTTCCTCACGCTATTTGCTATCTATGTGGTGGTTGTGCTGACCTGCATTGCCTTGATTTGTAAATATTCTGGTCAGCAACAAACTCCTTTTGGTTTACTTTTCGACTCCTTGACAAAGGTAAGACAGACTGTACCAAAGTACGGCACTTCTCGAAACGTACACAAGGTGGTGCTTTAGCGCCATAGTAATTATAGCCATAACCATAGATGTTCATTTATGAAAGTATGCTCTTCTTTTGTTTGACAGGTAATAGCACCTTGGACACCACTATGGCTTCAAAGCTTTACACAGAGGACCTTGCACAGGCTATTTCATCAACGGTAAGTGAACCTGGAAATCACATCTTTTTTTTGGGTCAACCAAGAGTATTCTGTTCTTTCGACCAATCGACTGGTTGACATTTTAAAACGTGTAGTTTTCCATATATAGACACACCCTATGTGTTTTAATAAATTCAACTAGGCTATATGTAGGCTACTGAGCTTGTCTGACGCTTTAAGCACACTGTGATTAAATAATAAAGACACAAAAATGACTCAAGAGGGAGCCAGAGATCAAGATAGCCTAACCAGAAGAAAAAAACCTGTTCCCGAACCACCACCTCCCACTGCTGCTGGACTTTGCAGATTCTGGCAATACCCTCCCGAAATCGCAGGTAATCGGCAACCTTTTCCATTTGGAGTGCCAATTTATCTTACCATTTCTACCGATCTGCGTGCCAGTTATGATTTTCAAATGCACATTTTCGTGGAACAGTTTCATTTATTTTATAATAAAGTCTTCATATCGCAAAATTATTGTCATGTGATTAATAAACATGCTATCTAAATGAAAATGAGGCTATACAAATCTAAAAGTAACTTCTATTGACATTGCCAACTATGTAAAAATAGTTTACATAAAGCCAACAAATAAAAACATTGCAGCCTGCAGGTAGAAAATATCCCGATTTTAAAAATAAATCACATTGGTTACGCATGGCCTTTCTGCAAGGAACTTGAAACATTGTATCAACTTGGTCCATCCAGCCCGAAGCTTGTGCTAACAAACTTGCAACATAGTATAAAATATTTTGGACCCTCAGTTTCCCACTCCAGTGAGCTCCAGACAGACACAGCTGTAGGCTATTTGTGCAAGGGATACGAATTTCAGGTAGGCCTATTTTAGGACGTTTCCACCTGATCAGAGAATGACTTTTTTTCTCTTTCACACCGAGTGGTTATCGAAAGGGAGAGAGCTGGGAAGATTTTTCCAATAGGCTACATTGAGGAACTATTGTCATTCTCAATGGATGTAAAAACAGACTTCGTTTACTTGCTGTTTTGAAATGAATACTTATTTTTTTGAGAAGCTCTACGGCTCATTTGTGGTGGTGAGTTAAGACAATCAGAAATACTATCAGATCCCCAAATGGGCACATTTTATAAGCCTACATTTGTGTGCAGGCCAGGTAGCCTAGGCCTACTTCTATGCATAATCAGGTGCGCGTCCTTAATCAACATTGACAGGAGCGCTCCAAACAAAACACAATGGATAAATTGACAACTCGTAAATGGAATGAAACAAACCAAAACTGTTTCTCACAAGTGTAGCCTAGGTTGTGCGCTCTGCAAACAATGTGTCCACTCTGACAGTGAGAATTGTAAAAGACTAATAATATATTGACATTAACAGAAATTACGGTAACTAAACAAACATTGTAGATTAGAAATGATGGGAATTAACGGTAAATGTACTACTGGTGATACTGGTGTGCCATCCCCGCGGCCTCCACAATGGATTAGTCCACTGAGACAGGCGTCAATCAAGACATGGCAGAATTAATTTATTTTCTTTGCAACTACCAACAGCCTATCAACCAAACAATCAAACAGTCGACTAAATGGGGTCAACCCTAGTTTTGATAAATTGTTCTATTGAATAGATTAAAAAAACACTGTTTGCCATTGTCTCTCCTCATAGGAACAGCATGTTTATCTATCTCCATATCTTACTGGAGGGGGCCGTGTACACAGAGTTCACCTATGAGGTGTTTGGATACTGCAGGGACATGGACACCACTCTCACCAGCCTATCTGTGCCTTATGTTCTACTGGTGGTCAAATCCTGCTTCTTCTACCTCTGCATTAGAAGGGAACCTGGTAAGTCAACTATAACCCAGACCAGGGCCTATTTAGTAGACAGAAAATCACATCAACATAATACATTACTATCTGAAGTGAACGTTCTGTAAAGTTTCCTCCTGAGGAATATCATGACGCCTACTGAACAGGCTCCTGCTGGTCCTTTTATAAACTCTTATGGATGCACATTGTAATGTGCAATACAATCCCACCATGAATAAAATTAAGTAATCTCTTTCTCTGTAGGTACAGTTACAAAGAAGCGACATGCAGGTCAGCTCCAGGTATACCCATATGACAAGAGGATATTCTACCCAGGAGTCTGCTGTCCAACCTGTCAGCTGGTCAAACCTGCTCGCTCAAAACATTGTAGTAAGTGTAGTACAGGTTGGCCTTTGGTTTTTTAGCCACAGGCATTAGATCTAAGGCTGTGTACTGTACCTCTGAATGTCTACTATATAGGCATAGTACCAGGGGCGGCCTGTTCAATAGGGCGATATGGGCGACGCACTGCCAAACGGGAAAAGGAAGGGATTTTTTTTCTAATCAATTATATCACGGCAACAGTAGTTATCAGTGTTGTAATCTATACGTCTGATCTGCCACAGTGCCACACTGCCACTAAATGTCGAATCAGGCTAAAGTCGTGCTTCAAATGGCTCCCCCCCCTTTTGGGGAGATTTCAGTCAGGTTGAAAATCGCCCAGAAGTCTGTCATAGACTCCCATGTAAAATCTATTTTTTTCAAATTTCAGAGCCTTCAATACAATCTCAATGGGTGTCTGTGGGCTTGCGCTTTCGTCATACGTTACGTAACCATGAACGTAACTGAGAAAAGAGCGGATTGTTTGAAAGAAGTTCCTTTTTGTCGGCGAACAAATGAAGATAAATTGGCAACGAAACAATTAGGACCTCCCAGACCAAATTTAATAATTCAACAGGTTTCTACTAAAGGCGGAAAGTCCTACACCCGAGGATTTTCCAAAAATTGGTACGAACGAAAAAAGACATTGCCACTCACTCAACTGGATGAGGGATACAGGCTAGCTGTCCGCCGCCACAACGATGAGGTTAGTGTTGATAATCACAAGTTTACTGGAGAACTGAGACCAAGTAGAGACTTTGGACAGGGTGGATATGGTATAATAAAGGCAGTTTATTCAGAGGTAAAGATATCTGGAATCGCGTTCACGGACCCGTTCGTCAAACTCTTAGGGAGCTATAAATTAAGCCCCATTACTTACCATATCAGATAAGAGAAATTGCTGCAGCTACATATATTTTACATCCTGGCCCTACATAGTTCACTATTTGCATCACTTACCAAAATATTACATGTGGTCATATATGCTTGGAAAGTGGAGATGCCATAGAACGTCAAAAAAGTAAACATTGCTGGAGACACATTGCCGTTTTGGAGAAGACATCGCGTTTGCTAGCGAAGAGATTTGTTGTGGCAAATGAACTTGGGCTGGGAATTGCCAGGAACCTCACGATAAGATATATGCATCAGCATTGCGAGTCTCATGATTCTATACGTATTGCGATTCGATACTGTGATTTTATTGCGCACCATATGTCTGTTGCAGAGGGATCAGAAAGCCATGAGAACGAGTTTTGATCAGTCATGGAAATAAAAGTGCTGAAAACAAATTGGCTCCCAATGTGAAAAGATTGAGAACAAGCTATGAAGGAACAATAATGGTGTTTTGGTGCAGGTACAGCCAACTAGCGCTAAAATATTGCGATATTGTCAATACAGTATATCGTAAAGTATCACTATGTAACTCGATTTCTTTCACCCCAATCCCTCAAATTAACGGTAAATAACTGAATTGTTTGCCCCACATTTAGCTAAGATGATTAGCTAGCCAGCTAAAATGTTTTATTTAGTTAGCAGTCGCATCTACAATAGTTTACTGTCAATAACATGTCTCCAAAAATGACGTGGTGTCTCCAATTGTGTTGACATTTTACAATTGCGATGCGCATCCATGAGTATCCACTTTCTGTAGCTCAGCTGGTAGAGCATGGTGCTTGTAACGCCAAGGTAGTGGGTTCGATCCCCGGGACCACCCATACACAAAAATGTATGCACGCATGACTGTAAGTCGCTTTGGATAAAAGCGTCTGCTAAATGGCATATTATTATTATTATTATTATTATTATTATTATTATTATTATCTGAAGAGAGCCCCGAAACATTGTGTGCAGACATTTTATGCAATAAATGAAGTAGGTTGAATCTAGTAGTTCTGATCTTCTGATTGGTCCTGATGAGTTGGGCGAGGTCCCCTCCAGGCTACTGTCACTGTTGCATTGGCTCTGAGTCGGGTTCTCTGTCTTCAAATGTTCAGCCTAAGAGAGGGGATTTTTGTGTGTGTGTGTGTGTGTGTTTAACAGTGATGATGTGTGTGTGTGTGTGTGTGTGTGTGTGTTTAACAGTGATGATGTGTGTGTTTGTGTGTGTGTGTGTCCTCAGAGCAAGAACTCGTGAGTTGGAAGAACTGAGAGGCCTATGGCGTGGGTGTTGTCCTTGGCCACCTGCTGACAAGGCTGACAAGATAGGACCCTTTTGTCCATTGTTATTGGATAGGAACAGAACTTATAACCAGCTCCTGACCTAAATAGATCTTAGCACAACATTTTACTCAACATATCATATTCCATATTCACTATAACAAATATATTTACTACGACATTAGCAAGAACCGCCACATCCTCAGCCGGCTAATCCAGTGTGTGAAGTTTTGCGGAGTGTTTGAGTTAGCTTTGCGAGGCAAAGATGAAACTGAGGGCTCCACCAACCCTGGTAAGCCAACACTTTTGAGATCAGTCAATAAATGCTTCTGGTATTGACTTATATGCTGCCCCTGTCTTCATGTTGTTGCTGGACATATCTTTTTTAAAATGTGTGTAGGTCACCTAAATCATCAGAAAAATTGCCCCTCCTGAGAATTTTTTCAGGAGCCGCCACTGCATAGTACAGTCTATAAAGTAGAATTCTCGGAACAGCGTATAACATCCTAAGATACAGTGAGGGGAAAAAAGTATTTGATCCCCTGCTGATTTTGTACGTTTGCCCACTGACAAAGAAATGATCCGTCTATAATTTTAATGGTAGGTTTATTTGAACAGTAAGAGACAGAATAACAACAAAAAAAACCAGAAAAACGCATGTCAAAAATGTTATAAATTGATTTGCATTTTAATGAGGGAAATAAGTATTTGACTCCCTCTCAATCAGAAAGATTTCTGGCTCCCAGGTGTCTTTTATACAGCTAACGAGCTGAGATTAGGAGCACACTCTTAAAGGGAGTTACCTGTATAAAAGAAAACTGTCCACAGAAGCAATCAATCAATCATATTCCAAACTCTCCACCATGGCCAAGACCAAAGAGCTCTCTCCAAGGATGTCAGGGACAAGATTGTAGACCTACACAAGGCTGGAATGGGCTACAAGACCATCGCCAAGCAGCTTGGTGAGAAGGTGACAACAGTTAGCGCGATTATTCGCAAATGGAAGAAACACACAATAACTGTCAATCTCCCTCAGCCTGGGGCTCCATGCAAGATCTCACCTCGTGGAGTTGCAATGATCATGACAATGGTGAGGAATCAGCCCAGAACTACACGGGAGGATCTTGTCAATGATCTCAAGGCAGCTGGGACCATAGTCACCAAGAAAACAATTGGTAACACACTACGCCGTGAAGGACTGAAATCCTGCAGCGCCCGCAAGGTCCCCCTGCTCAAGAAAGCACATATACAGGGCCGTCTGAAGTTTGCCAATGAACATCTGAATGATTCAGAGAAGAACTGGGTGAAAGTGTTGTGGTCAGATGAGACCAAAATCGAGCTCTTTGGCATCAACTCAACTCGCCGTGTTTGGAGGAGGAGGAATGCTGCCTATGACCCCAAGAACACCATCCCCTCCATCAAACATGGAGGTGGAAACATTATGCTTTGGGGGTGTTTTTCTGCTAAGGGGACAGGACAACTTCACCGCATCAAAGGGACGATGGACGGGGCCATGTACCGTCAAATCTTGGGTGAGAACCTCCTTCCCTCAGCCAGGGCATTGAAAAAGGGTCGTGGATGGGTATTCCAGCATGACAATGACCCAAAACACACGGCCAAGGCAACAAAGGAGTGGCTCAAGAAGAAGCACATTAAGGTCCTGGAGTGGCCTAGCCAGTCTCCAGACCTTAATCCCATAGAAAATCTGTGGAGGGAGCTGAAGGTTCGAGTTGCCAAACGTCAGCCTCGAAACCTTAATGACTTGGAGAAGATCTGCAAAGAGGAGTGGGACAAAATCCCTCCTGAGATGTGTGCAAACCTGGTGGCCAACTACAAGAAACGTCTGACCTCTGTGATTGCTAACAAGGGTTTTGCCACCAAGTACTAAGTAATGTTTTGCAGAGGGGTCAAATACTTATTTCCTTCATTAAAATGCAAATCAATTTATAAAATTTTTGACATGTGTTTTTCTGGATTATTTTGTTGTTATTCTGTCTCTTACTGTTCAAATAAACCTACCATTAAAATTATAGACTGATCATGTCTTTGTCAGTGGGCAAACATACAAAATCAGCAGGGGATCAAAAACTTTTTTCCCTCACTGTACATTGTTACATAATAATGTATAACTGCCACTATTATTGTCTCTAAACTGTATTTAATAGCCAATGTTTTCCCCTTGTCTTGTCCAGGAGTCTGCAACAGGTGTGTGCAGCGCTTCGACCACCACTGTGTCTGGGTCAACAACTGCATCGGCGCTCAGAACACCCGGTACTTCCTTCTCTACCTGCTGAGTGTGTGTGCCATGGCAGCAGACATGGCACTACTGACGGGGGACATGTTACTGCACGCTGTGGTGCGCTCAGGCATCCTACAAGGCCACTACGTAGATGATGATGGGCAGCAACAGCAGGCAGGGATGCTCTTTGTCATACAGGTAAAAGACTGGACATACAGACACACACACACGAGGATGTTGGTGCCTGATGTTTCCATGGAGTTAGTTTTTCCTTCTGCCTGTTTTTCCACAGCAAGTCGGATTTAATTAATTTAAATATGAATGTCATGAATTAAATCCTATCTAGTTCCATTAATGTGCCAGTGCCACAGAAATCACCACACACTTTGGCACAGTTTACAGATGGAATACTATTAATTTTTTATTTAGTATTATATTTGAATTTATATTCACTTCCCACATATAGACATGTTGCCCTCAGAATAGCCTAAATACGTCAGGGCATGGACTCTACTACATTTACGTCATTTAGCAGACGCTCTTATCCAGAGCGACTTACAAATAGGTGCATTCACCTTATAGCCAGTGGGATCAGCACTTTACACATTTTATTTTTATTTTATTTTTTGGGGGTGGGGTTGGGGTAAGGGGGGGGGTAGGTGTCGAAAGCGTTCCACAGGGATGCTGGCCCATGTTGACTCTAATGCTTACCACAGTTGTCAGGTTGGCTGGATGTCTTTTGGGTGGTGGACCATTGTTGATACACATGGGAAACTGTTGAGTGTGAAAAACCCAGAATACTAACGTACCCCATTCAAAGGCACTTAAATATTTTGTCTTGCCCATTCATTTTTACATTAACATTTTAGTCATTTAGCAGACGCTCTTATCCAGAGCGACGTACAGTTCGTGAGTGCATACATTTTAATTTTTCATACTGGCCCCCCGTGGGAATCGAACCCACAACCCTGGCGTTGCAAACGCCATGCTCTACCAACTGAGCTACATCCCTGCCGGCCATTCCCTCCCCTACCCTGGACGACGCTGGGCCAATTATGCGTCGCCCCATGGGCCTCCCGGTCGCGGCCGGCTACGACAGAGCCTGGATTCGAACCACTGCGCCACTCAAGAGACCTCGACCTCGATTCACCCTCTGAATTGCACACATACATAATCCATGTCTCAATGCTTAAAAATCCTTCTTTAACCTGTGTCTTCTCCCCTTCATCTACACTGATTTGAAGTGGCTTTAGAAAGTGACATCCAACAAGGGATCATAGCTTTCACCTGGATTCACCTGGTCAGTCTGTCATGGAAAGAGCAGGTGTTCATAATGTTTTGTACACTCAGTGTATATTTCCTCTGTCTCTCCCCAGCACCTGTTCCTGACCTTCCCCAGGATCGTGTTCATGCTGGGTTTCCTGGTCTTCGTCTTCCTGCTCCTGGCGGGCTACGCCTTGTTCCACTCCTACCTAGCCCTGGTCAACCAGACCTCCAACGAGTGGTACAAGGGACGAGGGAACATCTGCCAGCACTGCCACCCCTCACCTGACCACCTCTGTGGTCCGCCAGCCTCTGACCAGTCCAAAAGGTGGTTCTATAGTAGAGGGGTGCTTAGAAACCTGGGAGAGATATTTTTCCCTCTCCGTCCCGTGCAGAAAAAAGACAATTGAGTTTGACAGAGGCAGTTTATAGGCCCACTAGCTACAGTACGGAATGTTTGTCATTTTTATTTTTGTAAGAAATTGTTGTGGGTTTTGGTGGATTTTAACCATATTTTTCTAACTGGCAATAAAGCTTCTGTTTACACCTTTTCCCTGATGTCTGTTCCTTGAGATGAATTTGCAGATGGTCTATGCCTATCAAGTTTAATTGTGTATTAGAGGAAGTAAGGATGCATCATCATATTATCATGCTTACAAGTAATTCATTTTCATTTAATGCTTGCAGTGTATACAAAGAAAAATGCATATGGAGCTGTGCTCACTGCTTGCACAACATACCCAGCCATCACAATGTCTTGAGACATCTTGATATGTCTTAAGACATAAATGAAGACGTTTAGAGACCTGTCTTAGAAAATGATGTCTTTAAGACAATCTATAGACGTGACTTGGAAATACCAATGTCTTAAGACATTTTATTTGTTTATGTTTTATTAGTTCTAAATACTAATCACTCACTCTAGAACTCTCATGCACATCAATAGCACAAATTGTACTGCACACCAAATCAAATTAATCTAGATTTATTGAACAAAATAACAGATTCAGATTCAACAAAATAACTTTTGGTGAAGGTGGTATAGAGTTCCAAACAACTCCTATCTTCTAGTCTTTACAGCCAGCTAGTCATCTCTTGTTTGGGGATCTCAGAGCTGCTCTTGCTTAATCTGCAGGAAAATAAAATGTAGTTATGTATCATATCATAAATACAGCAACCTCAATAACAATACCACCTCTACCCTGCTATTTTCTTGTACCTTAATTATGAGTAGCTCACCTAAAGCCCAACCATACATGAGGACTTAATGTTTAACACCAGAAAGGACCCCCGCTTTATTCTATGTCCAGTCTGAAAATAGAATGAATCAGAATTAATGTATCCTCTATTAAATAAAACTGCACAGAAAAGATGAGAATTGCAGCCAGCTGTTAGAGTAGATCAACTTTATGTCTCAACATGTCTTGAAACATCTTAATATAATCGGATGGTGATGGCTAAACTATCATCGGGGTTGAGACATTTGACATGATCCCTTCCCCTCTTTCTGATCCCACATGGACATCATGGGCAACTGAAAAAAAGTAACAACATGCATTTCAGAGATTTAACTAGCTAGCTAGCTACATTGTTTTTTTTATTTGTATTTGTTTACTATAATTGCTATGCTAGCTAATGATAGCTAACCACAGTCAGCATAATATCACATTTGGTAGTGCTAAAACAAGATGTCATTAACATATTTCTTCATATGGACTAAATATTGTTTTTGCTGAACATACATTACATATTGAAATAATTTGCTTGCTTACCTCAAGTTGAAAAAACAGTTTGTAAATCCTCCAGGTCATTTTTGAGTCTTGCATCAACTGTCAGTTGACTGAAGAATGACCCATGAATTTGAAATGTTCAACATTCCAAAATAAAAATGTCTCAAGACATAACACTATTTTACATTAGTCTCTCATGATATGTGTCTCAAGACATCTTCAAAATGTGTCTTAAGACATCTCAATTGCATGTCTCAAGACAAAGGTGATGGGTGGGTATCAGTGGTGGCTCCTCAGAGGAGGAAGCGGAGGACCATCCTCCTCAGTGAATTTCATAAAAATCTAAATGGTAAAACATTGAAAAAGTTATCCTTTTTAGATAAAACTATACTAAATATATTCATTCACGTCACCAAATAATTGATTAAAATACAATGTTTTGCAAAGAAGGTGTACAGTAGCCTCAACAGCACTCTGTAGGGTAGCACAATGGTGTAGGCTGAGGACAGCTAGCTTCCGTCCTCTTGGTACATTGACTTCAATACAAAACCTAGGAGGCTCTTGGTTCTCACCCCTTTCCATAGACTTACACAGTAATTATGACAACTTCCGGAGGACATCCTCCAACCTATCAGAGCTCTTGCAGCATGAACTGACATGTTGTCCACCCAATCAAAGGATCAGAAAATGAATCTAGTACTGAAAGCATAAGCTACAGCTAGCTAGCACTGCTCAAACACCAGGCTCAAACAGAGGGATGCTATGTTAGCTAGCTGGCTATGACTATCCAACACAACACTGGAACTCTTCCAAGTCAAGGTAAGCTTTTGGTTTTATTAATTTATTGCCACCGGGGCCCGCCGGTCTAACTGCTTACTGACTATACACTGTAACATTACTGCATGATTGTAGCGGGTTTACTAACGCATTAGTTCTATTAGCTATGTTGACTAGGATGTTACTTTAGCTAATATGGGGACAACGATGTAGGCTGTGTGTAGCGGTTATGACATGGTTTGGAAAGGTTTTTTCACCTGGTCACATACAGCTGATGTGTTGTTCATTGAAGTCCACAAACGAAGGGAAAAGGTGAGAGGAGGAGAGTGCATAGAGGCTAGAATGAATACAACGTGGCTGCTACATGTGAAAGTGAACTGTGTTTATTCATGCTTAGGGGTGTATTCATTCCGCCGATTCTGTTGAAAAACCTTTCTTAAACAGAAGCAAACGAAACGGGGATAAAAATACCTGAATTTGTCCAATAGAAACTCTTGTTTGCAGCTGTTGGACTAATGATTACACCCTAGATAAGCTAGATGCAGGCAAGAGTGCAAGGCAGTATTGAATGTGGCACTGTCTGTCCATGTGTCACTGTCTGTCATCTCAAATGTTTCTCTTGACCTGTGTGCACCTACGTTGTAAACTTTCATTCATAGGCTAGGTTGTAGTAACCTCATGATGGGTATAGGGAAAATTTGAGAATCATGTAGTAGCTTAAACCTATCGATGTTACATTGAATTGGGTGAATGGAATATGAATGACAGTCATCCAACATGCTGTAATAGAAATAAGGCCATGCTCATGAAAAAAAATGTGTTCTTCCTCATCATAAACGGCACTGACCGCCACTGGTGGGTATGAAGTTGATCTGCAAGGAACCTAGGTTGAAGATGGAAAGGTTAAGACAATGAAGTAATTCCATGCTGAAGCATTTGAAAATAAACCAAATTAATGGGACCAGTTCCATTCATAACTTCTAGCGCCGTTGCTAAGTAGCAACGCTGTCCCATGAATTGCAACGAGTTATGGGATATTAGAATACGCTTGGTCTTAAGGTGCGTTCGTAAATTCACTCTGGAATGCCAGAGTGTGCTCAGGTAATTTCAAGATTCACGTTTTAATGTCACATGTACAAGTACAGTGAAATGCCTTTCTTGCAAACTCATAACCCAACAATGCAATAATTAATAACAATGAGTTCGCAAATTCAGAGGGTTGTCAGATTGTCAGTTAGTAAATTCAGAACATTTAGCTATTGGAGCGTTCAGAGCGCACGCTGGACCCTCTGGATGAGGAGAAGGATTGATCCGAGCGTTCTGACCTCACAACGGCAGTCAAGCACCCAAGCTAACTGGCTAAAGTTGGCTAGCTTGCTAGCTGTTTGGATGTTAAATGACGAGACAGTCATTGATGCGAGTAACCAGTCTTGTTCTTCAGCACATTGTAATTAATCCGGGTATATCAAGCACACCGGTAAAAACACTGGTGTTGCAGTAATTAACATTTACCAACAGATGACATCAACGTACCACTAGCTACTTCCAGACACAAATTAGAGAACACCTCACTCTGACCATTTTACTCGCCCTAGCAGAGGTGGTTAAGCTGTTTTTAAGTTATCTAGAGATTTGGTGACTGTAACTGTGCCGCTGGCAACTATTTAATAACGTTTTTTTGCTGACATTTACTGACACCGGTCATATTCAATGGGTGTTGCGCGTTCGTAAATGCATCAGTTATTCAGCGCTCTGGCACACAGATGCGAGTGCTCTGAAATCGTACAGCCAAATTTACGAACGCACCCTTAACCTGTATATTTTGAACCTAGAAAGGAAACCGGAAGAGTGCACATGGATGATCGTATCACCACAGATAGAACAATGAGACGGATATTTCACCGGATGTATAAATGTGAAGCATCCGCTTGGCGTTTCCACTCACTACCAAATATGATAGTAAGAGGAGGCCCACTGGCCGGCAGTGGGAGAAGATGGAACGAGATGGATTTTCGCCCACATTCTGCACATTTTCTCACCGATAAAACATTTGATCTCAATACAGTTTTCTGTTCCCAAAACTACAATATGTTCTGAACAAAGTGGACTAAGTTTTGTAGACTTTACCCTTTGCAAAAATAAAAATAAATCGCGTTGTTTAGAAGGAGTGCAAAGGTGAATTGAGTTATTGCACACTCGCACTTCACATAGGTGGCGTTCCCTAACAGAAATATGCAGATGTATGCTAGAACGCGCCAATTGGATCTCGCTAGCTCGTGCTTGGCTCTGCCCACCTCCTTGCTTGTTCTGCCCACTATGACTCATTTGTTCCCATTGGAAACGACAGGCTGTGGTCTATCTTGGTTTGGTTATAAAATTATTCGGTGTCACTTTAAACCGGTGAGGAGGTGTTTTACAGTATGTATTTGATGCAATGATAGAAGGTCAGGAAACGCTTAGCTAAACTGCACGAAACTTCGCAATAAATCATTATTGAAGACACCAAATGATTCAACTGCAAGATCAAACGAAATAGTACTCTTGCTTAAAGTGAATGCCATATTTATTCGGGGAGATTGTTCTCGTACATTTTGCGCTAAACATCGTGGCTAGTCAGCAAGCAAGTGGTAGCCAACAGTAGCTAGCCTACAGTAGCTAACCAATTATTTTTGGACACTGACTGATCGAGGAACAAGAGGTACCGGTAGCTGACAGCACGCACACGTTTTCCCAATGGCTGTGTCAAAATGCACCAGGCTGAACGGTCCCTTGATAAAGCAAATGTTCGATTCTGTGGACAGTGTCCTCTTCGACTGTGATGGTGTCATCTGGCGAGGGGATCAGACCATCCCTGGCGCCCCTGACGTTATCAACCTGCTCAAGAAGAATGGAAAAAACGTGTTTTTCGTCACCAACAACAGCACTAAAACTAGAAAGATGTATGCAGACAAACTGGCATTGATGGGATTCAACGCAACTGAGGATGAGGTGTTTGGAACGGCGTACTGCTCAGCAATGTATCTAAAACATGTATCCAAACTACAGGGCAAAGTGTATCTCATAGGAAGCAATGCAATGAGGCAGGAACTAGAAAAGGTTGGGATCCAGCAGACAGGTGTGGGGCCTGATCCAATATCAGGTGTCCAGATCGATTGGGCAAACGTGCCCCTGGACCCTGAGGTGAAGGCTGTGGTTGTTGGGTTTGATGAGCACTTCAGTTACATGAAACTGAACAGAGCCCTGCAGTACCTTAACAACCCTGACTGTCTACTGGTGGGAACCAACACTGACACCAGACTGCCCCTGGAAGGAGGCAAAGCTGTCCCAGGTAAGGAGGATGTTGTCTGTGCAGAGACAACAGCTGGAGTTTGAACCAACAAGACTGTGGTTACTGTACATGGAATACGGGCCAGACCTTTGTGGCAGAGTCCGTAGTGCTCACATACAGGGAGGCTACATGAGTGCTGTGTTAATGATCTGTAGTAGCTTACAGCGAGCCAGTGTGATGTGATAACATGAGGGGTTTTCCACTGCCCCAAGTCAGATCTTTCATATCTGTTACTGTATGTTCAAGCATGTGTCAACAACGCTGAATTTCTACCCCTCTTCTCTCTGTCTCCACCAGGGACAGGCTGTATCCTGAAGGCTGTGGAGACCGCAGCCCAACGCCAGGCCCAGACGGTGGGAAAGCCCAACCACTTCATGTACGACTGTGTGGCCAGCCAGTTCGGCCTGGACCGCGCCCGCTGCCTTATGGTGGGGGACCGGCTGGACACGGACATCCTGCTGGGGTCCAACTGTGGCCTGAAGACCCTGCTGACCCTGACCGGGGTGTCCACTGTGGCCGACGCTGAGGCCCATCAGGAGAGTGGCTGTCCAAAACGCCTTGGGATGGTGCCTGACTACTACGTAGAGAGTATTGCAGAGCTCCTGCCTGCTCTACAAGGATAACCAATCAGGGCGTGGAAAAGAAAAATAGGTTTTTATCTCAATGAGACTTCAGCCTTGATAGATGATAATTAAATTAATATTGATTAATTATAGAAGACCGTTAAGGACTGTGTGCGTCTGAAAACCCAGGCTTGTTTCCAGGTTACGGATGTGAAAATTCAGGAAGGTGCAGATAATTAATCAACTGCTCCGATAATACTAAGACTGCAGCAAAACAAACCTATATTAAAGTTATTTTAACTACAGTATGCTATGGCTGAATAGATATTCAAGATTTACAGCAGGTGTAGCCGACTCCCCCTGGAGAGCTACTGGGTGTGCATGCCTTTGTTCCAGCCCTGCTGTAATGCACCATGTAGATTCAGCAGCAAAAAAGGAAACAAATCACAGGGCTGGAACAAAAGCCTGCCCAGTACACCCAGTAGCTCTCCAGGACGAGGGTAAGCCACTCCTGTTTTCCAGTGTTGATAAATTATTTAGATTCAAATTAGTTGTTCAGGAAATGGTAGAGAAAAGTATATGTGTTGTGTGTGGGTTAAAAGGATGAAGGCCTATGCAAGGCCTGTATTCTTTGCTCAATATCCCTCTGTAGCAATGATCTCAAACACAGTCAGAGGAAATGTGTACACACTCCTTTGGATATTTCCCTAATCTGTGTGCATACATTTGAAATCACATGGCACTCAATATTTATCTAAGGCAGAGAGCTATGCAGAAATACAGTAAACTGGAGTGCACTGACAATTCATCAGGAATTATATATCTTATGTTGTCCACTGTCATGTTCACTGTACCAATGCTGTGTTTATTGCCATTTACTTTACCCATTCACCTGAGGGAGTAGACTTAAACTGGGTTATACTCTTATATTGTATCCTGATGTATTGTAAATGTAAAAATAGAGCTACCTTTTGTTCCCATTCAATTAGAAGGTTATGGGTTTGCGCAATAATCAATGATCTTCTTAAGTGTGTTTTAATGTAACATGTCAGTCTTAGTTACTAAGTGTCTATAATACATAAAAAATATTGTCTGTACTGTCAATACAATAATCAAACTACTGTATCATCCTCGTTCCTTGATAACAGTATTCACCTTAACTCAAGTCACTCAAACTGATAAAAAATCAATAAAAAAATCAAAGCCTACCCTGTGGATTGTGTTAACTTCAACACAGCTGGCTGCGCTGGACCCTGGCCTTATTAACATGGCAGCTCTTAAAGTCACCTTGGCCTTTCATCGACTGGACGGTCCTTCAGTCCGTTCCTCATATCACCCTGCCATGGCCGATGACAGAGCTTGTCCACAGAGGTGAGTTTGTCTCACCCCTTTGTCCATTGTCTGGAGTGAGGGTAGCCGGCCAAAGGGTTGGGCCTGTCACGTGTGTGTCTGTGAGAGGTAGGGAGGTAGGAGAGGAGAGGGGAGACAGGTCTACAGAGAGCGAGAGAGAAATTGGCCAGGTGTATCGCAGAGTGTCTCACTCAGTGCTGGCCATGACCACAGCTCGATGCAGATAGGTGAGAGAAGAAGGGTGAAGTCAGAGTGAGAGAGGAGAAGTCACGGGACGCAGCATGGTGAGGTGTTGGAAACGTTCAGAAACCACCGGGTTGGAGGACTCACAATGCATGGTAGGAGTGGGACATATCTGTACCTCGCTCAGTGGTGGTTTAAATGATCTGTGGAAAAATTCTTTATTAGCCTCATTGAGTTTGTTGCTCTTGGAAAAGTTATTTTCATACAGGTAGAAAGACTAAGTTGTGGTAATGTTATTTGTGCTATACTCATAGAGCAGGGTTCCACAACTGGTGGTTTTATTTGGCCCCCCAAGTTTTCTGAGCAAAGAATACCAGGAAATCAGCTACAAGTGATTTTAATTTTGGAAATCTGTACCCAAGTATTCCCACGCATAATAGAGAGAGAGAGACATGATCGTATACAAATGTAAGCAAGGTTTGAAATGATTATGTTTTAGTCAAATATTATATCTGTTTGGGCTTGCAGTCAATTTGCAGTCTACAAATTATTTGTCATTATGTTCCGGCACCCTGACCATCCGCTCAAGAAAAAAACCCGTCCTCGTCTGCATCTAGTTGTTGATCCCTGTCATAGAGTATAGTGTGTCATTCTATTTCAGTTGTAGCAAACTTGTTGTTGAAGTCAACAATATTGTTGTTGAATCCAGACAAGAATGGCTATGTAGATTGTGATAAGCTGTCGGTGTGTATGGTCTCCTCAGGACGAGGGTCCAACAGTGTCCTGCCAGTTCCCACACAAGTCATTCTGGGTGATCCTCAGTGCCACTCTCCTCCTGGTCATCATCGCCCTTGGCGTCATGGGGCATCTATGGGTCAAACAGCCCGACGCACAGGTTGGAGACACAACTCACACCTGATTCACCTGTCGGAACACGTTGCTTTGTATTTGGCATTAAAACTGTGAGGTGTTGTAACCCAATCTAACATAGACGCACACATGACTGTAGTTGATGTACAAATTATTCGCTCACACTTGTACAATCACAATGTTGATGGTGAGTTTACATTGAGTAAACTTACAGTATCCCTCTATCTGTGGTCTTTACAGGTTGTCAGAATCACAGTTCAGGATCTGACTGGAACCCTGATCAACCAATCAGCATTGGTGGACAAGCACAACGACCTTGTGACCTATTCTGTGACCTCACAGGCCAACCACACATCCACTGTGCTCTTTGACATCAAACATGTAAGAAGCAGACCTTTATTTGTGTGTTTAAAGTATATTGAACTGAGGCAAGCTGCAGTGAACCTTTCTAATTGTATGGCTGTTTCCTTATTCAACATTGTTGTCTAGAAAGTTTCCCATGCTCGAACTGAGCTTCATGGATGCTGAACTGACATTGTCTTATGTTTGTTTGTGCAGGGTTTGATATGTTACAAACATATTAACCAGGAGACTTGCTACCTGCGTAAGATGGAGAGATCTGATTATGAAAACGTGCAGTCCCTTCTCCAGCAATCAATGGAAAAGGTAAAGATGTTTCACCTTTTCAACTTATAACAGCATATGAAACATACTATTTTGGAATTCACTTCATATGAGTCTGTTACCATGCAGTAGAAATATGTCACATAGGGACTTATTGGCATGGCAACAACTAAAGAGTATTCAGAAACACCCTACTGTGTCAGCCGGCTCTCAGTTGAGGGTGCCCTGTTACCTTACACTGTTGCTACTGTGTGAATTGGCAGTGGGGGTGGATAATTGTAAGTGACTCATAGCTTAGTGCCATCTCTGTCTCACTCCATGACCAGCCAGTATCAATTGGATTTAGGGGTGTTGATTTGAGCATCCCTCTCCTCTCCCAGTCCAGAGAATGAGAGTGGGGTAATAGACCGAACAAGGCCTTAAATACTTATAGTGTAGTGAGTCTCTCTAGGACTGAATTCCTCAGGGCATCTGATCCTCCTAGACCCCTCTCTCCCCTGGATCCCCTTACAGGTTGGGACAGCAGTGAGACTCAGACCTGCACAATGGCCACTCTGTCTGGGGATACTGGGTTTGTTAAGGCTTCGCTGGGCTGGAGAAAGAGGCGAGACTATGGTTGGTTAGTGAGGGAAGGGCCAGTCCGACAGTCGACATCTTTAATGAGGTGTGCTTTTTGGCTATGTTTGGTAAGTGTCAATGGTCATTACAAAATGAATGGGTTGCTTTTATGCTGTGGTACTGTGCATCTACAGAGCCATGATGATATCTAGCGGTGTCCTTGCTGGCTATTTGTTTATTTCGAGTCGATTACTTGCTCATATCAGATTGAATCATGGTTATCGGGGCCTAGGCTAATTCATGTATTCACAAGAGCTTGTGTATGATTACTCATGTCATTAGTTAATTACCGGTTCATTACCTCATAGTTATGGGCCATTGTGCAGCTGGACTCATTCAATCATTAATTGGTTGTACAGACTTTAGTTACATATAAACTCTGGCTCAAAAGAGAAATATGCCATGTATGCCAAAATCCCAAGTGTTTCATCCTTTTCTTATGCTATCTGATAGAAACATAGTCGTTTGTATTTGAGTTCTGACTCTCACGGTATCAAGTATCTCGTAGAACTAGACTTTAGCACGAGAACCACCCACTGATTGTGGTCATTAAGTGTCTGATTTATTGGATAGACTTAATCCACATAGAAAAGGCTGGGCCTTTCTGAGGTCAATATCTCTGTTCTGCAGCATAATGCTCTTTAGAGTGGAGGGAAACAGGTTGTTAGAAGGTTCGCTCAGGCATAACAGCACTTTAAGTGGTCCCTATCGGACTCATCACCAGTGTAAATGGTGCAATTACTAAATGGCCTTTTTGCCAAAGGAGAGACCAGAGCTGAGAATAATGCAGGGTTGAGTGTATAACCTGGCAAAGACCACTGAAGTGATCTAATAGAGAGATACTGCTCTATAATGGCAGCTTGAGTTTCATGTCTGCCAAAGCAGACTATTCTATCGTTATACTGTATCTAATCTTAATTGACACAACTTGTATGTGTTGTTACTTATTTGTTGTTAGAAAAACCTTTGGTGTCCCTGTAGCTTGTTCTCATCATTCATAATCCTGAGAAAAATGTGTTCCTACTATTACAAATGTGTTAATCTTCTGCCAGGAGAACCAGTTGGTGTTGTTGGGGAATGAGACCCAGAGACAGACTGAGTTCTTGGGGGTGATGGGGGGCAGTCAGGTGGACGTGTCCACCCTGGAGGGTCCTCTACAGGCCCTGTGTCAACACAGCTCCATCCACTGGACCAGGAGACAAGACGGTGAGACCAGGGAGTGGGACTACCCTTCTTCACATCATTACAGCTAAATACACATTCACTTGCCTTGGCATTTATACAATGACATATGCATTTATGACGAAACTGTGGAGTGTTCTATTTAAAGTGGGTCCAATTTTATATTCAATTCTGGGATAAATCAATAGTCATAATTTATACAAAGGAAACACCAGGGGCTCTTTTGTAAAATAGGTTCCTCAGACTGAGGGAGCTCCCTCCCTGTGTCTTCGTGTGTTGGCAGCTCTTTCTAGAATAGGGCAGAGTGAGAAACATAATCCTAAACTACTGTGCTGTGTGACCTTTGCAGTGTCGCAGCAGTAAACCTTTACACTTTTCCTCAAGTAGGATTTTACTGGGTGACTTTTACGTGGTATCTTTACTTTTACTCAAGTATGACAATTGGGTACCATTTTCACCACTGCAAAACCCCAAAGTATGCAAGTCAACTACCGCCTGTTAATGGAACTGTATTTCCACAGAGTTTTACTCACTTGGTGATTCAGAGTAGCCATCCTCTCAAATAGTTAGCTATCAGTGCTCTCCGCTATAGTAAGAGTTAGATACTGCACTAGTGATCTACCTGCTACAGTTAGTTAGCATAATGTTAAACGGAGGTGCTGTGTGACCTTTGCAGTGTGGCAGAAGTAAATAAGAAGCACAACCTTTAGGCTGAACTCACTGCTATTTTTACTTAAGTACTTTACACCACTGGGGTTTTGTTGGTCTTTGCTACCAAACTGCCTGTTCAGTAACGGACCCTCTCTCCTTCTTTGAAGGTCCAGGTAAACAGCGTCTGGTCTACTTCTGCATTGACATCTGCTTCCCTAGTAACATCTGTGTGTCCGTCTGCTTCTACTACCTGCCGGAGTGACCTGCTATCAATCCACTCGCAGGCAGCACATACCAGCACTGATCAGGGAAACAAAGTGCTCCTTCTCATCCCTGCTAAGCCACCGGAGCGTCGCCGGCTCCAAAAAACTCTCGGAATACAACCGGGGAACAGCAGCCAGCTTTGACTCAATACCGCAGCCACTTTAGTCCCTTCTAAGCTTTCACCCCAGTCCTTTCCCTTTTGAGGGAGATGGGACGGAAGCAAGCTGTCAAGTTTATCTGCAGACTCCCCTCATCACCCTCCCTTCATGGTTAATACCTTCACTTGTGGCAGCGTTTTGGAGATTACAAGAGTCCGGTTTTTTTGTGTGCTTGTTATTTCCTGTACTGCAACCCACAGCAGATGAGTCATTGTGTGTGTAACCATTCCTGTTTACTGGAGTGTGTTAAAATGACTTGATCCCTCCAATAAAGAACAGTTGTGTAAAATACTGATTGTCTCTTTTACTAAAAAGAAAGGAAATGGAAAGATTCTAACACTTCAGACTCAAAAACGAAGCCTTCTTTGTGGTAGTTCCCGGTATGATGTATTAACAGAGAATCAAGACAAAAGCACCACAGAGTAAATGTTACACAACAGTTAGTCTTTACTGGAATTCCTCATATCCTGTACAGTCACATGTGGACTCACTTTTGAGACTTTTCACCTTTGATTAAGCTATTGAACCTAAATACATTAATCTAGCTATGGCCCAGAGTTTTTCATGGTAAGGAAACTCCTCGCCCAAGCTATAACACACAAACAAGCCCATGGAACTCCTTGTATCCCCAGTCTGTTGAAATGTGGTCCTTATGAGAAATATAAAAAAACAGCCTCTCTCTTCTCCTGATAAATAATCAAAAGCTTTTGTGGAAGCAGACACAGACGGGTGTGTGGATATTTATATACAGTCACAGAGCTTCGCTGTAGTGTAGCTCCTTCTCATCCACTGGAGTCATCTATCCACTGCTGCAATCTCCTCAGCCCAGCACGCTGTCGTTAAAGGCCAGACACACCACAGCTTTCTGATGGCCGCTGTACTCCCTCTTGATCTCACCAGTCTCCACACACCACAGCCGTGCCAGGTTGTCAGAGGAGGCTGGAAGGAAATAAATCACATTCACTGATCGATCCGTTGGAGCACAAGTAAGAACTGCCCAAAAGTGAGTTAACTAATGGGTTTGAGGCTCCATGATGTCACGGCTCAGGATTAATCATCACAATCTAGCCACACTAGAAAGGATGGAAGTCAGTCACTTTCCAACCGCAAAAACTATCCCTTACCCTAGATCAGGGCTCTCCACCCCTGTTCCTGGAGAGCTACACTCCTGTAGGTTTTCGCTCAAATCCCCGTTGTAACTAAACTGATTCAGCTTATCAACCAGCTAATTATTAGAATCGGGTGCGCTAGATTAGGGTTGGAGTGAAAAACTCCAGGACGGTAGCTCTCCAGGAACAGAGCTAGATAAAGTGTAAATACACATAAATCATTTAGTTATCGTGCATAATAAAACACACAGGGAAGAAATAGAACACTGACCTGTTACAATGTACTGTGAGTCTCCAGAGAAGACACAGTCCCACATCCAACCTCGGGACGTCTCTCCAGGGTTGTTACTCTTGATACTCAGCTCCGTCATCAGAGAGAAGTTAGATGTTCTCCAGATCTTACACGTCTGGTCCGCCGAGCAGGTCGCCAGCAGTCTGTGGGAAAAAGACACAGTTAAGTCACATACACAGTAACTATACAAGACATGCAATCAAAGCTGCCTACTTCTGATTTGTTAATGTTGGATTATGCACACATTCTTTAAGAAAATATGTGTGTGGTGCACTCACGTGGAATCAGGGCTGAATTTGCAGCGGAGAGAGTAGCGCTTGTGAGCAGGGATCTTGGTTTTGGGGATGAGCTGTGTCACCTCGTCACCCATCCCTCCTGCCAGGTTCCACACGTAACAGTTTCCCTGTGAGAGATGGACAGAGATCACAATTGAAGCTCAATTAGCCTTTTTTTTTTTTTTATAGCTAAATTATACTGAACAAAATATAAACGCAACATGTAAAGTGTTGGTCCCATGTTTTATGAGCTGAAATAAAAAAGATCCCAGAAATTTTCCATATGCACAAAAAGCTTATTTCTCTAAAATGGTGTGCACAAATTTGCTTACATCCCTGTTAGTGAGCATTTCTCCTTTGCCAAGATAATCCATCCACCTGACAGGTGTGGCATATCAAGAACCATAAGCCGCCTTCAATGTTGTTTTAGAGAATTTGGCAGTACGTCCAACCAGCCTCACAACCACAGACCACGTGTAACCACGCCAGCCCAGGACCTCCACATCCAGCTTCTTCACCTGCAGGATTGTCTGAGACCAGCCACCCGGACAGCTGATGAAACTAAGGAGTATTTCTGTCTGTAATAAAGCCCTTGTGGGGAAAAACATATTCTGATTGGCTGGGCCTGGCACCTCAGTGGGTGGGCCTTTGCCCTTCCAGGCCCATCCATGGCTGCGCCCCTGCCCAGTCATGTGAAATCCATATATTAGGGCCTAATGAATTTATTTAAATTCACTGATTTCCTTCTATGAACTGTAACTCAGTAGAATCTTTGAAATTGTTGCATGTTGCATTTATATTTTTGTTCAGTATAGTTTAGCGGCCAGCTATCTAAACGTATCATTGTGGAAATGTGTAGAATTGCATGAAATTAACTCTAAAACAGGGATGGGCAACTGGCGGCCCGCCATTCTTGAAGGCCCTCAGTCGGGGTCTCAACTTACTGTTGCGAGTTAGAATAGAGACTACACAAGGTGCAATTTCAAAATGTGGTTGTGCATCAGCAGTTTCACACTTGCTATGTCAGTCACTGATAGTCAGTCAATTAGCCCAATTCAGCTTACATTTATTAGATTGCTAAATTAGTTTAGCGGCCAGCTATCTAAACTTGTTATCATGGCCGAATTACTGGCTGGGGGGCCCCCATTGATTTTGTTTGTCTAAAAACTGCAAACATTTCTCTCTACCCTATGGCTAAATGTGTAGAATTTCAGGAAATTTGCTCTAAAACGTAAAAAATGTATCTCCGCTGTCAAGAGGGAGGTATGGATGTGCGTGCGCAGATGCGCCCCTCGTGATGAGTTCAGATTTTTTTCTGGCCCCCCACCCCCATCAAAGTTGCCCACCCCTGTATTAGGGTGTCCAGTATAATACAATTAGATTTTTCAGCATACTGACCGAGCTATTGACTGCTGCCATGTAGCTGGCGTCAGGGTCGATGTGGACTGAGTTGATGGACACTTCTGGTTCAGGAATAAGCTGCTCGTTGTGATCGGTCTTCAGATCCCAGATATGGATCACACCGCTTTGGTCCCCCACGATCAATTCAGCCTGGAAAATACGCAAGCCTGATTGAGAATCAATTAGATACAATAAGCTGAATTTAAATGGGGCAATCTGCAGTTGTAAATGTAAACAAACACTGTAGATCAAAACATGGCTAAAACTATAATTTTGTTATCATTGATAGTCAGTCCTTGCATCCATAGCTCTGTCCATGAATTTGAGAGTGGTTACATTTCTCCAGCCCAATCCCTCAGCTTTTTACCGAAACAGTGGCAGGGAGTATGCTTTGTTATTGTTTCAAATGCTGATTGCCGCTGTAAAGAAGGCAAGGATTAGCCTAGGTGTTTATCAACAGTTACAGTACAACCACAGAGTTTCTAAACTCAGAGGCACAACATTGCAAGACTTCCGGGAACGCTTGCGAAACAGACCAGGCCGGGGTTTGAGAAGTCAATGAGAGAAGTGAAAAATGATTCCTTAGTTAACTTTCTCAAAATCTAAAGGCACAACCTAGATTTGAGCCAATGTCTTAAGTAGTTGAACATGTTATTACTCCAACCTCATGAAAGTGACAAACTGACACCTTTTCATTTTCCGTTTTCGTCAAAACAACTTTATATCGAAGGAGTGCCTTTGATTTGACTGCCTGCACATGCGCAGTTTGGCGCGAGACGACCGTTAGACCCGATGACGTGTTTCTACGCATGAGCCTAGCTAGCCAACGTCGCCATGACATTGCCTACAAGTGTGATCGGGGATTTCTTTTGGAGAAGCAGTTTTAGCCTTCATACTTTGGTACAACTCTGACAGTACTGTATCAGTCACAGTGCTTCCTCTAGTGGTGGCATATTTCATGAATCGCTTTTGAGACACTGATTTACCTGGTTGGGATGAAGACACACACAGTTGATGGGAGCATTGACCTGAAAGATCCTCTGGCAATGCAGGTTCCTTGACCTAGGACCAGAGCAATATTCAGCTTGGTGAGAATTCCATAGCAGGCAGGCTGACACACAGCAGGAAGCGACATTCGCCGTATTATCAACAGTACCTCAGGTCCCAGATGCGAGCCATGCAGTCCTCTCCTCCTGTGTACATCCAACGGCCGTCCTCATGGAAGCCCACTGACGTAATGTTCTTACTGACGCCATCATAGTTTATGACCGGGTTTGGGTTGTTGGAGTTTAGATCATACATACGGATGTGTTGATAACCTTTGGAATAGAACAAAAGATACACAGTCAAGTCCTATGTTAATGATTATGATGAGTATGGGTTTGAATATTTTATTTCTGCACAAACCTGCAGCAGCAATCATACTTCTGTCGGGAGTAACTTCGAGGGAGTTCACTTGCTGAAAGTATTGGTTAAGAAAATAATTAAAGGTAGCTAAGCTATAATGATTATCCAATAACGTCACTAGGATCAAAATACGTATTTTTGTGCTCACTAGGGGATGTTCATAAAAAGATCTCCAATCATGGAGTTGGAGACCTTTCTAAGTTGTTACAACAAACAATGACATGGGATCTTAGAAACTAAATAAAGGCAAAACCAGCAAGAAATGTCTGTCTTGATAGATTTGTGTGAAGCAGGCAAAGGTAAGGATACAGAGTCCTGGTGCTGGACTGTCCTGGTGCAGATGCCGCTGTGGGCCTGCCAGAACCGTACTGTGTGGTCATATCCAGCGGTGGCCAGAATCACCGGGTCACTCCCCACTGTCCCCTGGCCCTGGTTCACGTTCATGCTCGATTGCTGTATGTTGTCACTGCAAAACGAGCGGTAAAACAGTGTCAAACATGGGAGGCATTGAAGAGCAATAATGTCAGTGAGTAATAATGCCAGTGAACAATAACTTTCTATCACTGTTAGTTAGCTATCAAGTATTTCTGACAGCATGTCAACAACTTGGCAGACGTTAGCCGAGCTATATTTTAGTAGCTCTGGTCCATGCGCATGCGTTTGAACTTTGTGTCAACCAGAGCTACATTTTGTTTTTCTCCAGCACAGTAGAAACATCGTTACTTTGGTTAGTTTCGAAAATATATTAAAGTCAGAGTCACAAAAACATTTGAAATCCTCTATGAAATAATCAATTGAACGTGCCACAGCGCAAGGGCAACTCGTATTGTCATCACGCGATGGATAGAGCAAAGTTAGCTAGCTATGCTAGCTAGTCGCCTTGTCTATTTAGTTTGTTAACCCATTTGGTGACATGATGACAGCCAGACAAATCGTGTACAAATGGCACTAGCTAAGAAAAATATTATCTTACCTCCAAGATGTGTAGTATTTTAATAACAAACGTGATATGAAAGCTGTAAATACCCTTGCTTGTGTTTTTTCCGGAAATACTGTAGGGCGTCGGACTAATAGTTCCCCCACTACAACAAGTACTTTACGCTTCTGTTCCGGCTTGAAAATATCTCCGGCTAGCTTCTTCACTACTGGTGTATTACCGCCACCTACTGGCGTTATAGACGAAAATGCGTCTGATAGCTAGGTAGCTCAATATGTTTGTAACAATAGAACAATAGAATATAGACAAAGGGCGTGTTCGTAAATTCAATCTGGAGTACCAGAGTCCGCTCTGGGTGTTCGTAAATTCAGAGCGTTGTCAGATTGTCTGTTCATAAATTCAGAGCGTTTCGCTCTTGGATCGTTCAGAGCGCACACTGGACGCTCTAGCCGAGGAGTAGGGTTGACCTCACAACCGTAGTCAATCACCCAAGCTGGCTAACGTTGGCTAGCTACTTCCAGATACAAATGAGAGAACACCTCACTCTGACCATTTTACTCGCCCTTGCAGAGCTGGTTAGGCTGTTTTCATGTTATCCCGAGCGTTGGTGACTAACTGTGCTGCTGGCAACAATTAAATTACGCTTATTTTTTTGCCGACGTTTACCGATACAGGCCATACTCAACGTGTGTTGAGCGTTAGTAAATTCATCAGTCATTCTGCACACTGACGAGTGCTCTGAAATCGGAGAAGATGGCAGAGTGAATTTACGAACGCACCCAAAATCCGGCAAGATCACGTTACAAAAAAACACCACACAATAAATACAAATATAAATAAAATAACGGAGTACACTACATGTATAGTGCCTTTAAAAAGACAATACAGTATTCAAAAGTTATAGTAGCCTTAACATAAAATCTGCTGTATTTTGGTAAATTAAGGTCTGTGGCATATAAACTTAGCATAAGAGGTAATGGTCCATGATGAGATAATACAAAACATATACAGGAGAAAGCATTTTGCTCAATGGCCGCAACACAAGGCAATATGCATCAGATTATGTGAAAAAAATGAAGGCATCTGAATTTCCCTTGTGCACTTGTGAGTTCTAGTCCTTCTTTTTGTCCTTGACCTCCTCGTCATCAGTGTACTTGGTGGGTTACTCTCCAGGTTTCAGAAGTTTGCCAACATAGTCATACTTTTCTGTGAAAGGAAGGAAGAAGAAAATGACATGAAGTTCCTGAGAGACATTAGCTAGACACAACATCACAGCCATTCTCAAGGACATTGTAATCACTGGGTGGAGAATAGCCTTTGCCTTGTGTGGGTTTGAATTCACAGCACTACTCAATGTAATGACAGTCTGGGTTGAACTGAAAGTGTTAATTTGATGTATTGAATGTGCTGTAGCTGCTAACTCTTCTATCGTAGTCAAGCAAAACATCAAACACATAGGAGTTAGCTAAAGCATAAACAGACTGGACCACCACAAGGTTAGGTGCATCAACACCAGTGGAGACTGCTGAGGGGAGGATGGCTCATAATAATGGCTGGAACGGAGTCAATGGAATGGTATCAACCACATGGAAACAACGTGTTTGATGTGTTTGATGCCATTCCATTGACTCCATTCCAGCCATTATTATGAGCTGTCCTCCCCTCAGCAGCCTCCACTGATCAACACCTTGCACTGCATTTTGTTGAGTGGAGTGTGTGCATGTGATGTTGACTGCAAGAGGTCCAATTTGCTTGAGGTAGAAGTTGAAAATACAGTATCTGACCATTAGACAAGTGTTTTGTAGCAACTTCTACCAACTCCACCATCAAGTCACGGGTGAACTGGGTCTCCCATTCGTTGAGGCTATCCTGTTGCATGGCATTGAGACTCGAGAGGTCGTTGTGCGTGTCTTTCAGGGCCTCCATCTCCAGACAGAACATGGCCAGGCCCCTGGAGGCATCCTTACCACCAAGCACTCCATAGGAACCCACTGGAAAACATCACACACAGACAAATAGTTTGTTTTGAAATTCTGCCAAGTATTTTCACAACTAAAATGTGATTGTGAATAGACACAGGACCTAACAAACTATTTGTCAAGGCTTATAAATTGGACAATGACAACCATTTAATGAAAGTAGTATGCACTGTTTCTTAAATATGGTGAAAATAAAGTTCAACTTCCACATGATGCCCTCCAATAGACATAGCTTACTGTATTCTAAGATCAGACGGCTTCAAAGACAACAACAAACCCTCTATTCTAGATGTTGAGACTGACATAATTGGGACAGTCTGAATCATTGGAATGAGACCCGGTATGCAGGCCTATTGCTATCCAATATGCCTTAATAAAGCCTTACTTTGTGCAACCATTCTGGTCTGGCTGAATTTAACTTCCAACCTTCAAGGCATTTACCAGTCTGTGTCAAGCTATTTGTTCTGAATTGACGTGAAGGGAGCTGAGGCACGCCTCTTAAGCAAGGAGCAGCAGCAAAAAGGAAAATAGCATACTGTATAACATAGACGTCATTTGGCAGACGCTCTTATCCAGAGCGATTTACAGTTAGTGAGTGCATACATTTTTTCTTCATACCGGCCCCCCGTGGGAATCGAACCCACAACCCTGGGGTGGCAAGCGCCATGCTCTACCAACTGAGCTACACGGGGCTACTGAGAAGATATGGAATTTCTACATATTTTCAGGGAGGGTGTTCCTCGGGAGGGGCAGGATCAATCAACTCGGCTGAACACGCCAGTAGCAGCTCGCGTAGACGCATCTCTGCCAGAGTGCGCTGTTGTTCCGTTTCTGATTACTCTTCCGGAATAAGAACGTCAGGAAGAACTACGCATGCCAACGGTCTCTAGAGGCACTGCTCGCGTGTTGTGAAATTCGATCGTAGGCGATGATTCATGAAGGGGGTGTGGCGATTTAGAATGGTCGTGCTAGTTAATACTAAATAGACACAAAGTATCAAACTAAGTTTTCTGAGCAAGCCACTTGGCTACAGTTGCGCCAATCATTATTTTGAGCATAAATAACATATGTAAATAGCCTACAACTTATTTTACCTGGCCCTTATAACTGTGTAGTGTGTTGTGTTATGTTTTTTGTCTTCCCAGTCAAATCATGTCCTGCACTGGTCAAGCCTCTGAACTCGTGCCTCATACCCTCATTCAATCACTGCTGTGATCTCTTTCCAACACCGTGTAAGTAGCCCTCTCATTCCCATTCCCCATAATATTGTACTATAAATGTCTTTATTAAATGCTTTAGGTTAAAATAATTAGTCTGACAATTTTTTAAACACACTTTGGGGGCCAGTATGAAAAATACAAAATGCACTCACTAACTGTAAGTCACTCTGGATAAGAGTGTCTGCTAAATGACTCAAATGTAAGTTTCAATGAGAACATTTTTTTGGTCAGAAAATGTTGGATTTGCTGAGAAATACAGATGAATTCAATAATCATGTGTCGATGTGTATCCACTGTTAAAACTTACCACCTGCTTCTGATGACTTTGGAGACAGAGGCATCTAGATCCAGTTTGGAGATGAAGCTGTAGGTGATTCCACAGAACACCTCCGGGTTCTCCTGGGCTTTGAGTTTGAGCTGGCGCACTGTGTATACATCGCTTACCGAATCCACTGGAGAGAAGACAACAGTCATTAATAACAGAGAATCATATTGTGCGGTGTTAGAGGAAGGCCCTAAAAATTGTCAAAGACTCCAGCCACCCAAGTCATAGACTGTTCTCTCTGCTACTGCACGGCAAGTGGTCCCGGAGCGCCAAGTCTGGGACCAAAAGGCTCCTGAAAAGCTTCTACCCCCAAGCTATAAGACTGCTGAACAGTTACTCAAATGGCTACCCGGGCTATTTGCATTGAGCCCTTTTTTTACTGACATTCTTGCACTGGCTCTATGCACACTCACTGGACTCTACCCACACACACACACACATACTACACTGACACTCCAACACACAGATACACACACACACACACACACACACACACGCACACACACACACTACACACTCTGTTTGTTATCTATCCTGATTGCCTAGTCACATTTACCCGTACATACATGTACATATTACCTCAATTACCTCGTACCCCTGAACATTGACTCAGTACCGGTACTCCTTGTATATAGCCTCATTATTGTTATTTTATTGTGTTACTATTTCCTATTAATTTTTGTTCTTATTTGCTATTTTATTTTATTTATTTGTATTCCATTTTAACTCTGCATTGTTGGGAAAGGGCTCCTAAGTAAGCATTTCACAGTGAAGTCTACACCTGTTGCATTCGGCGCATGTAACAAATAAAATGTGATCATAAAATCATGATTGCAAAGTCTCAAATGTATGATAATACTAATACAGTCATAGTTGTTACATACCAGGCACATCTCCAGGCCTATCATCCTCATCCAACACACCAGACGCAGAGATCTCTTTGGCATAGCTGAACAGAAGGCTGGCTTCCTTCGTGTCTTATGTATCTCAAAACAGAATCACATTAATTACAGCATTAGGTACTGTATTAATAATGTGAACATTAACATTTGCTCTTGGAAAAACAATTGTCTACTGTTTCTCAATGCAGAAAAGGAGCATGTGTTGTAAACAGATATGATCAATCCAGATAAAGTGATATCCTTACCCGGGTTGACGGTGATTATGGTTTTAGAATTGACTGTAGCTGTCATGCAGTTCCGGAAGCTGTCAAAATCAAACCTGGCGTCCAAGATGAAGAGCACTTGAAGTACAGACAAAAGTCTAATTCGGTCAATGACCTTTTAAACAAACACAAAATATCACACATTTCCATTTAACAAAGTAACAGAGTCTGAACTAGCTGAACGGCCTCTCTGTCCCAGCTGTGTGATACAGAGGTTATTATGGTTACTCAGGGGAGAGGATGGGAATATTGAAGAGGGGGTACAGTAGTACAGTGGTACATCTTAGTTCCTACCATACTAAGGGAAAGGATGTGACAGAATCATCAAAAAGCTTCACTTCCAGCCTCTGCCCTTTGCGTCCGTCCTCCGTGGTGAAATACTTTGGCTCTGCAACCTGGAGGGTAAAAATAGTGGTTTGGAAATTATTTACAACACTTATTTTCTTTCTTGCAGAAAGCTTTTAGTGTTTCTAATACATATGGTACTTACAGTTGAAGTCGGAAGTTTACATACACTTAGGTTGGAGTCATTGAAACTCGTTTTTCAACCACTCCACACATTTCTTGTTAACAAGCTATAGTTTTGGCAAGTCGGTTAGGACATCTACTTTGTGCATGACACAAATAATTTTTCCAACAATTGTTTACAGACAGATTATTTCACTTATAATTCACTGTATCACAATTCCAGTGGGTCAGAAGTTTACATACACTAAATCGACTGTGCCTTTAAACAGCTTGGAAAAATTCCAGAAAATGATGTCATGGCTTTAGAAGCTTCTGATAGGCTAATTGACATCATTTGAGTCAATTGGAGGTGTACCTGTGGATGTATTTCAAGGCCTACCTTCAAACTGAGTGCCTCTTTGCTTGACATCATGGGAAAATCAAAAGAAATCAGCCAAGACCTCAGAAAAATAATTGTTTACCTCCACAAGTCTGGTTCATCCTTGGGAGCAATTTCCAAACGCCTGAAGATACCACATTCATCTGTACAAACAATAGTACGCAAGTATAAACACCATGGGACCACGCAGCCGTCATACCGCTCAGGAAGGAGACGCGTTCTGTCTCCTAGAGATTAACGTACTTTGGTGCGGAAAATGCAAATCAATCCCAGAACAACAGCAAAGGATCTTGTGAAGATAATGGAGGAAACAGGTACAAAAGTATCTATATCCACAGTAAAACGTGTCCTATATCGACATAACCTGAAAGGCTGTTCAGCAAGGAAGAAGCCACTGCTCCAAAACCGCCATAAAAAAGCCAGACTACAGTTTGCAATTGCACATGGGGACAAAGATCGTACTTTTTGGAGAAATGTCCTCTGGTCTGATGAAACAAAAATAGAACTGTTTGGCCATAATGACCATTGTTATGTTTGGAGGAAAAAGGGGGTTGCTTGCAAGCCAAAGAACACCATCCCAACCGTGAAGCACGGGGTGGCAGCATCATGCTGTGGGGGTGCTTTGCTGCAGGAGGGGCTGGTGCACTTCACAAAATAGATGGCATCATGAGGAAGGAAATTATGTGGATATATTGAAGCAACATCTCAAGACATCAGTCAGGACGTTAAAGCTTGGTCGCAAATGGGTCTTCCAAATGGACAATGACCCCAAGCATACTTCCAAAGTTGTGGCAAAATGGCTTAAGGACAACAAAGTCAAGGTATTGGAGTGGCCATCACAAAGCACTGACCTCAATTCTATAGAAAATTTGTGGACAGAACTGAACAAGCGTGTGCGAGCAAGGAGGCCTACAAACCTGACTCAGTTACACCAGCTCTGTCAGGAGGAATGGGCCAAAATTCACCCAACTTATTGTGGGAAGCTTGTGGAAGGCTACCCTAAACGTTTGACTCAAGTTAAACAATTTAAAGGCAATGATACCAAATACTAATTCAGTGTATGTAAACTTCTGACCCACTGGGAATGTGATGAAAGAAATAAAAGCTGAAATAAATCATTCTCTCTACTATTATTCTGACATTTCACATTCTTAAAATAAAGTGGTGATCCTAACTGATTTAAGACAGGGAATATTTACTAGGATTAAGTGTCAGGAATTGTGAAAAACTGAGTTAAATGTATTTGGCTACGGTGTATGTAAACATCCGACTTCAACTCTATACTACTGGACATGTGTTGACAGGGCCTAGTTTGTGGCTCCTACACAACCCTACCAGGTACTACCCTACTCAAGACCTACTTTACTCTATGCACTCTTAGATCTTACCGACCGAACGTCAGTGAGTATGTTAATGACGTTCCTGTCCAGGCTCTGTCCGTTGGCCACGATGTCTCCCAGAGAGTTGAAGTCCCTGGAGTCCTTCACAGGCAGGTGGAGTCAAGGCAGCAGCCTTTTCATCGTTTCTATGTCAGAGCATATTGATAGCTGGGAGTGAGCTTCATTCACCAGCAACCTGTAGAAGCTGAGACAGAGAAATTGATTTTGTTACTTGTATTACTTCGAGTATAGTAATGTTTAAAAAGAGATCTGACCACTTTACTACAGTACCTGGGAGTTGAGGGGCAGAGTCTGTCCTCTTTCTCAGGATCTTTGGGAGCAACTAAAGGATTTTCTATAATAACTGAAGGGGGATAAATTATTGTAATTATAAATGTCTTAGAAATTCCATAAAGACGGACACATTGTATCTGTATGTGAACTATTATTTAATGTCTTCATTGCGAGATAATTGAATTGAACTTATAATCTCACCACAGTCTCCTATGCTGAAACTGTTAGACAGCCCATTGATGTATTCATCGTTGCCCCACGAGGAGACATTAATTAAATAGTCTGGCGAGTCCTTGATTGTGAAGCCAAAAGTGAATCTGTCAAAACCAATATCTGAAACGATGAAAAAGGAGAGAGTTCAGTTCAGAAACATGCCAGAAGAGGGTACTAGTGAGCAATAAATAAACTTGAGCACAGTAGGCTACAGTGCAGGCATGCCTTGGAGATAAGGCTATGCTTATTTTTTTTATTTTTTTGTGAAACTGGATTTATTCTGATTCTTTCAGCCAAAGTATTATTTTAGGCCTTTACATCATGTGCTTGTTCTTTGATTGTAAGGCTTATATCAGGGATGGGCAACTTTGATGGAGATGGGGCCCACAAAAAAACTGAGCTCATCATGCCACAGTGGCTAGTGGGTCTGTGTACCCATATTCAGTGGTGTAAAGTACTTAAGTACAAATACTTTAAAATACTACTTAAGTAGTTTTTTGGGGTATCTGTACTTTACTTTACTATTTATATTTTTGACAACTTTGACATTTACTTCACTACATTCCTAAAGAAAATATTGTACTTTTTACTCCATACATTTTCCCTGACACCCAAAAGTACTCGTTACATTTTGAATGCTTAGCAGCACAGGAAAATGGTCCAATTCACGCACTTATCAACAGAACATCCCTGGTCATCCCTACTGCCTCTGATCTGACTCATTAAACACACATGCTTCATTTGTAAATTATGTCTAAATTATGCCCCTTGCTATCCGCCAATTTTAAAAACAAGAAAATGGTGCCGTCTGGTTTGCTTAATATAAGCAATTTGAAATGATTTATACTTTTACTTTTACTTTTGATACTAAAGTATATTTAAAACCAAATACTTTTAGACTTTTACTCAAATAGTATTTTACTGGGTGACTTGAGTCATTTTCTATTAAGGTATCTTTACTTTTACTCAAGTATGACAATTGGGTACTTTTTCCACCACTGCCCACATCCATACCCACACATGCAGTCAGAGCCGGCCCTAGCCTTTTGAGCTAACACAATTTTGCTTAGGGGGGCCCCCCACCATGTGAGCAAAACATTTTAGCGGCCCCTCTCTTTACAGCGCAGAGAAAAAAATGAAATGTTTGTTTCTTGCAATTCTACACATTTTGCCATGGGGCGTAGAGAAAATGTTGCAGTTGTAAAGCAAGTTTGCTGCAATTCTACACATTTTACCATGGGGTGCAGAGAATATTTAGCAATTTTATAACACATTTCCTGCAATTCCACACAGTTTGCCATAGAGTGGAGAGAAATGTTAGCAGTTTTTAATATGATATCTGAGTGGTAGTGACTAACAAAACCAATGGGGGCCCCACAGACGGTAATTTGACCATGATTACTACAATTTTAGATAGCTGGCTATAATTTACCAATCACATTTCTTTTTGCTGACATGGGTGAGTGACTGTCAGTGACTGACATAGCAAGAAAAAAACTGCTGATTCGCAACCAAATTTCCATCCCTGGCATATGTGATAAGACTGTTCCTGGGACACACCTTCCTCCCTGTAATGTTCTTCTCCACTGCCCCCCTTTCTTGGCATTCATTTAAAAAATAGATAAATATTTATCAATAGTATCCAAGGACTTCTCACTCCTCATTGAGAGGGTTTATGACTTGTGGTTGGGGATGATTAAATTCCCTTTGCTACAGACCTAGTCCTAGACATGGAGAATAGGTCTACTGCAGTAGCCTGCTACGTCAATCCAGACCCTTTTGAGACATGACCTTACTGAACTGTCATGATGTAAACCAGACGGTTTCCACATGTAGACTTTAGGCTTCCTCAGTAGTAAGTACAGTGTACTTTGTAATAGCCAGACATTACATTACACTATCATAGAGGATGCCCATGATGTCCTATCCAGAGCAGTTTATAGCCAGAGCATTAAAAGAGGCTACGAGATGGGCTCTATCTTTTTTATGAGGTAAATATACAGTATCTCTATCACTGACCTGTCTTTTGCATGTAAAGACAAAGAGGTGTGATTTACAAGCAGGCAAATCCTTATGGACTATGGGCAAACCAAATATGTGAAAGCTATGCCTCTCCACCTCTGACTCACTCAGTTTGAGATTTTACTCTCACTTTTATACTGTAGATCTAGCCACAGTAATATTCTGGCTAGACTTCAGCTTTACCTTTCAGATACAACCAAGTTTAATACACCTTCCAAAGAACAGTCATGCAGAGCAGGCAGCTGTACAAACACAAAACCGTCACGAACAGTGACGAACTGGCGATGATGCACAGGTGCGTTCTACAAGTAGAATGTCAAAGTCTGGCTTGGCCTGTGTGTTCTGTTCCGTAGCATTGACATTCTAGATGCTTCCATTACAAAGAGGGGATAGCAGCAGTGCCACAGGCTACGGTATTGTCCCTATTTTGAGACTTAAGATGATCCAACTTGCCTCTGTCGTTGGTGTCTGTATTTGATGAGACAGCTATGACAGCTCCTCTCTTCACCAGATGCTGGGAGCTGCTTTGATACACTAAGCTGGAGCTGGAACACAATACAGTGTGTTACACAGCTGAATGGATATCAAAAGGTGTAACTGGAAACCACACTGTTTATCGTCAGTCAAGTTCCTTACTATAATCCTTTTTGCTGTGTGTTGTGTATTTGGATCAGATCCTGACTGGTGTTGATTTTCATATGCCGAACCATGTTTTCTGTTTTTAGGTCAGGTCATATTTGCAAGTACAAAAATAAGATAAAAAAAGAAATGGAGAAACTTATTAAAGAAAGATCAAGTGTAATATATTGTAAAAATAAAGTAAACTGGATGGAATATTGGGAAAAATGCACCAAATTATGTTTTAATCTTCAACATAGGAATGCTACCAAAAATAATTTATTGAAACTGGTTACAAATGACGGAGTCACCCATGATTCACCAAATGATATTTTGAAGGAGGAAACAAAGTACTTTAAGCATATGTTTTCGTTTCAGTCGCCTCCATCTCCTCTAACTGAAGCAAATTGTAGAGATTTTTTTCTATTGATAATGTAAAATTAACAGCCATACAGAAAGACTCATGTGAAGGTGAAATTACATAGGAGGAACTTCTTGATGCAATTAAAGACTTTAAGTCCGGGAAAACTCCAGGGTTGGATGGCATACCAGTCGAGGTATACCAAACCTTTTTTGATATACTGAGAGGACCGTTATTATTACTAACTTTATGCATCAGTTGTCAGAGCACCTTACCGATCACTGCACCTGTACACAGCCCATCTGAAATTAGCCCGCCCAACTACCTCATCCCTATATTGTTATTTATTTTGCTCATTTGTACCCCAGTATCTCTATTTGCACATCATCTCTTGCACATCTAGCATTCCAGTGTTAATACTAATTGTAATTATTTTGCACTATAGCCTATTTATTGCCTTACCTCCATAACTTGCTACATTTGCACACACTGTATATATATTTTTTTCTGTTGTATTTTTGACTTTGTTTTGTTTTACCCCATATGTAACTCTGTGTTGTTGTTTTTATCGCACTGCTTTGCTTTATCTTGGCCAGGTCGCAGTTGTAAATGAGAACTTGTTCTCAACTGGCTTACCTGGTTAAATAAAGGTTAAATAAAAAATAAAAATAATTAGCATGTTTTAACCACTCCTATGTAAATGGTAGATTATCAGACACTCAAGAAGAAGGTCTGATTTCATTATTACTGAAACAGGATACAAGTGGAAAATACAAAGATCCAGTCCATTAAAAAAATTGGAGGCCCCTTACACTTCAGTGTTGTGATGCAAAAATTCTACCAAAATGTATAGCACATAGAATTAAAAAGGTATTGTTGAACATTATTAATTCTAATCAGACAGGTTTTTTACATGGGTGATACATTGGAGATAATATAAGGCAAGTACTGGAAACAATAGAACACTATGAAAAATCTGGGAAACCAGGCCTACTATTCATAGCAGACTTCGAAAGGGCATTTGATCAAGGATGACTGGGGTTTATATATAAATGCCTGGAGCATTTCAAATTTGGACAATCTCTTATTTAAAAGTTTTAAACTGTCAAGAGGAGTGAAACAAGGTTGTCCACTATCGGCATATCTATTTATTATTGCCATCGAGATGTTAGCTATTAAAATCAGATCCAACAATAATATCAAGGGATTAGAAATCCAGGGCTTAAAAACAAAGTACTTTAGTATTATCCCAGTTTACCTATTTGCTTATGGTCTTGCCTACGCCTAGCGAACAGTTTTAAAAATTATATGAGAAAAAAATATTCCATTTTATTTGGAACGGCAAGCCAGACAAAATTAAACGGGCATTTTTATATAATGAATATGAATTCGGAGGACAGAAATTATTAAATATTAAAGCATTAGACCTATCACTAAAAGCTTGTCATACAAAAGTTATACTTAAATCCGAACTGGTTCTCTAGCAAATCAGTAAGATTGTCTCACACAATGTTCAAGAATGGCCTTTTTCCCTTTATTCAGATTACAACCTCTCACTTTAAGTTATTTGAAAAGGAAATAATCTCCCAAATATTACTATTTCTAAAAAAAAGCCATAGAAAGTAGGTTGCAATTTCAATTTAATCCTCCAGAAACTACAGAACAAATAATGCAACAAATATTGTGGTTAAACTAAAATATACTAATTGATAAAAAAACATTTTTGGGGGGCAAAATGTTTAAAAAAAGTATAATCTTCGTAAATGATATTATCGGTAGGACTGGTGGAGTTATGTCGCACATGCAGCTAACAAAAACATATGGAAATGTCTGCTCTACCCAAAATTACAACCAAATAATTGCAGCATTACCGCAAAAATGGAAAAGGAAAGTGGAAGGGGGAAAAAGTAAGGAACTTGTCTGTCGGCCTTGCATTAAAGAATATAATTGGTTAAAGAAAATTGTGATAAATAAAAAAGTATACCAGTTTCATTTAAGGACCAAAGGATTGACAGCCGTCCCATATACAGTGGGGAAAATACGTATTTAGTCAGCCACCAATTGTGCAAGTTCTCCCACTTAAAAAGATGAGAGAGGCCTGTAATTTTCATCATAGGTACATGTCAACTATGACAGACAAAATGAGGTAAAAAATATCCAGAAAATCACATTGTAGAATTTTTCATTAATTTATTTGCAAATTATGGTGGAAAATAAGTATTTGGTCAATAACAAAAGTTTCTCAATACTTTGTTATATACCCTTTGTTGGCAATGACACATGTCAAACGTTTTCTGTAAGTCTTCACAAGGTTTTCACACACTGTTGCTGGTATTTTGGCCCATTCCTCCATGCAGATCTCCTCTAGAGCAGTGATGTTTTGGGGCTGTCGCTGGGCAACACAGACTTTCAACTCCCTCCAAAGATTTTCTATGGGGTTGAGATCTGGAGACTGGCTAGGCCACTCCAGGACCTTGAAATGCTTCTTACGAAGCCACTCCTTCATTGCCCGGGCGGTGTGTTTGGGATCATTGTCATGCTGAAAGACCCAGCCACGTTTCATCTTCAATGCCCTTGCTGATGCCTATTCCCCCTCAGGAGACTAAAAAGATTTGGCATGGGTCCTCAGATCCTCAAAAAATTCTACAGCTGCACCATCGAGAGCATCCTGACTGGTTGCATCACCGCCTGGTATGGCAACTGCTTGGCCTCTGACCGCAAGGCACTACAGAGGGTAGTGCGTACGGCCCAGTACATCACTGGGGCAAAGCTCCCTGCCATCCAGGACCTCTATACCAGGCGGTGTCAGAGGAAGGCCCTCAAAATTGTCAAAGACTCCAGCCACCCTAGTCATAGACTGTTCTCTCTGCTACCGCACGGCAAGCGGTACCGGAGTGCCAAGTCTAGGTCCAAAAGACTTCTCAACAGCTTCTACCCCCAAGCCATAAGACTCCTGAACAGCTAATCATGGCTACCCGGACTATTTGCACTGCCCCCCCACCCCATCCTTTTTACGCTGCTGCTACTCTGTTAAGTATTTATGCATAGTCACTTTAACTCTACCCACATGTACATATTACCTCAACTACCTCAACTAGCCGGTGCCCCCGCACATTGACTCTGCAACGGTACCCCCCTGTATATATAGCCTCCCTACTGTCACTTTATTTTACTGTATATATAGCCTCCCTACTGTCACTTTATTTTACTTCTGCTCTTTTTTTCTCAACACTTTTTTGTTGTTGTTGTTTTATTCTTACTTTTTTTGTTTAAAATAAATGCACTGTTGGTTAAGGGCTGTAAGTAAGCATTTAACTGCAATGTCTGCACCTGTTGTATTCGGCGCATGTGACCAATACAATTTGATTTGATTTGATTTGATTTGATGGAAGGAGGTTTTCACTCAAAATCTCACGATACATGGCCCCATTCATTCTTTCCTTTACACGGATCAGTCGTCCTGGTCCCTTTGCAGAAAAACAGCCCCAAAGCATGAGGTATAGGTATGGTGTTCTTTGGATGCAACTCAGCATTCATTGTCCTCCAAACACGACGAGTTGAGTTTTTACCAAAAAGTTATATTTTGGTTTCATCTGACCATATGACATTCTCCCAATCCTCTTCTGGATCATCCAAATGCACTCTAGCAAACTTCAGACGGGCCTGGACATGTACTGGCTTAAGCAGGGGGACACGTCTGGCACTGCAGGATTTTAGTCCCTGGCGGCGTAGTGTGTTACTGATGGTAGGCTTTGTTACTTTGGTCCCAGCTCTCTGCCGGTCATTCACTAGGTCCCCCCGTGTGGTTCTGGGATTTTTGCTCACCGTTCTTGTGATCATTTTGACCCCACGGGGTGAGATCTTGCGTGGAGCCCCAGATCGAGGGAGATTATCAGTGGTCTTGTATGTTTTCCATTTCCTAATAATTGCTCCAACAGTTGATTTCTTCAAACCAAGCTGCTTATCTATTGCAGATTCAGTCTTCCCAGCCTGGTGCAGGTCTACAATTTTGTTTCTGGTGTCCTTTGACAGCTCTTTGGTCTTGGCCATAGTGGAGTTTGGAGTGTGACTGTTTGAGGTTGTGGACAGGTGTCTTTTATACTGATAACAAGTTCAAACAGGTGCCATTAATACAGGTAACGAGTGGAGGACAGAGGAGCCTCTTAAAGAAGAAGTTACAGGTCTGTGAGAGCCAGAAATCTTGCTTGTTTGTAGGTGACCAAATACTTATTTTCCACCATAATTTGCAAATAAATTTATAAAAAATCCTACAATGTGATTTTCTCAATTTGTCTGTCATAGTTGACGTGTACCTATGATGAAAATTACAGGCCTCTCTCATCTTTTTAAGTGGGAGAACTTGCACAATTGGTGGCTGACTAAATACTTTTTTCCACACTGTAGATTGCAAAATAGTTGGGAAGAGATTTTTGACGAACCGATTCCATGGCATAGTGTTTATGAATTGATACGCAAAATTTTTCAATTTAAATTATTATATAAAATTCTTGCTACCAATATAATGTTATTTTTATTGGGGATACAATCTTCCCAGCTCTGCAGATTTTGCTGCGAAGAGACAGAATCATTAGATCATTTGTTTTGGTACTGTCCATTTGTAGCTTGTTTTTGGACACAGGTCCAGGAATGGCTAAAGGATTGCAATATTTACCTGGCGCTAACCCTGCAGATAGCACTACTGGGTGATCTGAAAAGTCATAGTCAATCGATCAATAATATAATAATACTTTTAGCAAAAATGTTTATTTTCAATTTACGATCTGTAGAAACAATGAGAATAGAAAGGTTCAGAACTTTTGTAAATCATCACAGTACAGTAGAAAATATATGGCAAATAGAAATCCAATATGGATGGTGTTAAGAGATAGATGGGAGGTGTTGAATGGAGCTGAAGGATGGGACTAATAACAACAATGAATAACAACAAGAGAACTAATGTAAAGCATACTGTGTCCATAATAAGCACACCCGTCGCTATGGGCGGGCCATAGGGGGCCCACTTGAGGGAATGTATTATTAAATATACGTACTGTAGGCTAATAATAATTGTGCCCTGCCCTCCCATGCATTTCATATGCCATTCATGAGGAGTGGTCGGGAGAGGTTGTGTTTTCTCTAGCAGGAGGTAAGCTTGGCTTCTTATATGGTGTTGAGTAAAGCTTAAACCATGTATTTAGATTGTAGGTAGGTATTGTAGTTAGGTATTGTAGGTAGTTTACTTAGGTAGTTATTGTAGGTTATTGTAGGTAATTATTGTAGGTAAGTATTGTATTCGGCGGAGCCCGGCGAAGCACGAGGCTAGCTAACCCACTACCTGGACCAATAAAGCTAGCTAGCTAGCGGGTAGCTACTGGTAACTTTTAGCAACTGTGGATAGTTGTTTCCAATGTTATTTCACGCTTAAGAGTACCTGTAATTAAGCCAGCTAGCTACCTACCATTCAGCTGTTTTTCTAACCTCATTATCCGAGGCATTAACGTTAGGTAGTTAGTAGCTACTGTACTTAATTACAGCTACTGATTGCAGAAGACCAATGTCTTCTTGTCTACCACCCAGACAGCTGGCGTCGGGTAAGTTTGGCTTTATACATAGCTTGGGCTTTGTCGAGTAAGGCTTAAACTATGTATTTAGATTGTAGTTAGGTATTATAGGTAGGCATCGTGGGCTGTATATTATTAGGTATTATAGGTAGGCATCGTGGGCTGTTGTGGGTAGTTATTGTAGGCTAGCGTTGTTTTCGGCGGTGCCGGGTGTAGCACGAAGCTAGCTAGCTAGCTAACTCACCTCCTGGACTAGCTGGCGAGTAGCTATTAGCAACGGTAGCAACTAAATACAATATCCTTTTAGCCAGCTACATTTGTTCGCAGCGCCGCCGTTTTTCAAACAAAGTCAACACAGCAGCCATTGCTAGCTAGCCAACACGACCAGCTAGCTGTACTGTAGCAGCTAAATACAATATATTTGTGCTAGCTAGCCAACGTTTAATTATTGCTGCGTTATGAAAGGAACTAGACACGGACACGAATTATCTGTTTAGTGTGTTAACACACTATTGGTAGTTTGTTGTAACCAAGTATTGGTGCTAAACTGTGTGTTATTGGATGCTAGCATGCTAGTTAGCTATGGCGTCATAGTTAGCTAGCTGAATAAAGTAAGTTGAGTCTATTCCTTGAAACATTGAACCGCTGTAGTTCACAACAATTCTAATTTCTAAAGTGGAAGTTGGGAGAGTTTTATTCGGGTGGTTCAGTGAAACAATTATAGTTTCTGAGGTGGAAGTTGGGAGAGTTATATTTGGGAGTTTTGGTTTTTACTCTCTCCTTTCCCAGATGTTTAGTTCATTTCATTCCGATCTCCTCTGCATTATTGTAGCCATTTGCTACAGCCTGTCAACTATGCCTCTGCCTATCCCTGTTCTCTCCTCTCCGCACAGGCTACACAAACGCCTCACACCGCGTGGCTGCTGCCTCTCTAACCTGGTGGTCCCTGCACGCACCCCACACCTGGAGTTCCAGGTCTCAGGCAGCCTCTGGAACTGCCGTTCTGCTGCCAACAAGGCTGACTTCATCCCAGCCTATGCTACCCTTCAGTCCCTCGACTTCCTGGCGCTGACGGAAACATGGATTACCACTGAAAACATTGCTACTCCTACTGCTCTCTCCTCGTCTGACCATGTGTTCTCGCATACCCCGAGAGCATCTGGTCAGAGGGGTGGTGGCACAGGAATCCTCATCTCTCCCAAGTGGACATTCTCAATTTTTCCCCTAACCCATCTGTCTATCTCCTCATTTGAATTCCATGCTGTCACAGTCACTACCCCATTTAAGCTTAATATCCTTGTCATCTATCGCCCTCCAGGTTCCCTTGGAGAGTTCATCAATGAGCTTGACGCCTTGATAAGTTCCTTTCCTGAGGATGGCTCACCCCTCACAGTTTTGGGGGATTTCAACCTCCCTACGTCTACCTTTGACTCATTTCTCTCTGCCTCCTTCTTTCCACTCCTCTCCTCTTTTGACCTCGCCCTCTCACCGTCCCCCCCTACTCACAAGGCAGGCAATACGCTTGACCTCATCTTTACTAGATGCTGCTCTTCTACTAATCTCACTGCAACTCCCCTCCATGTCTACGACCACTACTTTGTATCCTTTTCTCTCTCGCTCTCCTCCAACACTACTCACTCTGCCCCTACACAGATGGTAATGCGCCGTCGCAACCTTCGCTCTCTCTCTCCCACTACTCTCTCCTCTTCCATCCTATCATCTCTTCCCTCTGCTCAATCCTTCTCCCTCCAATCTCCTGATTCTGCCTCCTCAACCCTCCTCTCCTCCCTTTCTGCATCCTTTGACTCTCTGTGTCCCCTATCCTCCCGGCCGGCTCGGTCCTCCCCTCCAGCTCCGTGGCTTGATGACTCATTGCGAGCTCACAGAACAGAGCTCCGGGCAGCGGAGCGGAAATGGAAGAAAACTAAACTCCCTGCCGACCTGGCATCTTTTCACTCCCTCCTCTCTACATTTTCTTCATCGGTTTCTGCTGCTAAGGCCACTTTCTACCACTCTAAATTCCAAGCATCTGCCTCTAACCCTAGGAAGCTCTTTGCCACATTCTCCTCCCTGCTGAATCCCCCCCCCCCCCCCCCCCCCCCCCCCTCTCTCTGTGGATGACTTCGTCAACCACTTTGAAAAGAAGGTTGACGACATCCGATCCTCGTTTGTTAAGTCTAATGACACTGCTGGTCCTGCTCACACTGCCCTACCCTATGCTTTGACTTCTTTCTCCCCTCTCTCTCCAGATAAAATCTTGCGACTTGTGACTGCAGGCCGCCCAACAACCTGCCCGCTTGACCCCATCCCCTCCTCTCTTCTCCAGACCATCTCCGGTGACCTTCTCCCCTACCTCACCTCGCTGATCAACTCATCCTTGACCGCTGGCTATGTCCCTTCCGTCTTCAAGAGAGCGAGAGTTGCACCCCCTTCTCAAAAAACCAACACTCGATCCCACTGATGTCAACAACTACAGACCAGTATCCCTTCTTTCTTTTCTTTCCAAAACTATTGAGCGTGCCGTCTTTAGCCAACTCTCTTGCTATCTCTCTCAGAATGACCTTCTTGATCCAAACCAGTCAGGTTTCAGGACTGGTCATTCAACTGAGACTGCTCTTCTCTGTGTCACGGAGGCTCTCCGCACTGCTAAAGCTAACTCTCTCTCCTCTGCTCTTGTCCTTCGAGACCTGTCTGCTGCCTTTGATACTGTGAACCATCAGATCCTCCTCTCCACCCTCTCCGAGCTGGGCATCTCCGGCGCGGCTCACTCCTGGATCGCGTCCTACCTGACCGGTCGCTCCTACCAAGTGGCGTGGCGAGAAGCTGTCTCCGCACCACGTGCTCTCACCACTGGTGTCCCCCAGGGCTCAGTTCTAGGCCCTCTCCTATTCTCCCTATACACCAAGTCACTTGGCTCTGTCATATCCTCACATGGCCTCTCCTATCATTGCTACGCTGACGATACACAACTAATCTTCTCCTTTCCCCCTTCTGATAACCAGGTGGCGAATCGCATCTCTGCATGTCTGGCAGACATATCAGTATGGATGACGGATCACCACCTCAAGCTGAACCTTGGCAAGACGGAGCTGCTCTTCCTCCCGGGGAAGGACTGCCCATTCCATGATCTCGCCATCACGGTTGACAACTCCGTTGTGTCCTCCTCCCAGAGTGCGAAGAGCCTTGGCGTGACCCTGGACAACACCCTGTCGTTCTCCGCTAACATCAAGGCGGTGACCCGATCCTGCAGGTTCATGCTCTACAACATTCGGAGAGTACGACCCTGCCTTACACAGGAAGCGGCACAGGTCCTAATCCAGGCACTTGTCATCTCCCGTCTGGATTTCTGCAACTCGCTGTTGGCTGGGCTCCCTGCCTGTGCCATTAAACCCCTACAACTCATCCAGAATACCGCAGCCCGTCTGGTGTTCAACCTTCCCAAGTTCTCTCACGTCACCCCGCTCCTCCGCACACTCCACTGGCTTCCAGTTGAAGCTCGCATCTGTTACAAGACCATGGTGCTTGCCTATGGAGCTGTGAGGGGATCGGCACCTCTGTACCTTCAGGCTCTGATCAGCCCCTACACCCAAACGAGGGCATTGCGTTCATCCACCTCTGGCCTGCTGGCTCCCCTTCCTCTGCGGAAGCATAGTTCCCGCTCAGCCCAGTCAAAACTGTTCGCTGCTCTGGCACCCCAATGGTGGAACAAGCTCCCTCACGACGCCAGGACAGCGGAGTCACTCACCACCTTCCGGAGACATTTGAAACCACACCTCTTTAAGGAATACCTGGGATAGGATAAAGTAATCCTTCTACCCCCCCCCCCCCCTTAAAAAAAAAAATAAATAAAAAAATGGTAAAGTGGTTATCCCACTGGCTATAGGGTGAATGCACCAATTTGTAAGTCGCTCTGGATAAGAGTGTCTGCTAAATGACGTAAATGTAAAAAAAAAAGTAAAATATGCCCCCCTTAAGACTGAGGTCTGGCGACGGGTCTGATAATAAGTATATAGGTAATAGGTTGAGAGCTTTTGTGAAAGAGCACAGTTAGAAAAATATGGCATATAGAAGCAAACCAGATGGACATCATGAAAATGATCGGAGGAAGTTCAGGAGTAAAAACAAACAAAATATAATTATTGCAAAATTTGACTGTGTCCATAAAATGTATATAGTATGTATAAGCTGGAAGTAGAGGCCTAAGCATTGTTGTTCACTAGTTTACTCCAATTAGGGAAGGGGTGGTGGGGTTGGAAAGTAATGAAGGGAAATATAATTTTAAAAATGATATGTGTGTGTGTATTGATGTATGTATACAGTGGGGAAAAGATGAGAGAGGCCTGTAATTTTCATCATAGGTACACGTCAACTATGACAGACAAATTGAGAAAAAAAAAATCCAGAAAATCACATTGTAGGATTTTTAATGAATTTATTTGCAAATTATGGTGGAAAATAAGTATTTGGTCACCTACAAACAAGCAAGATTTCTGGCTCTCACAGACCTGTAACTTCTTCTTTAAGAGGCTCCTCTGTCCTCCACTCGTTACCTGTATTAATGGCACCTGTTTGAACTTGTTATCAGTATAAAAGACACCTGTCCACAACCTCAAACAGTCACACTCCAAACTCCACTATGGCCAAGACCAAAGAGCTGTCAAAGGACACCAGAAACAAAATTGTAGACCTGCACCAGGCTGGGAAGACTGAATCTGCAATAGATAAGCAGCTTGGTTTGAAGAAATCAACTGTTGGAGCAATTATTAGGAAATGGAAAACATACAAGACCACTGATAATCTCCCTCGATCTGGGGCTCCACGCAAGATCTCACCCCGTGGGGTCAAAATGATCACAAGAACGGTGAGCAAAAATCCCAGAACCACACGGGGGGACCTAGTGAATGACCGGCAGAGAGCTGGGACCAAAGTAACAAAGCCTACCATCAGTAACACACTACGCCGCCAGGGACTCAAATCCTGCAGTGCCAGACGTGTCCACCTGCTTAAGCCAGTACATGTCCAGGCCCGTCTGAAGTTTGCTAGAGTGCATTTGGATGATCCAGAAGAGGATTGGGAGAATGTCATATGGTCAGATGAAACCAAAATAGAACTTTTTGGTAAAAACTCAACTCGTCGTGTTTGGAGGACAAAGAATGCTGAGTTGCATCCAAAGAACACCATACCTACTGTGAAGCATGGGGTGGAAACATCATGCTTTGGGGCTGCTTTTCTGCAAAGGGACCAGGACGACTGATCCGTGTAAAGGAAAGAATGAATGGGGCCATGTATCGTGAGATTTTGAGTGAAAACCTCCTTCCATCAGCAAGGGCATTGAAGATGAAACGTGGCTGGGTCTTTCAGCATGACAATGATCCCAAACACACCGCCCAGGCAACGAAGGAGTGGCTTCGTAAGAAGCATTTCAAGGTCCTGGAGTGGCCTAGCCAGTCTGCAGATCTCAACCCCATAGAAAATCTTTGGAGGGAGTTGAAAGTCCGTGTTGCCCAGCGACAGCCCCAAAACATCACTGCTCTAGAGGAGATCTGCATGGAGGAATGGGCCAAAATACCAGCAACAGTGTGTGAAAACCTTGTGAAGACTTACAGAAAACGTTTGACCTGTGTCATTGCCAACAAAGGGTATATAACAAAGTATTGAGAAACTTTTGTTATTGACCAAATACTTATTTTCCACCATAATTTGCAAATCAATTCATAAAAAATCCTACAATGTGATTTTCTGGATTTTTTTTCTCATTTTGTCTGTCATAGTTGACGTGTACCTATGATGGAAATTACAGGCCTCTCTCATCTTTTTAAGTGGGAGAACTTGCACAATTGGCGGCTGACTAAATACTTTTTTTCCCCACTGTATATGTTTATATGTGTGTGTATGTGTGTGTATGTATGTGTATATATGTATGTGTATGTGTGTGTATATATATATATATATGTGTGTGTATGTATGTGTATATATGTATGTGTATGTGTATATATATATATATGTGTATGTATGTGTATGTATGTATGTATATATATATATATATATATATATATGTATATATTTGCGAGAAAAAAACATATGGGGGATTGGAAGTGATGCAGACAATTACATTGATGGAAGTTCAAATCTATCTGAAATATTAAAGCTGATCTACCCCCTAAAAAAAAAAAAAAAAAAAAATAGATAGATAAGTACAGTGCATTCGGAAAGTATTCAGACACCTTCCCTTTTTCCACATTTTGTTACATTACAGCCTTATTCTAAAATTGATAAAACATTCGTCATCAATCTACACACAATACCCCATAATGACAAAGCGAAAACCGGTTTTTAGAAATGTTTGCAAATGTATAAAAAATAAAAAACAGAAATACCTTACTTACATAAGTATTCAGACCCTTTGCTATGAGATTTGAAATTGAGCTCAGGTGCATCCTGTTTCCATTGATCATCCTTGAGATGTTTCTACAACTTGATTGTAGTCCACCTGTGGTAAATTCAATTGATTGGACATGATTTGGAAAGGCACACACCTGTCTATATAAGGTCCCACAGTTGACAGTGCATGTCAGAGCAAAAACCAAGCCATGAGGTCGAAGGAATTGTCCGTAGAGCTCAGAGACTGGATTATGTCGAGGCACAGATCTGGGGAAGGGTACTAAAAAATGTCTGCAGCATTGAAGGTCCCCAAGAACACAGAGGCCTCCATCGTTCTTAAGTGGAAGAAGTTTAGAACCACCAAGACTCTTCCTAGAGATGGCCGCACGGCCAAACTGAGCAATCGGGGGAGAAGGGCCTTGGTCAGGGAGGTGACCAAGAACCCAATGGTCACTCTGACAGAGCTCCAGAGTCCTCTGTTGAGATGGGAGAACCTTCCAGAAGGACAACCATCTCTGCATCACTCCACCAATCAGGCCTTTATGGTAGAGTGGCCAGACGGAAGCCACTCCTCAGTAAAAGGCACATGACAGCCCATTTGGAGTTTGCCAAAAGGCACCTAAAGGACTCAAGATTATCTGGTCTGATGAAACCAAGATTGAACTCTTTGGTCTGAGTGCCAAGCATCACGTCTGAAGGAAACCTGGCACCATACCTACGGTGAAGCATGGTGATGGCAGCATCATGGTGTGGGGATGTTGTCAGGATCAAGGGAAAGATGAACAGAGAAAAGTACAGAGAGATCCTTGATGAAAACCTGCTCCAGAGCGCTCAGGACTTCAGACTGGGGCGAAGGTTTACCTTCCAACAGGACAACAACCCTAAGCACACAGCCAAGACAACGCAGGAGTGGCTTCGGGACAAGTCTCTGAATGTCCTTGAGTAGTCCAGCCAGAGCCCGGACTTGTACCCGATCAAACATCTCTGGAGAGACCTGAAAATAGCTGTGCAGCTACACTCCCCATCCAATCTGACAGAGCTGGAGAGGATCTGCAGAATGGGAGAAACTCCCCAAATACAGGCATGCCAAGCTTGTAGCGTCATACTCAAGAAGATTCAAGGCTGTAATCGCTGCCAAAGGTGCTTCAACAAAGTACTGAGTAAAAGGTCTGAATACTTATGTAAATGTAATATTTCAGTTTTTTATTTTTAAAACATTTGCAAATGTTTATCGAAACCTGTTTTTGCTTTGTCATTATGGGATATTGTGTGTAGATTGATGAGGGAAAAAAAAACAATTTAATCCATTTTAGAATAAGGCTGAAACGTAAATCACATTTATCACCTATTGGATGCTTTGGAATGCCACTTGTGACATTTGCTTACATGTCTCATTCTGAGTCGAGCAGGAAATACACAGGCTTTCAAACAGAATGCTCTGTGATTGGCTGGCCCCTCATCCGAGGGTCAGCTGACTCGGTTCCCATGAGTCCACACCAAGGAGGACTGGAGTGGTCCGCTGGCCCCTGACCGTTGACCCTCCTGAACTGTTAATCAAACCAGTTAACCTATTTCAGTGGCCTAGAGGGCAGCCATGTTACACCTGACCTGTGACTCTGACCAGCCCAGAGCCAGGTCCATGTTATCCACTGGGACTGCAGCAGTCTCTATGGTAACGCTATTGTCAGAGTTGTCCTTACTCAACCCTCCAGTGAAAGCATTTTATAGTAGGCATAATCTGATACTGTCCAATGCAGTTTTTATCTTGGTTATATGAGTAATACCTTTATCTGTCACTCCATATTCCCAAACAGAGGGAGAAAAGCAAAGTTGTTTTACAGTCATGGTCATGTTGCCATTTGGAAACTGGAGGGAGAGTTAGACTACTTAACATTCTCAGGGGTTGGGTTGCAGGTGGAACAAAGAGTTAGAATCCACACACCAACAATGGAACTATTGTCAAGAGTCAAATCAGTGGTGCAAAATGGTAATACAATGACCACTACATCAATGCTGTAGAGATAAAATCGAAGCAATCATAATAGTTTTTGATATGGGGAAAAACATACATTTTCCGAATGCATAGCCTGATAAACAAATTATTACAAAACGTAACAACCAGAAAATATAGCATTTTACAAGCATTGGCCAAGGACATGGTGGTGTGTGCATGGGTGTGTTTCCAAAGTGGAAAAAGTCAAAAGTACTGTAGAGGTACTATCTGTATACTTCTCTCGAATATTCCTACCACCTGTGCAACTGCTGTTCTTTAAGCCTGCAGTATAGTATGTAGCCATTTGGGCCTACAGTTTAGTATGTAGCCATTTGGGCCTACAGTATAGTATGTAGCCATTTGGGCCTACAGTATACATTTACATTTACATTTACGTCATTTAGCAGACGCTCTTATCCAGAGCGACTTACAAATTGGTTTATTCACCTTATAGCCAGTGGGATAACCACTTTACAATATGTTTTTTTCTTTCTTTGGGGTGGGGTAAGGGGGGGTAGAAGGATTACTTTATCCTATCCCAGGTATTCCTTAAAGAGGTGCGGTTTCAAGTGTCTCCGGAAGGTGGTGAGTGACTCCGCTGTCCTGGCGTCGTGAGGGAGCTTGTTCCACCATTGGGGTGCCAGAGCAGCGAACAGTTTAGACTGGGCTGAGCGGGAACTGTGCTTCCGCAGAGGTAGGGGGGCCAGCAGGCCAGAGGTGGATGAACACGATGCCCTCGTTTGGGTGTAGGGACTGATGAGAGCCTGAAGGTACGGAGGTGCCGTTCCCCTCACAGCTCCGTAGGCAAGCACCATGGTCTTGTAACAGATGCAAGCTTCAACTGGAAGCCAGTGGAGTGTGCGGAGTAGCGGGGTGATGTGAGAGAACTTGGGAAGGTTGAACATCAGACGGGCTGCGGCATTCTGGATGAGTTGTAGGGGTTTAATGGCACAGGCAGGGAGCCCAGCCAACAGCGAGTTGCAGTAATCCAGACGGGAGATGACAAGTGCCTGGATTAGGACCTGTGCCGCTTCCTGTGTAAGGCAGGGTCGTACTCTCCGAATGTTGTAGAGCATGAACCTACAGGATTGGGTCACCGCCTTGATGTTAGCGGAGAATGACAGGGTGTTGTCCAGGGTCATGCCAAGGCTCTTTGCACTCTGGGAGGAGGACACAACGGAGTTGTCAACCGTGATGGCGAGATCATGGAACGGGCAGTCCTTCCCCGGGAGGAAGAGCAGCTCCGTCTTGCCGAGGTTCAGCTTGAGGTGGTGATCCGTCATCCACACTGATATGTCTGCCAGACATGCAGAGATGCGATTCGCCACCTGGTTATCAGAAGGGGGAAAGGAGAAGAATAGTTGTGTGTCGTCTGCGTAGCAATGATAGGAGAGGCCATGTGAGGATTTGACAGAGCCAAGTGACTTGGTGTATAGCGAGAATAGGAGAGGGCCTAGAACTGAGCCCTGGGGGACACCAGTGGTGAGAGCACGTGGTGCGGACACAGCTTCTCGCCACGCCACTTGGTAGGAGCGTCCGGTCAGGTAGGACGCAATCCAAGAGTGAGCCGCGCCGGAGATGCCCAACTTGGAGAGGGTGGAGAGGAGGATCTGATGGTTCACAGTATCAAAGGCAGCAGACAGGTCTAGAAGGACAAGAGCAGAGGAGAGAGAGTTAGCTTTAGCAGTGCGGAGCAGAGCATATGAGCGGAGTGGAGCGGTGAGAATCTCAGCTCCTCGCTCACGGAGCTGTTCACCCCTCCGCTCCCCCCGCTCAAAGCCACATCAGGCCAGTCCGCTCATTATCGCTCAGCGCTCAACGCAGTTTGCATCGCGCTCCACTCAAATCGCCCCCCGCTCACTCCAAAAAAGGAACAAAATCTGCATGTATTTCACCTTTAGCTTAAACCACAGCCTTACTTTATCTCCCCGAATTTGTTGCATACAGACTCATCTCGGATTATCCATTCTGTCTTGAAACGGGGATCTAACACTGACGCTAAAATGAGATGTTAATCAGTATAGTATATTCCATAGCGAATTGACACGTTGTTTGCCAATGTTTCTGCAAAAGCAGCGATGCCCATTGGAAGTGCAGCGTGAGTGTAATCGGTGAGCAGGGATTTGATTTCTGTTACAGCAGGGAGGATCATCCCCAGGTTCCCCAGCTCCTTCTGCATTTTGTCTGTGAGGTCTGCTAGTGGTGTCAGCACACTGACAAGGTGCGTCAGCTGCCGTACTTGATTCAGGGTGATGTTAGCAACATTAGACTTGAGTTTGTTTTACCATAACGGGTCTTTTTGGAACAACCGGATGAACGACTGAATCATCCGCAGCTGGCTGCTCCATCGAATGGCGCAGGCATTTGTGGGGTGGACACCTAATTGGTCGGTTTCCTCTGTGCTCTTGCGTACACTTTTCACCAGGTGCCCGACTTTCACTAACAGCCTATTAATGTTGTCGTGCTTGTTAACGGCGTTTTTGATCGCCAGCTGAAGCATGTGAATGGGGCATCTCAGATGTAAATTTGACAAAGTAAAGTACTGATTTATCATAGTTTCTTGGGGGAGTGTAGCCCGGTTGAGCTGCGCTGGCGAAGTGTTGCATCCCTTCGCGTTCTCCTTTACTCAGCGGTTCATAGTCCATGAAAATCATTTCAAAAAATGCTACATCCAGCTCTCTTTTTCTCTCCCTTGTTATGGTTGGGCCTTTGCGTGCAGTGAATAAACTTTTGAATTCCTCAACCCTTTTCTCTTGTTGCTGCTGCTGCTCCTCTCGCTCTATAAAATACAAATTAATGGACGACACAAATTAAATTAAACAGATGGATTCTGGGTCAGGCTTGAGCATGCTTCAGACTCGTGGTGTGAGCGAGCGAAATTGGAGCGGGTCATAGGGCGACGCTCCGTCCTTTTAAAAATGCCGCTCTGCGCTCTGTTCAAAATCCGTCCGCTCACGCTCCACGCTCGCTCCCACTCCACTCCGCTCATATGCTCTGGTGCGGAGGGCCTCCGTGACACAGAGAAGAGCAGTCTCAGTTGAATGACCAGTCTTGAAAGGGAGTCTAGTTTTCCTCCATTTCCGCTCGGCTGCCCGGAGCCCTGTTCTGTGAGCTCGCAATGAGTCGTCAAGCCACGGAGCAGGAGGGGAGGACCGAGCCGGCCGGGAGGATAGGGGACATAGAGAGTCAAAGGATGCAGAAAGGGAGGAGAGGAGGGTTGAGGAGGCAGAATCAGGAGATTGGAGGGAGAAGGATTGAGCAGAGGGAAGAGATGATAGGATGGAAGAGGAGAGAGTAGCGGGAGAGAGAGAGCGAAGGTAGTGACGGCGCATTACCATCTGAGTAGGGGCAGATTGAGTAGTGTTGGAGGAGAGCGAGAGAGAAAAGGATACAAGGTAGTGGTTGGAGACATGGAGGGGAGTTGCAGTGAGATTAGTAGAAGAGCAGCATGTAGTAAAGATTAGGTCAAGCGTATTGCCTGCCTTGTGAGTAGGGGGGGACGGTGAGAGGGTGAGGTCAAAAGAGGAGAGGAGTGGAAAGAAGGAGGCAGAGAGAAATGAGTCAAAGGTAGACGTAGGGAGGTTAAAGTCATCCAGAACTGTGAGGGGTGAGCCATCCTCAGGAAAGGAACTTATCAAGGCATCAAGCTCATTGATGAACTCTCCAAGGGAACCTGGAGGGTGATAAATGACAAGGATGTTAAGCTTGAATGGGCTAGTGACTGTGACAGCATGGAATTCAAATGAGGAGATAGACAGATGGGTCAGGGGAAAAAGAGAGAATGTCCACTTGGGAGAGATGAGGATTCCTGTGCCACCACCCCACTGACCAGATGCTCTCGGGGTATGCGAGAACACATGGTCAGACGAGGAGAGAGCAGTAGGAGTAGCAGTGTTTTCAGTGGTAATCCATGTTTCCGTCAGCGCCAAGAAGTCGAGGGACTGGAGGGTAGCATAGGCTGAGATTAACTCTGCCTTGTTGGCCGCAGAACGGCAGTTCCAGAGGCTGCCGGAGACCTGGAACTCCACATGGGTGGTGTGTGTAGGGACCACCAGGTTAGAGAGGCAGCAGCCACGCAGTGTGAGGCGTTTGTATAGCCTGTGCGGAGAGGAGAGAACAGGGATAGACAGAGGCATAGTTGACAGGCTACAGAAAATGGCTACAATAATGCAAAGGAGATCGGAATGAAATGAACTAAACATCTGGGAAAGCGAGAGAGCGGTGCCTCCCTCACTTACGTTTCACTGAAACACCCAAATATAACTCTCCCAACTTCCACCTCAGAAACTATAATTGTTGTAAACTACAGCGGTTCAATGTTTTCTAGGAATATACTAACTTAGTATAGTATGAAGCCATTTGGGCCTACAGTATAGTATGTAGCCATTTGGTCCTAATCCAGCTGAGAGTTTTAGTAGAACAATGCTCTCTGTCTGTTGTCTTTCAGGTCCAAAATACCTGGTATTATTCTGGCTGAGGCCTTATTAATAATCTTAATAAGGTGCTGATGAAAACCAGGGAGAGAGCAGTGACATTACACTGCATGATGTCAGCAATCTGCACATCAATGCTGAGACGTTAGCTGGTCTGATTTTAGTGTGTGTGCGTGTGTGCTTGTGAGCGTGTGTGCTTGCGAGCATGTGAGCAAGTGTGTTAGCGAGCGTGTGTGCATGTGCATGCTTGCATTATGCATTTGTTTATACCTGTATCAACTGCTTTAATCTTACTCAATACTCACTTTTTATCCACTCGAAACAAAACTCCAGCTTGAAATGCAGTGACTGCCTGTCAGTATGACGTTACCCAGAGAGATTTCCCTCCAGTTTTCATCTTTACTGTGGAAAGACCCAGTGCAGTATTTCACCAGCATCAAAGGTCCAGCCTGTCTCTATCTGAGAGCCATTCAGAATCAGAACAGATAATGTTTAGGTTTGTTCTCCTCAGAATCGGCCTTGACAGACAGAAATATCTTGCTCCGAGTTTGACCCCAGAGTTCTTAATTTTCTCAATAAAACAAGCCTTTGAAGTGCCAAATAAGAATGTACACACATTTGTTCAATTATATTTGGGAGAACATTTTAAACAGAAGTTTTCATTTCTCTCTCTGCTGCATGTGTTTGGCTGAACAAAGAGTCCATTTAGTTCTAGAACACAAAAAAGGGGGGAATGAAGTGGGACATTGTGAGTTGAGTTTCATGGTGAGTTAGGCTCTTAAAATAATGTCGTTCAATAACAGGATGTGGAATTATTACACCGTTTATGAGCTGAATCGATATGCTAGCTTAAGTATGTAACATGTTTGGAAATATGATTTTTAACATGAATCACCAATTATATTTGTGTTATTGTGCATTAAGTTGCCTAAGCAAAATCGTGTGTTAGCCACTCTAAACTGAGGCAAGATGCACGTGAGGTGGTGCCTGGACCCAAACACTGTGTTGACGCTCACAAACGGTTAAATACGTAATGATATGAAGATCCCTTAACCTATTGATATTCAGTATATCTAGCATAATCTGTCATTCACTTGAGCAACGCTATGGAAGTTTTTTCTCAGCATTTACTATAGATCTCTTCTGCCTGTCACCCGCAGTAGAAGATGTGCTCCTCAGGGGTTGGTTAGGGGAGTCATTAAGTTTCACTGTAGATGTATCACACCAGCCCAAAACACCATTAATCTCCCGAGGACATCACAGCCTCTGTGTGCTATCTTTATTCCAGTTTATCCATCCAGTGGCTCATTGATGATTGACGGTATCGGTGTCTGTGTTACACTGGAAATAATGCTGAGAGAGCATCTGTGAATCTGTTATTGGTAAGGTTGTGAAAATGATGGTAAAAATATGGAATCATGTAGTAGCATCGATATGTCCCTCCTCCAATAACTAAATGTCTCTCTAATTTGCCCTTTTCAATGACACATCGGCTTCTTTCAAATCAAACTCTGCTATTAGACGGAAAGGGTCGGTCTCAACCGTCTCTTTCAGTTAATCTCCTGCTGGATGGTATGCTGGTACTGGTCGTTATACCACATATGGTAGCAATCACATTCTGTTATAGGCAACCCTTCATGAAGCATTAATAACAGTGTGGCTTGGGTTTTAATAAAAAAGCGTGGAACGAATTATGGACTTATCCCATTGATGTAGAGCAGAAGTGTGGCCAAAAGCCATTCCAGGGATTGGAGAGATGACAGAGTGCAGGAATTTGATTGGTGGAAGAGCAAGGCTTCCCAGTAATTACTGACCAGGCCCTTGGGATTCGTACAGTGGTTGGGGGAGAACACACATCAAGTCTATAGACATCACAGACACAGAACTGACAGTGAGTCTACAGACATCACAAACCCTACTACTGCAGTAACACACAGCAAATCTACAGACATCCGAGACACTGAACACACAGCGAGTCTACAGACACCACAGACCCTAGACAGGCTCCTCGGAATATATATAGATAGTGTCGAATCAAAATGTATTGGTCGCGTACACAGATTTGCAGATGTTATCGCAGGTGCAGTGAAATGCTTATATTTCTAACAGTGCAGTAATATCTATCAATACAATAACCCCCAAAAAACTACAAAACAAAAACAAGGAATCAAGATATATCAGTGTAAGTGCTAAGCTGTGCCAAGTCAAACCGTCTTTGTGGGTGGGCAGAGAAGACCTCACCCCTGCCCCTAGAGCGAGTGACATTTCTGTCTTTCAATCAGCCCCTACCCACAGATACCACCCCTACTCACTGTGCCAGTGAAAGTGAGGCTTCTAGTGGGTGGGCAGAGAAGCACTCACGCCTGTTCCTAGAGGGAGTGACATCTCTGTCCTTAAATCAGCATCCATTCTGTGAGGTGACAGGTTAGATGTACAGCACGGTAGGGTGGGGCCCTTGCTCCACTCTCCCTCATAGACTGTCTGTGTCACGTTATATTGGGTCCCTTAATGTAGTATTTATGTCTTGCTGAGTGTCACGTTATATTTGGTCTCAAAATTGGGCTTAATGCCACCCTGGCTGTATGGATCCTTTGTGCCATTATGTTACTTCTACTTCTAGTTTCCTAACCAAATAAGGCCACAATATGTTGCTCATGTTATTGTCATGTTATTAAATGTCATGTTATTACATGTAATAACTTATCACCAGGCTTGTAGTCACAGTTAAATCTATTGAAGTGAAGGACTACAGTGAATCTACTGTGAATTACGTACTGTGATCGTGAACTGTGATGCTTGTCTTCCATTACACTGTAATGACTGCATTCAGCACTTCTGATGAGCTATCCCATTACTCAGATGGGGCTGTGGCTACTGTTCAGTCTTATCAACTGGTTTGTCTTGAGTAAGTGCAAATGCACTGCTCTTATTAACAGCACGCTCTCTGTCTCATTGATTTCCATTAGTCTGAACACACCAATACGTCAGCTTGATCAACTCAGGCAAGATGGAACAGAGTATGTAGTGGTTAGAAATGCATTGGAATGTCAGCCTGTGTGAAGATACATTTACATTGTTAGAAGACACATTAAATTAAACACACACACACCTACCCTTCTCCATATCACCTTACCATCGGGAGCCCATTTATATCATATTACCTGTTCTTTTAGTTGTGTATTGATCACAGCAGGCCCTGAGCCTGGTCATGTGTGGATTAGGACGTGCTCTATTACCTGAACCTGACTGTCACTATGTCAGATAATGGCCTGGACACTGGACAGCATTATGGCTACCAGGTCATCCTGACTAGCTGCTGATCGATCGCTGGGAGTGTGAAGTGTCTCTGATTGCAGTGTGTCTCGTTTCCATGGTATACATGGTTACCTATTGTCACTGGAGGAGTTCTCTACAACCCCTTGGCACTAGTCAGTGTGTTACAGTGGACTGATGTAGTTTTAAGATACTCCATAATCAGGGTTCTAGGTAGCTAGCCTATATGCACATTGCAAATTCGGCCATAGCGTAATGTCAGTTTAAACAGTCTGTTCACTATTTTGTGTGGTGAAAGGATGTCATTGCAATTGTCTGTCTTTGGACATCTGGAGTGACAGTTAAAGTATTGGGCAATTAGAATTCATATATTCAATTTTTTGTCTTTGTCAGTGTCTGGTTTTTCTCATCCCTCAAATCACAGAATGTCAGAGTGATGTATTGTCTTTAGGGGGACATTTGGACTAAGGATGACTTCATTTCCGAATTATGACAATGGCAGACAGAATGGTAGACAGAAAGACATGAATAATAAGTAATGGTACCCTCGGTTATCTTGTCATTTTCTTGACATCACAAATTGTTTAATGGTGAAGCAAATTGTTTTTGATCCTGATGGTTGTTGATGATGTCTATGAACATTATCATTAGGTGTGTGTGTGTGTCTGTCTGTATTTGACAGTGTGTGGTACAAATCTATGAAGTCTACTTTCCTCAATACAGTCTCCAGAGATGATGATCTACACAAACACACACACACACACACACACACACACACACACACACACACACACACACACACACACACACACACACACACACACACACACACACACACACACACACACACACACACACACACACACACACACACACACACACACACAGGAAGCAAATCCACTGCTCCAAAGCCGTATGTGACACGGGTCTTATTGAATATCGTCATAAATCTCTGACCCCCAATTAGCCTCTCACAAAAGCGCTTTAATATTAAATCATGAGAGTTGGGGAGGTGATCTCTGCTATAGTTCAGGCCCTAGGGGCTAGAGGTACAATAATTTGCCTGTCTTTTTCTTGACCTAGAGATGTGGGAATGAACCGAAGCCAAGTCTCCAACTTGTTCACAGGAAGTGGACATTGTCTCAAATTTGGTCACTAATCAATGTGAGCAGAGTGTCAGCATTTTGTATTGTCCATTTTGTCTGGTGATCTGTGAGGATAACCTCAAAAGAAAACATGATAAAATAAACACACACAGGAGAGCAAGTCAATTTGAATTAATCATCTTTGACTTGTACACCATCTAGTAAAAAATCTGGCACCAGAAGTGACCTCACTGTGTTGTGAATTAATTTAAACATGCCCCTATGTCAGGTCCCCTGTGTTCTGCTTCATCCACTGACTGACCTAGGCTCCCTCTCTCCTTTCCCCTTCTCTCCTCACTTAGATTGAAACGAAGAGGCTGAAAGCTGATCAGGCACCATGTCTCCCTCCTTAGAGAGAACAATAGAGAGGCCATCCCATCCAGACCATAGAACGGCAGTTTGAGACATCACCTTCCATCCACCAGACCAGAGGAGATCTGACTCCCTCTCCAAGGCACATTGGACATCTGGTAAGTGGCATGGGATCTAATTTACCTTTTGAAGGGTGACCAGTTTTGAAAGGGATGAGGGAAGGGGAGTGTGGGGGGTTTGTAGTGGGCAGAGTACAGGACAGGTGGTGAGCGTAGGCTTTGGAAACAGCCGTATAATCGCAGGCTGAACACAGAGACGGAGGATAGTAATAATAGGTACTACTGGGAAGTGAAGCCACTCAACCGTTCTATTGAACAGGCATTGTCCTCCTAGCTTACACACGCACTCACTCACACACGCACGCACACACACACACACACACACACACACACACACACACACACTCACACACACACACACACACACACACACACACACACACACACACACACACACACACACACACATTAGTTTTACTGTAGTTTCAGATGCAGCGGGCAGAGATCTTTAAAATGCACTAAAGAGGTCAGAGGCTCATGAATATCCACTCAGGGGTAAGCTTCATTTACCGTTAATGACTCTCCCTGAGGGCAAGCTGGCTGCTGGATTCTCTCTCTCTCCCTTTTCCTCTCTCTCTCTTTCTCCCCCCCCCCCCCTTCATCTCATTAACTCAGATCCTCCTCTTGTCTGATGATCTGTTGATCCCTGTACTGATATTTCTCCATAGCTCTTACTTCCCGTTTCTCATGTCTTTGATTCCTCTTCTAGCGGTCAGTGAAGTAACCAGGCAGGCTGATATCATGGTCATGAAACCCCAATGTCCACTGCTCAACATATGGACAAATCAATGAGAGGCCTTTTCATTAGACAAGCTGTCATCAGGGAGCCCCTTCAATAACAGCGGAAATGGCAACGGCAGCATTGGACTCAGTTGTTTCTTTCTTGGTTGATTTATAATTACAGCAGATGTTTGACTGACTTTCTGCTTTTGATCAACTAATTATAAAGGAAACACAGGTGCTAAATAATCTTCTGGTGCATGGAGGAATGTGATCTTAAGTTTCCACCAGCCTTAATGTTGTAATTAGAGACTGGAGTCTTCAATGGAGAGAAGGAACCCTCATATTAAACATATCATCAGAGAGACATATTTGTTTGACATCTGCTCAGGCTGCCATGTTCTTGCATCTTACCTGACATGTTTATCAGTTGACTCTTCTCTCTGGTGAGCAGCAATACAGAAACACTGTACATCTAATTAGCATGATCCTTTAATTAAGTTTAGTTTACCTCATGTCCTGTATTCTATTTATTTATACTACATGTATGTTCCTGTAGCATATGTGGAAACCTGTGAAAGAATACCAGAATGTTTACAGTCTACAAAAAAATTGCACATTCAGTCATAATATTTTAGAAAAAGATTTTCCCTCCAATTTCTCCCCCTCAGTATTTCAGACAATTAATCAGACTGAATAGTCCAGAACACTATCAACAGATTTGTCACTTTCTCCCTGTCTTTCTGAGAATAGCCTGGCCTGGCCTATAGAGGGTATATGGGTCAGAGAGGTGACTTGGTGGTGGAATGCTCTCTCCCCCTGAACTCCATGCTCCAGGGTCACCAGGGCCAGATCCCCACAGAGAGGGCTCTATCCTGGACCAGTAGAGACCAAGGAGTGGGCAGTTGCTACAGTCAGTTGAGGGGTGAAGAGTGAAGACTGTGTGTGGCAACTCAATCAGGGAAAATAATAGATGTTACCTGTAGTATGTGGACACAATGATATGTGACCCTATATTGAAGCACTAGCTACATGCTGGACTTACAGGGTGTTATAGATGGTGAATACTGTGATTGGGATGAGTTTAACATGAATTTCCATGACTGAACAAACCCAAAACAAACCTCCAGTCCAGTACTTGTATTGGTCACTGTGACCAGTTGGACACAGTTTGGAACCATTGGGCTGGCATTGTAGTGGCCTCTAACAGTAATAATAGTCTTGCCAAATGCCCCTTCCTGCTACATCAGCTGCTCTATATGACTGATGTAAGCTAAGCAGTGTCCATAACAGACAGGCAGGCACTCCGGAATTGAAGAATGTGTGATGTCTGTCACCTATTAGAATTGATAAGAATTTAACAGAGGAGGACAGCATTCTTCTGTCTGTTCCTCGTTATGTGTTGTGTTGAAGCAGAGTGTCCATCGCAGACAGGCAGCCTGGCCTGAATTGGCTATTCACCACTCCCATGAATGCAGCTACTTGACCTCCACTGCAAAGGTCACCAATCGCTTTCATCTGAGGTAATCTGAGGGCTGAGGTGACTTCCAAACTCCAGCCTTATCCGGGTTTGCTTAATCCCTAGACCCTGCCTTCATGAGCCTTATTAATGGGCGTTATTCACCGACTATGTCCTGCCGTACATACCTAGATGTAGGCTACGGTCACAAGACACAGCCATCCTTATTGTCCCTAGAATTTCTAAGCAAACAGCTGGAGGCAGGGCTTTCTCCTATAGAGCTACATTTTTATGGAATGGTCTGCCTATCCATGTGAGAGACGCAGACTCGGTCTCGACCTTTTAAATCATTACTGAAGACTCATCTCTTCAGTAGGTCCTATGATTGAGTGTAATCTGGCCCAGGGGTGCGAAGGTGAACGGCAAGGCACTGGAGCGACGAACCGCCCTTGCTGTGTTTGCCTGGCCGGTTCCCTATTACAGGGGCTGAGTAACTGGCTTACTAGTGCTCTTCCATGCCGTCCCTAGGAGGGGTGCGTCACTTGAGTGGGTTGAGTCACAGACGTGATCTTCCTGTCCGGTTTTGCGACCCTCGGGCTCGTGCGGTGGAGGAGATCTTCGTTGGCTATACTCAGCCTTGTCTCAGGGTAGTAAGTTGGTGGTCTGTTGATATCCCTCTAATGGTGTGGGGGCTGTGCTTAGCAAAGTGGGTGGGGTTATATCCTGCCTGGTTGGCCCTGTCTGGGGGTATCGTCGGACGGGGCCACAGTGTCCCCCGACCCACCCCCGTCTCAGTCTCCAGTATCTATGCTGCAATAGTCTATGTGCCGGGGGGCTAGGGTTAGTCTGTTATATCTGGTGGAATTCTCCTGTCTTATCTGGTGTCCTGTGTGAATTTAAGTATGCTCCCTCTAATTCTCTCTCTCTCCCTCTCTCCCTCCCCTCCCGGAGGACCTGAGCCCTAGGATCATGCCTCTTGACTACCTGGCCTGATGACTCCTGGCTTTCCCCAGTCCACCTGGTTGTGCTGCTACTCCAGTTTCAACTGTTCTGCTTGCGGCTAGAGAACCCTGACCTGTTCACCGGACGTGCTACCTTGTCCCGGACCTGCTGTTTTCGACTCTCTCTCTCTCTCTCTCATTTATGAACATTTGAACATCTTGAAGAATAATCTGGCCTTTAATGGCCATGTACTCTTATAATCTCCACCTGGCACAGCCAGAAGAGGACTGGCCACCCCTCAGAGCCTGGTTCCTTTCTGGGTTTCTTCCTAGGTTCCTGTTTTTCCTAGCCACCATGCTTCTACATCTGCATTGCTTGCTGTTTGGGTTTCTGTATAGTACTTTGTGACATCTGCTGATGTAAAAAGGGCTTTATAAATACATTTGATTGATTGGCTACACAGCGGTCAGGCCTTCACAGGGAGCACCAGGGAGATGTATATGGAGAGATGTATGAGGCGAGATCTCAGGACTCTACAGACCTTGTGTTGAGCCTGCCTGGCTGTTTGCATATAAATATGGCGGGCCTCAATGCAATGCATCCAGTCAGCTGGTGAATAGATGGCTATCTGCTTTCAGGGCTCTAGTACTGAAACATAAAAGGAACTTTTAGCTGGGGGAACTCTCAGATACATTCCCCTCCTTCTCTTCTCTCCTCTTTCATGAATGGAACTGACTTTCAACATTCTATACCCAAAGAGCAACAAGCCACCATTGTTGCTGGTTTTTTTGCATTGTTATTATTTTTGACCTTGTTCCCCTCTTCATCCCCCAGTTCTACATTGTTGAACCTTGGCCTGCCCATTCTAATCACCAGTGTCACGGGGGTCTATGTCGTCCAAGTATGACCAAGGCGCAGCGTGTCCAAGAAACATGACTTTATTGTAGAATAAACGACAAAACAAAACAAGAACCGTAACGTCCTCAGTACACCGACTGAACTTAGAACAAAAACCCACAATTCCCACAGGAAAACAATCAGAATAAATATGGCTCCCAATCAGAGATAACGAGCCGACAGCTGACACTCGTTACCTCCGATTGGGAGTCATCGACCAAACCTAGAAATACAGCCAACAGAAAGGCAAACCTAGAAACAAAACCAAAACCCAACAAAACCAAAATACACCCTGGCTCAAATACAAAAGTCCCAGAGCCAGAGTGTCACAGTACCCCCCCCTAAAGGTGCGCACTCCGGGCGCACCAGCATACAGTCTAGGGGAGGGTCTGGGTGGGCGTCTGTCCACGGTGGCGGTTCTGGCCCTGGTCGTGGTCCCCACCCCACCTTAGTCACTATCCGCCTCCGTAGCCTCCTCCACATGACCACCCCCCAACTAAACCCCACTGGATTAAGGGGCGGCACCGGACTAAAGGGCAGCACCGGACTAAGGGGCAGCACCGGACTAAGGGGCAGTACCGGACTAAGGGGCAGCACCAGGATAAGGGGCAGCACCGGGCTAAGGGACAGCACCGGACTCAATGGCGGATCCTGGCTGGCTGGCTCTGGCGGATCCTGGCTGGACGGCTCTGGCGGATCCTGGCTGGACGGCTCTGGCGGATCCTGGCTGGACGGCTCATGGCTGGCTGAAGGATCTGGCTGCTCATGGCTGGCCGACGGATCTGGCTGCTCATGGCTGGCCAACGGATCTGGCTGCTCATGGCTGGCTGAAGGATCTGGCTGCTCATGGCTGGCTGACGGATCTGGCTGCTCATGGCTGGCTGACGGATCTGGCTGCTCATGGCGGGCTGACGGATCTGGCTGCTCATGGCTGGCTGACGGCTCTGGCTGATCCTGTCTGGCGGAAGGCTCTGGCTGATCCTGTCTGGCGGAAGGCTCTGGCGGCTCCGGTCTGGCGGACGGCTCTGAAGGCTCATGGCAGACGGGCGGCTTTGCAGGCTCAGTCCAGACGGGCAGTTCAGGCCCCGTTGGGCAGACGGCAGACTCTGGCCGTCTGAGGCGCACCGTAGGCCTGGTGCGTGGTGCCGGAACTGGAGGTACCGGATTGAGGACACGCATCTCAGGGCTAGTGCGGGGAGAAGCAACAGGGCATGCTGGACCCTGGGAACGCACATAAAGCCTAGTGCGGGGAGAAGCAACAGGGCATGCTGGACCCTGGGGACGCACATAAGGGCTAGTGCGGAGAGCAGCAACAGGACGCACAGGACTCGGGGAACACACAGGAGGCTTGGTGCGTGGTGTAGGCACTGGTGGTACTGGGCTGGAGCGGGGAGGTGGCGCCGGAAATACCGGACCGTGCAGGCTTACTGGTCCCCTTGAGCACTGAGCCTGCCCAACCTTACCCGGGTTGATGCTCCCCGTCGCCCGACCAGTACGGGGAGGTGGAATAACCCGCACCGGCCTATGTGGGCGAACCGGGAACACCATGCGTAAGGCTGGTGCCATGTACGCCGGCCCGAGAAGACGCACTGGTAGCCGGATGCGTTGGGCCGGCTTCATGACATCTGGCTCAACGCTCACTCTAACCCGGCCGATACGTGGAGCTGGACTGTACCGAACCGGGCTATGCCTGCGTACAGGAGACACCATGCGCTCTACTGCGTAACACGGTGTCTGCCCGTACTCTCGCTCTCCACGGTAAGTCCAGGGAGTAGGCGCAGGTCTCCTACCTGACTTCGCCACACTCCCTTTTAGCCCCCCCCCAAGAAATTTTTGGGTAGTACCCACGGGCTTCCAGCCTTGACTCCGTGCTGCCTCCTCATACCGCCTCCTCTCGGCTTTAGCTGCCTCCAGCTCTTCACGAGGGCGGCGATATTCTCCCGGTTGTGCCCAAGGACCCTTTCCATCCAGTATCTCCTCCCATGTCCATGAATCCTTGATAGGCGTCCATAAATCCTGTTGCCGCTTGACACGCTGCTTGGTCCTTTTATGGTGGGTTTTTCTGTCACGGGGGTCTATGTCGTCCAAGTATGACCAAGGCGCAGCGTGTCCAAGAAACATGACTTTATTGTAGAATAAACGACAAAACAAAACAAGAACCGTAACGTCCTCAGTACACCGACTGAACTTAGAACAAAAACCCACAATTCCCACAGGAAAACAATCAGAATAAATATGGCTCCCAATCAGAGATAACGAGCCGACAGCTGACACTCGTTACCTCCGATTGGGAGTCATCGACCAAACCTAGAAATACAGCCAACAGAAAGGCAAACCTAGAAACAAAACCAAAACCCAACAAAACCAAAATACACCCTGGCTCAAATACAAAAGTCCCAGAGCCAGAGTGTCACAACCAGGCTCTCTTTTTAGTACAACCAATGATTGAAAATGTGATTATCAAGGCAATTTTATCATGTATCAGATTCCTTAAATCCAGTAAATCCACAGTGTTACGAGATACCTAGATAATAGAAATGGAGGGCCTGATGGCAATGAAATGAACATGCACAATTCATAACGTAGCTTATAGTGTTATAGTATAGTATGTAGTTTTTAGCTTGGTGTTCATTGTGTACATCAGTGGAGGCTGCTGAGGGGAGAACGGCTCATAATAATGGCTGAAATGGAGTAATGGCTGGAATTGGGTGAATGGATTGTTATCAAACACATAATTCTGGCCATTATTATGAGCCGTCCTCCCCTCAGCAGCCTCCACCGGTGTACATACTGTATGTGGATTGTGTAAATTCTCTGTCTATATATCTTGTCCGTATATTCAGTTTATTGTCTGTCTGTATATTCAGTTTATTGTCTGTCTGTATATTCAGTTTATTGTCTGTCTGTATATTCAGTTTATTGTCTGTCTGTATATTCAGTTTATTGTCTGTCTGTATATTCAGTTTATTGTCTGTCTGTATATTCAGTTTATTGTCTGTCTGTATATTCAGTTTATTGTCTGTCTGTATATTCAGTTTATTGTGGCAGCACCATTTCACTGAGTCAAATTCCTGTACATGCAAATGTATATGACGAATAAAGGTGATTCTGATTTAAATAAGTACTTTAATGTCTACATAAATAAGACACCAAATAAATGAAGTATAAACCACAAACAGGCAGTAAGTATATTAGTATGTAAGCCAGTAAAGGTAAGGCTCCAAATCAAGTGCCAATATGATATCCTCATACATTTCTACTTAGGCCCTGCATCGATTAGATGTGTATGAGCAATAAATCACACGTTAAATAATATTTTACAAATGTGTGATAGCGTCCTGTGTCCGACCCTGGCCTAAATCAATGTGACAAGGGGACATGGTACATATAAGCACATATGCCATAGCCTATAAACTAAACAGGCAGTTATTGATTCAGCTCCCTTCAGCCCGGGTCCCGGAGGTTGAGTTTGCAATATTAATGGATTCTCTAAAATAGGCAGTATATATCTGTGTCCCAAATGGCACCCTATCCCCTATATAGTGCACCACTTTTGGCCAGAGCCCATATAGTGCACTATATTGGGAAGCACCAAGGGAGTGTGGCTGGGCCTGGGCGGCTTCACTGGCCAACGCCGCAGCACTGGAGTGGTCAGCAGTTTATGGCGGCGAGGACTACAGGTCAACGGGGTGTCAGGGGTCAAAGATTGCCAACCCAAAGGTCTCCAATGACCCCGGCCAATTGATTGCTTACACATCAGAACGCTTCCTCTCTGTGTTAACTTCACATTTAGCCCTGGAGGCTATAGGGCCATACGACCCCCACCACAACACGCAACCCTATCTGCCTCCCCTCTCTGTGGTCTGGCGTGGCTAAACAGTGTATCATATGGTGTGGATATTTCATAGAAAGGCAGTTCATACTGAAATGTTGACTTATATGATGAAAACAAGACATCCATTTTAGAAGAAAAGCTTTAGTAATATCAGCATTTTAAAATACAAAAGTAGTAGATAAAACATCTCAAACATTGTCATTTTTATAAATTATACTTCCAGAAATGTACAGTCAAGGAGAGGTACAGTTTATGAGTTTGGTATGAAACAAACAAACAATGAAGAAAGATAATAGATATAGCATATATCACAATTCTTAATAGCATAACACTTGCAACATAAATAATAGCAATTTTACAGCACATAGAATAAATCAATAATACATATTTTTTAACAAAATAATAGAACATAGTTCATCATTCATCCCAGCAATAGTCTTATGCATTGTTAAAAATAATGTCACCTAAACATCTTTGGGGTTGCATTTTAAAACAGGAGAATGGGATAACAGTAAATAATGTGTAATTACTCAAATTATATTAGAAATGCACTTAGCTTATTGTAGACTAGTTTATTGAAATAGTATTAGCATATTTGGGATGAATTTCTCAGATACAAATATTTGCCAGGCTCAGGGAGCAGTTTGGTCAGAATATTTATTTTTAATTACATTGTAGTGACACAACAATCATACTAGGAAAATCACATCTGTTTAGTCAAGGAGATTTAAACCCTCTCTTTAAAAACCAAAATATACTAGTCTGTCTGTTTCCACCAGTCCCAGCCGAAGTCACGAGGACCTGTCATTTGGGAAAACCTCAGGTTGAGTGGCCATTACAAGGCCTGTAGATCCTCTGGAGACACATGTCTATGCTCTATCCCGTCCCATTTCCATCAGTCCCAGCCAAAGTCATGGCCTGTCATTTGGTAAAACTTCATATTGAATGGCCTATAGAACTCCCTGAGCCTGAGAAGCACCTCTGGAGAGATCTGTGGATGAGGCCTTCCCTTAGACTTCCCCAGACAGCGCGGCCTGCTGCTCCCCTCAGGCTTCTTCAGGCAGGGGAAACCTTTGGTCTGGTTGAAGTAGAAGTGTTTGTCCGTGACCACCCTTTTCAGCCCCAGGAAGTCCTGCACCCTGCCCATCTCCCCAGCCGGGTCCGTCACCAGCCGCTCCCCGCTGACGAAGAGGAACTTTGAGAGGGGGAAGTAGCGCAGCCAGTTCTCCAGGTGCTTGGCGTAGATCCCGATGCGCACGGCGCTCCAGGAGGTGTCGATGAGGCCCGTGGTGGAGTTCCGGAAGGTCAGGCTCTGGAAGGACGGAAGGCCGGGTTGTTTGGACAGCGTCTGGGTGTAGTCGGACACGGCCCGGGTCACGGGGTCTCGGACCACCACGATCAGCTTGGTATGACGACTCAGGGCGAAGAGGCGCCGAGGAGCCTCCTTGGTGACGAAGTAGCTAGGTGTCTTCTCCATGGTGATCTGGCTTTCCAACGTCCGAGGCATCAGGTTTCTGAGAGGAGAGGAGAGAATAGGAAAGATTTGATTAGTGGTTCCCAAACATTTGGCAAACTGACCCACCAAAAGCTTCTGGGAATTTCTTGTGACCCATGAAGTAAACAAAAATCTTGTTTCTTTGTACCCAGTCTCAATCCTATCCTCCTTCCTGTGATGCAACACACTTTAAGACATTTGGAACCTGGTTTGTGTATCATAAACATGACCAGATCTGCTTCCATATGTTTTATATTACAACATTTTATGGAATATTAATATTCCCTGCTTTATTGGAGTGTTCCAACTGTCCCCTTTGATGCTCCCCAGCCTTGAGGGCTTCTGACTTAGCTTTGTAATTAGTTGGTTAGGTCTGTGATTACATCAATATAAACATCTACATTAGACGCTGGTCTCGCTGAAATGCATGTCAGATGGAGAGGAAGTCAATGAGTGGGTGCTTAATGGAAACCACAAAACCATAATAACCAGTGAAAAGTCATTTCCACAGGACTTCCTCCTCCTTCACAAGCCTGTCAGAGCACCTCTGAGGCTGGGCTGAGAGCTGGGCTGAGAGCTGGGATGAGTGGTCTCTCCCCCAGGCTGCCTGGACAAATACAGTGCATTCGGAAAGTATTCAGACCCCTTGACTTTTTCCACCTTTTGTTACGTTACAGCCTTATTCAAAAATGGATTTTTAAAAAAGAATCCCTCATCAATCTACACACAATACCCCATAATGACAAAGCGAAAACAGGTTTTTATATTTTTTGGCAAATGTATTAAAAATAAGAAAAAGGAAATACCTTATTTACGTATGTATTCAGACCCTTTGCTATGAGACTCGAAATTGAGCTCGGGTGCATCCTGTTTCCATTGATCATCCTTGAGATGTGTCTACAACTTGATTGGAGTCCACCTGTGGTAAATTCAATTGATTGGACATGATTTGGAAAGGCACACACCTGTCTATATAAGGTCCCACTGTTAACAATGCATGTCAGAGCAAAAACCAAGCCAGGTTGAAGGAATTGTCCGTAGAGCTCTGAGACAGGATTGTGTTGAGGCACATATCTGGCGAAGGGTACCAAAACATTTCTGCAGCATTGAAGGTCCCAAGAACACAGTGGCCTCCATCATTCTTAAATGGAAGAAGTTTGGAACCACCACGATCTAGATCTGCATGGCCACCTGGCCAAACTGAGCAATTGGGGGAGAAGGGCCTTGGTCAAGGAGATTCTCTGGTCTGATGAAACCAAGATTGAACTCTTTGGCATGAATACCAAGCGTCATGTCTGGAGGAAACCTGGCACCATCCCTACGGTGAAGCATGGTGGTGGCAGCATCATGCTGTGGGGATGTTTTTCAGCGGCAGGGACTGGGAGACTAGTCAGGATTGAGGGAAAGATGAACAAAGCAAAGTACAGAGAGATCCTTGATGAAACCTTCTCCAGAGCGCTCAGGACCTCAGACTGGGTTGAAGGTTCACCTTCTAACAGGACAATGATCCTAAGCACACAGCCAAGACAATGCAGGAGTGGCTTCGGGACAAGTCTCTGAATGTCCTTGAGTGGCCCAGCCAGAGCCCGGACTTGAACCTGAACAAACATCTCTGGAGAGACCTGAAAATAGCTGTGCAGCGACGCTCCCCATCCAACCTGACAGAGCTTGAGAGGATCTGCAGAGAAGAATGGGAGAAACTCCCCAAATACAGGTGTGCCAAGCTTGTAGCGTCATACCCAAGAAGACTCGAGGCTGTAATCACTACCAAAGGTGCTTCAACAAAGTACTGAGTGAAGGGTCTGAATACTTACGGAAATGTGATATTCTTTGTATTTTTAATACATTTGCAAAAATGTCTAAAAACCTGTTTTTGCTTTGTCATTATGGGGTATTGTGTTTAGATTGATGAGGGGGGGAAAAAACAATTTAATCAATTTTAGAATAAGGCTGTAATGTAACAAAATGTGGAAAAAGTCAAGGGTCTGAATACTTTCCGAATGCACTGTATACTACGCCATGTGCTGTGTACTATATGCCACTGACGCTGCAAGAAACTCCCCAACAGACCAACACCAGTCTGATTCTACTTTAGCCAACAAAGGAGAAATAGACTGGCACCCAGGTTAGCAGTAAAGGATCTGATGATAAGATGATGAGATAAAGAGATGAAGGACAGCTAATAGTCTCCAAAAATATGTCCTTTGACAGCTGGAACCATATGTTGGAATCCCAGAAGTTCCATTTTAGAATCCTAAGGACACAAAACAGGAATCCTTCCAACTCTCCTCAAAAAAGGAGCACCTTCATTTAATTTAAAATGAGGGGATTCAAATCTCATGGCGGGTTTATGTTTTAAAAATCCAAGCATGAAGGAACGTTCCAACTCCTCCGAAAATACCTCATTTAATTTCCACGGATGGTTTCCCCCATAGCATAGCCATGTGGTAGAGACTGAGAATGGGTCTCAAATGGCACCCTATTCCCTATAATACGGTGCACTAGGGCTCTGGACAAAAGTAGTGCACTCTATAGGGAATATGGTGCCATTCGAGACGCATTCCAAAAGCTGTCGTCGACGTGGTTGGTCTCTGGTCTCTAAATGCAGGGCTCTAGCCTGAGCTGTGTGGGGAACATACTCCTCTCTGATCCAAATCTGACGTCCCCACCACGAATGTGCCATGATGATAATACTGAAAACATGGCTTATGTTTTTATAACAGACCACCTCTTTTTTTTTTACTACAGCCTGGGTATGAGTGGATATGAGGATCAGGCATATAGACAATACTCATACTACAGATATAGACCACGCAAAAATAAGATGATGGAATCTGTTAGGTTTTAGGTCTCCTGGTTCAATAAAGGTTAAGTAAAATAAAAATAACAATAATGTAGATAACGTTTCATTGGCTCACCCCATCTAGGCCTATAGCATGTTGATATTAATATTTCAACATAAGAGGTCAAAGAGTAACACAGAAAACCTCCTTTCAAGAGCAACAACTCCACTGGGATCCAGCTTTAGAGAGACATATCTCTACAAATTCTCTCCTGTCTTCCTCTGTTCTGAACGACTCCCACAGTGGCCGATCAGTTACATAGGACAGCATTGTGCTATATTTCTATCTGTTCATTTCAAGATATAAAGGTGACCATTTTCTTTACAACTACTACTACAACCCATTACAACTAAAGTATTATACTTATTTAATTTTATACTTATTTTGCTCTTCCTTTTAAAAAATATGTTTTACAATAATTATTTTGGCCTGCCATACAGAGGTGCCGGTCTGTTTGTGTAGTGTGTACTCAGCAGTAAGTGGATGTTTAATTCTGGTCAATCAGGCTAATGGGATCCATGCTGGACCCGTCCTGTCTTCCATTGACATCATGTTTACGTTCTGGAACACTGTCCTGTAATCACGGAACTCTGTGGAACTCTCTGGCTACAACACAAACCCAAGCAGGAGGGAGGGAGGGAGAGAGGGAGAGAGAGACCCACATTAACCTGGTCAGCCTTATCTCACAACATTCAAGCGAGACCATATACTAGAGTGTATACCTATTCAACTGTTGTGTTTGTTCTTTATCAGATGCCGTTGCTCTCTGTATGGTTTCCAAGGGCAGCCAGGTTAGCAGAGGCTAGCTAAGCGACCTGCTGTTTGTTTTGATCACACCTTAACCTAGCGGTATCACTGTTAGCATCTGGAGCAGGAATGCAGGTCAGAGGGTCCACAGATGTGTGTTTATCGCCATAGACCTGCTGTACTCACCGTCTGGGTGGCCCTCAGCTCTATTAGGACCTGTTGTAAAATACCTCAGGTTAATAGGCTACTGTTTACGATCGTATTGTAGTGACTGAACTAAGTACACCAAACTGAGTGTTTGTCAATGTCATCTCAAAAACAAGGGGAAAAACGGGCAACACACTAATTGTGGAAACTTTAATGTTGACAAATATTTACTTTATCGTTTTTGTACTAAGTAGGTGAGCTCACTCGTAAAACGCAACGTCTGGGCATTAGAGTGCGTGTGTGTAGGGGCGTCATGCATCCCCAACATCTGAGGGAGCACAAAGTACGTGAGGATGGCTGGGGGGTGGAAGTTGGATAATTTAGCATTTTCAAACACCTGAAACAGATTGAAAGGAGTGTGTCTTATTCAGTGCATTTAGTAATAGCTTGCTTTCTAAAGTCTACCAACCTTACCAGCAGGCATGCACACACTCTCTCTGTCACATATACACACACACACACACACACACACACACACACACACACACACACACACACACACACACACACACACACACACACACACACACACACACATACACCGAGTTCTCCAACCTGGGCTTTTAACTCTTATTTGTCTTCCCAGCGTTAGCTCTCCTCTCCCCTGTGTGTCATACAGTAAGAACCCATGTGTGTAAACATAGGACAGGAGCTTTGATTTAAAAGGTGGCCACACTCTCAGAAGTACACACCCAGACACACCCACCCAACACACACACACTCACACACAAACACAAACATATGCGCATGCACGCACACACACCTTCACGCCCTGACGCAGGAGCAGCTAACACTTTGCACTGCTACCAGCGGGACAGGATGCTCCCACATCTGGTAGCAATGAGGTTCTCTCTGTGTGTATGTCTGTCTCTGTGTCTGTGTGTGTGTGTGTCTGTGTGAATGCGCGTGCATGCAAATGTTTATACCAGTGTGAGCGCGTGTGTGAGATGCAGTAGAGGATATAGAGATGTGTTGATGGGTAGGAAGTGTTTTCCCTACTGGTCCCAGTGCTCAGACCCTGTATGCTGTGATCTATGTTGACTCTGTGTAACTTTACTCTGTGACCCCCGTCAGACCTTTCCGCCCTGAAGGTCAGAGGCAGACACTTATGATTCAGTGGGTGAGACCACCGGGGCCACGGGGGATGCTTGTAATGCAAGATGTCTTAAGCTCAGCATCTCTCTCTCTCCTTATTTTCTCATGGATACTTCCATAGGAGATTATAAGTTACAGTACGAGTACACACAGTGTGCAGGAATGTTGAGAGGATATTCTGTACCCAATTCTCATCACCGGGGGACTGCATTTCTGTCACTACAAGTTCAGTGTCATCTGGAGGCTTAAACACAGGGCATGTTGCCTCAGAGCTGTGACATGCCTTTGACCCTCTGTCCCCTGCTTTAGACTCAGTACTCTGCTACTTTGCAGAGGGAGAGGTTTGTCATTACTGGGAGAAGAAAATGGAGGCTTCAGGAGTTAGTGAAGAGTAATTAGAAGTCAAAGTCAGCAGGAAACAACAAAGAGCCCAATAAAACTAGTGTGTGTGTGTGTATGTGTGTGTGTGTGTGTGTGTGTGTGTGTGTGTGTGTGTGTGTGCACGCGCGCGCAGTACAGTTGCATAGCATAGTAGAGCCTAATGTTGTAACGTACACACCAAGGCTGTTGGACTACACACCAACGCTGGTTTAATACAGCAGCCAGAGAGTGGTGAGGGTTCTATTTGTTGAGGAGGTTTAGGCCTACATCAGTGAGGTAGGTCGGTAAGAAAGACCTAAAGAATGTGTCTACGAGGGGGAAAAGTGAACATGACAGTTAATACAGCGATTACTACAGCAGGCAACCTTGAGAAGAGTCAGTGGGAAGCGGTCTCACAGTTTCCTCGGGAGAGATAATGACAGTGTAGAGAGAGACAGAGAGAGAGCGCGAGAAAGGGGGAGAACAGCTCAAGCCTCCAGACTGTCTACTGCAGGATAAAGCCTGACATTCCAACTCCAGAATTAAAATGAGAGAGAGAGAGAGAGAGAGAGAGAGAGAGAGAGAGAGAGACAGTTAGAGAGATAATAGTGTGAGAGAGAAAGAGACGGGAGAGTATGTGAGAGAGAGAAAGACAGAGAAAAGTGTGTGTTCCTTGCTGTAATTGCCCCCCTCTGCCTTATCGAATGGGAAAATCAGCCTGTGTTCCTCTGTGTTCCTGCCTGGCCCACAGTGGGTTAGCTGTTAGCTGTGTGGCTTTATCAGTGGGTGACCATGGGCCGGGGGCCCACACCCTGAGATGAACAGATGAACAGACAAGAGGAGGAGGAAGAGAGAGATGGACAGATTACTGGAGGGTCTCCTTCCTCCCTCAGCCTGACCCCAGTGATGTCATCGCTCACCTAATTGTGTAGTTACTGTAATAATTAGATTGGTTAAATTACTTAGAGGGTTTCAGTGTGAAAGCATGCACTGCACTGTAGTCATTCTTTACAAAGAACTACAGAAACCCAGTTTTTAAGAGAACCTCCACCTTTAAAACAGTACTGTACTTCTTGTCCTCGATTAATATTTCACAAGGGCTTCTAATGATTCTCTGAGTCAGGTTGAGGTGTGTTTTTCTGTGCACTTCATAAAATCAACTCCATCTCTTTTGAACCAAAGTTAAACATTGTCATCTTATACTATACATCACAGTAGGTTGGTGGCACCTTAATTGGGGAGGACGGGCTCGTGGTAATGGCTGGAGCGGAATAGGTGGAATGGTATCAAATACATCAAACACATGGTTTCCATGGTTTCCAGGTGTTTGATGCCATTCCATTTATCCGTTCCAGGCATTATTATGAGCCGTCCTCCCTTCAACAGCCTCCACTGCTATACATCATGCTGCAGTATTCTTTCCCCAGGGTCTGCTACCGTTGGTGAGGGAAAAATAAAACGCCCACATTTTTCCATGAATTACCTAGCTTTTCCAGATGAATTGAAATTACAAGTACAACTCAGAACTCTGTAATGGACTCCAACCATTGGCCATCTGGCGTCTACCCAACTCTATACCAATGAGAAGACTCAATACTGGACTGCAGTGAATACCACTTCCTAAATTGTTAAATGTCCCACTCCTTGTGGTTGTTGCCCATCCTTGACTTGTTTTAACTGAGGAATGGGGATTACTGTTGGCAGAACACAGGGACTGCAGCTGCTGGGAAAGATAGTGTTTGTCATTAAGGGGCCGATCCACACCCAGTAGGGTGTGTGTGTGTGTGTGTGTGTGTGTGTGTGTGTGTGTGTGTGTGTGTGTGTGTGTGGTGTGTGTGTGTGTGTGTGTGTGTGTGTGCGTGTGTGCGTGTGTGCGTGTGTGCGTGTGTGCGTGTGTGTGTGTGTGCGTGCGTGCGTGCGTGAGCGAGAGTCTCTAAAATACACAGCACAACAGAGAGACAGAGCGATGTCGGCATGTGAGAGAGCAGGTATTTCATTTTCAGATTTCTCTTTGTGAACTTCCTAGATAATGTTCACATTTCGTACAGAAAAAGTATTCCAGAGTGCTCCTTCAGACAGAGTTCTCCTTTTAATCAATCACATTTCCTCACAATTAAACATAACCATTGTCCAGGTAATCAATTCGTGTTACGTGATTAAAGACAACCCATACAATTTTTCCTTAACTGCTTTTCATAACAAAGAAAGGTGTGTTCCTATGATTCCTATAGTGAGTCTACGTTTTCACGCTCTCTCCACCTCACCCTCAGCCTTCCGCCCTCCTTACCCTCTCTCACCCACCCACCCAGCCTGTCGGTCAGTCAGTCAGTCACATTAAAACAGAGATGGTCAGGCAGGGCAGGAGGGAGAGGCCACGGCTGAGACAACAATACACACTGAGCTGTCAATGATTCACCAGCCTCTCCAGACAGGCTAAGACAGAAGATGGTAGGCTGGGTGATGTGGGTAGAGGGTCAACCTAAAGGGTCCTGGGTAAACTGATGCGCCAGACAGCTCCTGGCTGAATTATAATCCAATAACTGCCCTTGTTGAGGGACTAGGGCAAATAGGCAATCTCTGATTGGGACTGGGCCCTGGTTAAGATAAGGTTAGACAGTTTGAAGTGTAGGGAGGGATTCATCACTTGTGTAACTAAACAGAGCAACTCTGGTTTTGGTGCAAAAACAAAGCTGTCCATTTCGACTGTCACACTTGTATCACTATCCTACAGTCGCTACAATGACTAGGCCTACTACAATCTCTGATAACTAGAATTTCATTAGTCCACAATTCGATAATCATAGCTTTACAGGAAACAGAAGACATTTCCCTCTGGTTATCAGCGCTGACTGGGTGTGTATTATGATTCCAAAGAGGTGTAGTGCTATGTGAGGTTGTTATAGCTGTGCCATCCATCTTGCTGTGACAGGGACATGGGAGGAGGAGGTCGGGAGGGACGGAGTGGGGGATCATTTTTTCCACTCCCCTAAACATGAACCCTGATCAATCACTGTATCCTGGGAGTCATGTTAGAGACCTGCAGGCTGACAGGAATCCAGCCTACTGGATCAGTACTGTCACAGCTCTGTTGCTCTATCTGTTTAAAATGTATTAGTTTATAATGAGGTGGGAGGAGGTAGAAAAGGGTTGGTAATGTGGCAGTGAAAAAATCTCTGGATTAGTCTTACATTATTATAGTAAAAGAGCATCCAAGTAGCCTACATCTGCTAGTTAAAAAATAAACATCATACCTTTTTGTCACACTGAGCTTAGAAATTCCACAATAATATGAATATATAGTATGTGCGAATGCAGCACTACTTATTGGTAAACAGTATAGGGAACCCAGTTTAACTAAGTACTTTGAACAAATAAATTGCCATGTAGTTCTATTCACTGAGCAAATTATCAGTTACAGTGAGGGAAAAAAGTATTTGATCCCCTGCTGATTTTGTACGTTTGCCCACTGACAAAGAAATGATCAGTCTATAATTTTAATGGTAGGTTTATTTGAACAGTGAGAGACAGAATAACAAACAAAAAATCCAGAAAAACGCATGTCAAAAATGTTATAAATTGATTTGCACTTTAATGAGGGAAATAAGTATTTGACCCCCTCTCAATCAGAAAGATTTCTGGCTCCCAGGTGTCTTTTATACAGGTAATGAGCTGAGATTAGGAGCACACTCTTAAAGGGAGTGCTCCTAATCTCAGTTTGTTACCTGTATAAAAGACACCTGTCCACAGAAGCAATCAATCAATCAGATTCCAAACTTTCCACCATGGCCAAGACCAAAGAGCTCTCCAACGATGTCAGGGACAAGATTGTAGACCTACACAAGGCTGGAATGGGCTACAAGACCATCGCCAAGCAGCTTGGTGAGAAGGTGACAACAGTTGGTGCGATCATTCGCAAATGGAAGAAACACAAAATAACTGTCAATCTCCCTCGGCCTGGGGCTCCATGCAAGATCTCACCTCGTGGAGTTGCAATGATCATGAGAACGGTGAGGAATCAGCCCAGAACTACACGGGAGGATCTTGTCAATGATCTCAAGGCAGCTGGGACCATAGTCACCAAGAAAACAATTGGTAACACACTACGCCGTGAAGGACTGAAATCCTGCAGCGCCCGCAAGGTCCCCCTGCTCAAGAAAGCACATATACAGGCCCGTCTGAAGTTTGCCAATGAACATCTGAATGAGGAGAACTGGGTGAAAGTGTTGTGGTCAGATTAGACCAAAATGGAGCCCTTTGGCATCAACTCAACTCGCCGTGTTTGGAGGAGGAGGAATGCTGCCTATGACCCCAAGAACACCATCCCCACCGTCAAACATGGAGGTGGAAATGCTTTGGGGGTGTTTTTCTGCTAAGGGGACAGGACAATTTCACCGCATCAAAGGGACGATGGACGGGGCCATGTACCGTCAAATCTTGGGTGAGAACCTCCTTCCCTCAGCCAGGGCATTGAAAATGGGTCGTGGATGGGTATTCCAGCATGACAATGACCCAAAACAAACGGCCAAGGCAACAAAGGAGTGGCTCAAGAAGAAGCACATTAAGGTCCTGGAGTGGCCTAGCCAGTCTCCAGACCTTAATCCCATAGAAAATCTGTGGAGGGAGCTGAAGGTTCGAGTTGCCAAACGTCAGCCTCAAAACCTTAATGACTTGGAGAAGATCTGCAAAGAGGAGTGGGACAAAATCCCTCCTGAGATGTGTGCAAACTTGGTGGCCAACTACAAGAAACGTCTGACCTCTGTGATTGCCAACAAGGGTTTTGCCACCAAGTACTAAGTCATGTTTTGCAGAGGGGTCAAATACTTATTTCCCTCATTAAAATGCAAATCAATTTATAACATTTTTTACATGCATTTTTCTGGATTTTTTTGTTGTTATTCTGTCTCTCACTGTTCAAATAAACCTACCATTAAAATTATAGACTGATCATGTCTTTGTCAGTGGGAAAAAGTACAAAATCAGCAGGGGATCAAATACTTTTTTCCCTCACTGTAGCTAAGCATGTATACAGTGGGGGAAAAAAGTATTTAGTCAGCCACCAATTGTGCAAGTTCTCCCACTTAAAAAGATGAGAGAGGCCTGTAATTTTCATCATAGGTACACGTCAACTATGACAGACAAAATGAGAAAAAAAATTCCAGAAAATCACATTGTAGGATTTTTTATGAATTTATTTGCAAATTATAGTGGAAAATAAGTATTTGGTTAATAACAAAAGTTTCTCAATACTTTGTTATATACCCTTTGTTGGCAATGACACAGGTCAAACGTTTTCTGTAAGTCTTCACAAGGTTTTCACACACTGTTGCTGGTATTTTGGCCCATTCCTCCATGCAGATCTCCTCTAGAGCAGTGATGTTTTGGGGCTGTCGCTGGGCAACACGGACTTTCAACTCCCTCCAAAGATTTTCTATGGGGTTGAGATCTGGAGACTGGCTAGGCCACTCCAGGACCTTGAAATGCTTCTTACGAAGCCACTCCTTCGTTGCCCGGGCTGTGTGTTTGGGATCATTGTCATGCTGAAAGATCAAGCCACGTTTCATCTTCAATGCCCTTACTGATGGAAGGAGGTTTTCACTCAAAATCTCACGATACATGGCCCCATTCATTCTTTCCTTTACACGGATCAGTCGTCCTGGTCCCTTTGCAGAAAAACAGCCCCAAAGCATGATGTTTCCACCCCCATGCTTCACAGTAGGTATGGTGTTCTTTGGATGCAACTCAGCATTCTTTGTCCTCCAAACAAGACGAGTTGAGTTTTTACCCAAAAGTTCTATTTTGGTTTCATCTGACCATATGACATTCTCCCAATCCTCTTCTGGATCATCCAAATGCACTCTAGCAAACTTCAGACGGGCCTGGACATGTACTGGCTTAAGCAGGGGGACACGTCTGGCACTGCAGGATTTGAGTCCCTGGCGGCATAGTGTGTTACTGATGGTAGGCTTTGTTACTTTGGTCCCAGCTCTCTGCAGGTCATTCACTAGGTCCCCCCGTGTGGTTCTGGGATTTTTGCTCACCGTTCTTGTGATCATTTTGACCCCACGGGGTGAGATCTTGCGTGGAGCCCCAGATCGAGGGAGATTATCAGTGGTCTTGTATGTCTTCCATTTCCTAATAATTGCTCCCACAGTTGATTTCTTCAAACCAAGCTGCTTACCTATTGCAGATTCAGTCTTCCCAGCCTGGTGCAGGTCTACAATTTTGTTTCTGGTGTCCTTTGACAGCTCTTTGGTCTTGGCCATAGTGGAGTTTGGAGTGTGACTGTTTGAGGTTGTGGACAGGTGTCTTTTATACTGTTAACAAGTTCAAACAGGTGCCATTAATACAGGTAACGAGTGGAGGACAGAGGAGCCTCTTAAAGAAGAAGTTACAGGTCTGTGAGAGCCAGAAATCTTGCTTGTTTGTAGGTGACCAAATACTTATTTTCCACCATAATTTGCAAATAAATTCATTAAAAATCCTACAATGTGATTTTCTGGATTTTTTTTTCTCAATTTGTCTGTCATAGTTGACGTGTACCTATGATGAAAATTACAGGCCTCTCTCATCTTTTTAAGTGGGAGAACTTGCACAATTGGTGGCTGACTAAATACTTTTTTTCCCCACTGTATAGACCTAATTAGGTTAGGCATCTGGCTATTGAGGACATTGATTTGTAATAGTCAGTCCCTTGTTCTATCACACTAATAGTGTTGGAAAGGATGTCCAATGGGACTTTTCCATTTGTCCAATACTAAATACTCATATTGTTATCATTTTCACATCTCCTATACATGTCCCTTTATTTTGTTAACTATCATCTGATTGGATAGGGCATACCATACTGAAGGTGAAAGGTCGTCCAATGACGAGCTGTCAAAATATTGATGGCTGAGTTGGGCAATGAGGTTTTTCTCCAGATTGAAAATCCATACCCATCCCAAACCAATTTATCAAATCATGTTTGACTATTCAGTTATATTTTCCCCATTTCATTTTGCATATTGATATCAATCTTGAAGAAATTCCTTTGGTTTCTTGAAAGCATGCCATGCATGTATTGTACATTTATCTTTGATCGTACACCGCCATAGCCTGAGAAAAATGTTATTTTTGAAAAGTTAGGAGGCAGCATTTATGATTGTCAATGGGCACAGCAGAGAATTTTTCTCATTACTCTCATTCTGCACAATGACACAGACTAGCCGACCAGTGGACCTGGTCACTGAAACAAAGTCTCCCTTGTTCAGTCCAATTCTATACATTTGATTTATTTCAGAGACAATCATTTCCATGCTTCCTACTTTGACCATGAAAGGCCCTCCCAAAACCTTTTTGTTGGGCCAAATAACTCTCTCTCTGTCTCTAACACTCTATTTCAAAACCTTAAAAATATGCCTCGGAATTCAGCAGTGGAAGAATCCCTTGTGATTGATTTTAAAAAGGCAGTCGGGAAATAAGAGCTGGACATTCCTGTCTGAATACTGTGACCAATGCTACACCGAATTATGCAAGAAAATATACTTCTGAAGAACCCTGTCCCCCCAATCCCCACACATTTCACAGACTTAACTCAAATCTCACTGCAGTATAACTCAATTTTAGGGAGTATGTGTAGGGTATAAATGTTGGTGGTTGAAGGGCCAATGACACCTTGTCAACACGACTGAATATTCAGCAGTTAATGAACCTCCCCTGCAGTGCCCTGGTAAAGGTACCAACAGCTGAATCAATAGGAAACCCTATTTTAACAGAAATTACATCTACAGCATATCTATTGGATATTTATGGTGTCATGAAAAGGTTTGGTTTATGGTGGATCGCAGAGTAGAATGGGGAGAGGGAGATTAGACACTTGACTGGGTTGGATCTCAAAAGCTTAGGTTACTTGCACACATGCAATGGAAACACACACACACAGAAAGAGTAGAAAGAGCTAAACCCTTTAAACATGTTCTCTCCCACAAAGCCACATAACCATTTCCAAATGCATCGAGAAGCCAAGTTTTTTCCACATATAAGCATTTCTTCTAAAATAATTTGCCAAATGCTTCCTTTTAACATGGCCATGTGTTTTATTTGGTTACTAACTGAAGACAGAGGACAGTGTTCATTTTCAAACTCAAAGCAGTGTAATAATACACTTTGAAATTAAGAGCTCTGTAAAGTACAAAATGTTTAAGTGATACTTTCCAGTCCAGTCTAAATGCTTTATGCTGCTGTCTTAAATGGTGCCTGGAGTGATTCCAGTCCAGATATGAATGGATATCCAATGGGTTTTACTTAATTCTATGTCAATGTGAATAGCAACACTTTATAAAGTTGCCCTCATGCCACAGAGTTACTCTATAACTGCTTTGGTAACCAGAATGTTATTGCTCAGCTGCACACATAAAACAATGATTGAATTGCCTTGAAAGGACATTCTGTTTCATATCAGTTACTAGTATAGTTACTGTGTAGTTACACAAGTAATTACACAAGACATCATAATCCCCGGTGTAATACCCTGGTTAAAATCAAAGACCCCATCAATAGATGATAGAATGCCTTTCACACAGAGGAGAGATCGGAGGGAGCAGATAATGATAAGGGATTAGACTGACTGATTTGGGTGCTTTGACACTATTCTCATTACTCCAACACAGCACTACACACTTCTTCTTAGATAAGAACCAATAAACCATCATACCCTTAGACACAGATCTAGGATCATCTTTCCCTCTCCAAATCCTTCCCTTTACCATTAGGGGAAAATACCTAACACTGACTTTAGATCAGAGCCTTGGCTTTGGGCAACTTCACCCTACACTGACTAGCTGGTACTCCATAATGTGACATACTCTCCATGTCCCTGAGTTGTCCGAGCTAATGCCTGACCTGTCATTACAGCAGGCCAATCCACACAGTGCTGACAATACCTGTCATCAGATTAGGAAAGACTAAAACCACACTTATGAGACAGAAGAGAGACTAGAGAGCTGCTGTGCAGCTGCAACAAAGCACTACATGGACTGTGACGGTGTTAAAAGATGTGTTAGAAGGTCACTGGTCTCCCAACACCATCAAAGGCTGTAGCCGGTAACTGTTGCAGTGTCACAACGTAGGCTACTACCCAATCATCTGCCTGGCCTCACAAACTACACTGAACAAAAATATAAACACAACATGCAACAATTTCAAAGATTTTACTGAGTTACAGTTCATATAAGGAAATCAGTCAATTGAAATAAATTAATTAAGCCCTAATCTATGGACTTTACATGACTGGGAAAACAGATATGCATCTGTTGGTCACAAATACCTTTAAAAAAAGGTAGGGGTGTGGATCAGAAAACCATGCATTGCGACACATCTCCTTCGCATAGAGTTGATCAGGCTGTTGATTGTGGCCTGTGGAATGTTGTCCCACTCCTCTTCAAAGGCTGTGCGAAGTTGCTGGATATTGGCGGGAACTAGAACACGCTGTAGTACACTTCGATCTAGAGCATCCCAAACATGCTCAATGGGTGACATGTCTGGTGAGTATGCAGGCCATGGAAGAACTGGGCCATTTTCAGCTTCCAGGAATTGTATACAGATCCTTGCGACATGGGGCTGTGTATTATCGTGCTGAAACATGAGGTGATGGCGGCAGATGAATGGCACAACAATAGGCCTCAGGATCTCATCACGGTATCTCTGTGCATTCAAATTGCCATCGATAAAAAGCAATTGTGTTCGTTGTCCGTAGCTTATGCCTGCCATAACCCCACCGCCACCATGGGGCACTCTGTTCACAACGTTGACATTAGCAAACCGCTCGCCCACACAACGCCATCTCCCCAGTACAGTTGAAACCGGGATTCATCCGTGAAGAGCACATTTCTCCAGTGTGCCAGTGGCCATCGAAGGGGAGCATTTGCCCACTGAAGTTGGTTACGACGCCGAATTGCAGTCAGGTCAAGACCCAGGTGAGGACGACGAGCACGCAGATGAGCGTCCCTGAGACGGTTTCTGACAGTTTATACAGAAACTCTTTGGTTGTGCAAACCCACAGTTTCATCAGCTGTCTGGGTGGCTGGTCTCAGACGATTCCGCAGGTGAAGAAGCCGGATGTGAACGTCCTGGGCTGGCGTGGTTGCACGTGGTCTGCAGTTGTGAGGTACTGCCAAATTCTCTAAAACAATGTTGGAGGCGGCTTATGGCAGAGAAATGAACATTCAATTCTCTGGCAACAGCTCTGGTGGACATTCCAATTGCATACTCAAAACTTGAGACATCTGTGGCATTGTGTTGTGTGACAAAACTGCACATTTTATAGTGGCCTTTTATTGTCCCCAGCACAAGGTGCACCTGTGTAATGATCATGCTGTTTAATCAGCTTCTTGATATGCCACACCTGTCAGGTGGATGGATTATCTTGGTAAAGGAGAAATGCTCACTAACAGGGATGTAAACAAAGTTGTGCACAAAATTGAAGAGAAAGAAGCTTTTTGTCCGTATGGAACATTTCTGGGATCTTTTATTTCAGCTCATGAAACATGGGACCAACTCTTTACATGTTGTGCTTATATTTTTGTTCAGTATAAATTATAGTGCAGTGAAAGAAAGTACAGTCAGGTAACTTGCTGAAGACGAAGGTTACACTGTCAATGCTTAGAAAGAGTACATCATTATAGGCCTTTTTCTGTGTAATCCTGACTTCTTTAGTAAAACATTTTACAGTGCCTTGCAAAAGTATTCACCCCTCTTGGCGTTTTTCCTATTTTGTTGCATTACAACCTGTAATTTAAATTGATTTTTATTTTTATTTCATGTAATGGACATACACAAAATAGTCCAAATTGGTGAAGTGAAATGAAAAAAATAACTTGTTTCAAAAAATTCAAAAAATTCATAACGGAAAAGTGGTGCATGCATATGTATTCACCCCCTTTGCTATGAAGCCCCTAAATAAGATCTGGTGCAACCAATTACCTTCAGAAGTCACATAATTAGTTAAATAAAGTCCACCTGTGTGCAATCGAAGTGTCACATGATCTGTCACATGATCTAAGTATATATACACCTGTTCTGAAAGGCCCCAGAGTCTGCAACACCACTAAGCAAGGGGCACCACCAAGCAAGCGGCACCATGAAGACCAAGGAGCTCTCCAAACAGGTGAGGGACAAAGTTGTGGAAAGTACAGATCAGGGTTGTGTTATAAAAAAATATCAGAAACTTTGAACATCCCATGGAGCTGCATTAAATCCATTATTAAAAAATTGAAAGAATATGGCACCACAACAAACCTGCCAAGAGAGGGCCGCCCACCAAAACTCACGGACCAGGCAACGAGGGCATTAATCAGAGAGGCAACAAAGAGAACAAAGATAACGCTGAAGGAGCTGCAAAGCTCCACAGTGGAGATTGGAGTGTCTGTCCGTAGGACCACTTTAAGCCGTACACTCCACAGAGCTGGGCTTTATGGAAGAGTGGCCAGAAAAAAGCCATTGCTTAAAGAAAAAAATAAGCAAACACATTTGGTGTTTGCCAAAAGGCATGTTGGAGACTCCCCAAACATATGGAAGAAGGTACTCTGGTCAGATGAGACTAAAATGTAGCTTTTTGGCCATCAAGGAAAACGCTATGTCTGGCGCAAACCCAACACCTCTCATCACCCCGAGATGTTTTTCATCGGCAGGGACTGGGAAACTGGTCAGAAATGAAGGAATGATGGATGGCGCTAAATACAGGGAAATTCTTGAGGGAAACCTGTTTCAGTCTTCCAGAGATTTGAGACTGGGACGGAGGTTAACCTTCCAGCAGGACAATGACCCTAAGCATACTGCTAAAGCAACACTTGAGTTGTTTAGGAGGAAACATTTAAATGTCTTGGAATGGCCTAGTCAAAGCCCAGACCTCAATCCAATTGAGAATCTGTGGTATGACTTAAAGATTGCTGTACACCAGCGGAACCCATCCAACTTGAAGGAGCTGGAGCAGTTTTGCCTTGAAGAACGGGCAAAAATCAAAGTGGCTAGATGTGCCAAGCTTATAGAGACATACCCCAAGAGACTTGCAGCTGTAATTGCTGCAAAAGGTGGCTCTACAAAGTATTGACTTTGGGGGGGTGAATAGTTATGCACGCTCAAGTTTTCTGTTTTTTTGTCTTATTTCTTGTTTGTTTCACCCCAAAAATATTTTGCATCTTCAAAGTGGTAGGCATGTTGTGTAAATCAAATGATACAAACCCCCCCCCCCCCCCCCCCCCCCCACCACCCCAAAAAAAATCAATTTTAATTCCAGGTTGTAAGGCAACAAAATAGGAAAAATGCCAAGGGGGGTGAATACTTTCGCAAGCACACTGTAGGTGTATGCTTGGATACTTTCATCCCTCCATTGCTGCTATTTAGGTTTGTACCCAACATTTGCAATCTTCATTAACAGATTTAATTGATTTCTCCCTCTTCTTGGCTCTGTGTCACATCCTTATGTGCTCCCCTTCCTTCTGCCTAACCAGTTGATATGGGTGACAGTGAGGGGTCCCCGGGGACACACACAGGGACAGACTCTTAGAAACGCAGCACTTCACGTCAATAAACAGCATTTTATTGGCAGGGGACTGAATACCCTGTCGAACCAAGGGGCTCTCAGAGAGGATCCTTATTGGCATTGGGGGATATTAATGAAGTGACACTAAAGTAAGGAGAGGAAGATAGGAGCCTGCTCAGGAGAGGTGATCAATGGCAAACACAAGGCACCAAAATATACACCTGATATACAATAAATCCACAGACATTGTTCTCTTTTGGTGGCTGTGATGACATGCAGTTTCACACAATATTTGATACTTTGTCATAGTGGGATGAATTATGACTAAATTATGACTTGTGATTTACCAATCACCTATGTCACAGTGCAATACCATGATTTTACCTGGGTATCAGGTCATCTGCATTGACTGATTCAAGTGAAACATTAGGCTATTTATGATAGTAAATCATATCTCTTTCCATATTTTGGCCATGTTCACTTTGTTTTCACTGCTCCTGTAAATTAAAGCAAACAAGAAGAAAAAGATTTCAGTGAAATTCAAAACAGCCCTTACTCACCTGTACCATTCCAGTCCGTTATCATAGAACCTGTCGAAGAAGTGGGGTTCGGTGCCCACCGCTCTGACATCCGGGTGAATGCGCAGAAACTCCAGCAGCGCGCGCGTGCCTCCTTTCTTTACTCCGATGATGATTGCCTGAGGAAAAGTTTTACTACCTAAGTTATTGGCTATAGAGATGTTGTTATCCGGTCGCAGTTCGTTATCATTGCCCTGCAAGAGAGAGTCAACACTGTCAAAGCCGGGGAGCTCGCGAACAACCGAGCCGGGAGAACTGTTCTTGTGCGCGTCGATCTTTTTCTGCTCCAGTCCATCATTTAGGCCTAAGATTTTGTTGATAAAAGTTGTCTGTTGGTCGTATACAGGTCTAGGTAAGGAGTCGCAGTACCCAGAGAGACAGTAAAATAAGTAAGTGAAAATGATGATCATGGTAAGGAAGACGGAAAGTTTGGACTGCGCCTTCAGGTGTCCAAAGTTGAACCCAGCTCTCCATTTGCTACATCCCATGAGTCGCTATACTGAGCTGGAGGGTAACACGCAGAAAACATGCCTTTTTAAATTAGATCAGTTCAATGCGTTTTAAAATCAAGATTAGGCCTAGTCTTTCTTTATATAGTTACCCATAAAAACATCATTCTTGATGAAGTCGTGCCATTACGCACTTAAAAAAAGCCATTAATATTTCAAAAAAATTAAAATGTCAGTCCTTTTTGTTTGATCATCCACTTCATAACACATAACTCTAGTCTAAAGAAAATATTTGTAGGCCTAACTGTGTCAATGTCAACTTGTCCAAAGTGCACAGTGCCCAGAGAAACGGAGTTTATGTCCCCTCTTTGCTCCCTGCTCCTCTCCCTTGGCAACGGAGCGCTTGCGCGAAGCCCTCTGGCCCCCATCACCAGCCTACAGACACACCCCTTTCCTTCTGGGTGTGAATCCATGCCCTATTGGTCCCTCCCCTTAACATTTTCAGCCATAAGAGTCTAAAATTACACTAATAACTGGCACACTGAGACAAATCACTGATAATCATGTGATTGAATAGCTCTGATAAAAAAATAGCTATGTAGGCTAATTCAAGGATATATAGTTCTCTTCCAAGATATAACAGTTTGTTTAGAAATAAGGAGAATAAAAACATCTCTAGATTTGTCTATGTGAAGTGTTGTTTAAAGCCCTCTGTTTGGGGCTTACTGTGGTCAGTGTGTGTGTGTGGGCTGTGGGGTAGGGGTAACCCCCTGTCCCCACCCAGGGCTGTAAAAGGGGCTATACCCTATGGAGCCACCTGTCTGTCTGCTAGCCCTCCTGGGCCACACACCCTATGGAGCCAGCCTGCCCAGCAATGACACACACATTTAACCTCTCTTCTCTCTGCTATAACAGGGCCAGACAGGTGCAGTCAGTGGGCAGCTAGAGGTCTGTGTGTGACCAGCATGCTGTATAAACAAACCTTCTCCCTCTTCAAGAGACTATGGTGAAAATGCAGACAGACAACCATCAGTTTCTCTCAGGTCAACTTTCTCACATTGGCAGCCTACGGTCAGAGCAGTGAAGCTAGACTACAAGATGCTGATGATCGTAGTCTGCAGTGATTTTGTCTGTGGTATTACATATTCTTTCATCAGGTAGAATGCAATAAGTATTGGAGGAAATCAAAATACTAAAAACCCAGCCCAGCTGCTGCTGATAAAACCGACAAGGAAGTAAATGAGTAAAGAAAACAACAAGTGGAGTAAAGGACTCCTGAAACTGGATCTCTACTACAATAAAGACTATTAGTCAAAGGTCTAGTGTTTCCTCTGTTACCGGAGAAAGGCTGGAGAATGGGCCAGTAAAGCTGTTATTACCACAGACATTACCAAAGTATCAATCAGAATGGTTGGAACTGAACACACACACACACACACACACACACACACACACACACACACACACACACACACACACACACACACACACACACACACACACACACACACACACACAGTTAATGAGATGCAGACTTGATAGTTGGTGAACTTAAAGGACAAAATAAAGGAAGTCACACTCTAATACTTGTTTTAGAATAGAACAGTAATTCATGACAAATTTGTTTAAGGGCAGAAATAATGCTGGAACATTAATATTTTTAGCCTGTCCTTGTTCAATCTGTTCAATCTGTGCTGACTGGAGCACATCAGTCCATAGTAAGCTCTACTGTGTTATATTGGAAGCATGCTGTAGTGATAACCTGGCTGCAGTTCATATAATTAGACTTGTGGAAATCCATTTCAGACTGATCTGAACAGCCCATTTCATTTGAATGCTTCCTTTCAGACTCAGTGTTCTCTTCATCAGCTACCAATGTCATACATCCAGTTCAGATAGAAGATGAGACAGGGATGTTTAGTGTATTGGTTTCTCAAATGACTGCCTTGCCTGGTTCACCAACTACTTCTCAGATAGAGTTCAATGTGTCAAATCGGAGGGCCTGTTGTCTGGACCTATGGCAGTCTCTATGGGGGTGCCACAGGGTTCAATTCTTGGGCCGACTCTTTTCTCCGTGTATATCAATGATGTCGCTCTTGCTGCTGGTGACTCTCAGATCCACCTCTACGCAGACGACACCATTTTGTATACATCTGGCCCTTCATTGGACACTGTGTTAACAAACCTCCAAACGAGCTTCAATGCCATACAACACTCCTTCAGTAGCCTCCAACTGCTCTTAAACACTAGTAAAACTAAATGCATGCTCTTCAATCGAACGCTGCTGGCACCCGCCCACCTGACTAGAATCACTACTCTCGACGGGTCTGACCTAGTATGTGGACAACTACAAATTCCTAGGTGTCTGGTTAGACTGTAAACTCTCCTTCCAGACTCACATTAAGAATCTCCAATCCAAAGTTAAATCTAGAATCGGTTTCCTATTTCGCAACAAAGCCTCCTTCTCTCATGCTGCCAAACATGCCCTCGTAAAACTGACTATCCTACCGATCCTTGACTTCAGCGATGTCATTTACAAAATAGCCTCCAACACTCTACTCAGCAAATTGGATGTAGTCTATCACAGTGCCATCCGTTTTGTCTCCAAAGCCCCATATACTACCCACCACTGTGACCTGTACGCTCTTGTTGGCTGGTCCTCACTACATATTCGTCGCCAAACCCACTGGCTCCAGGCCATCTATAAATCACTGCTAGGCAAATCCCCGCCTTATCTTAGCTCATTGGTCACCATAGCAACACCCACCCGTAGTATGCGCTCCAGCAGGTATATCTCACTGGTCATCCCCAAAGCCAACACCTCCTTTGGCCGCCATTCCTTCCAGTTCTCTGCTGCCAATGACTGGAACAAATTGCAAAAATCTCTGAAGCTGGAGACTCTTATCTTCCTCACTAACTTTAAGCATCAGTTGTCAGAGCACCTCACCGATCACTGCACCTGTACACAGCCCATCTGAAATTAGCCCACCCAACGACCTCATCCCTATATTGTTATTTATTTTGCTCATTTGCACCCCAGTATCTCTATTTGCACATCATCTCTTGCACATCTATTATTCCAGTGTTAATACTAATTGTAATTATTTTGCACTATAGCCTATTTATTGCCTTACCTCCATAACTTGCTACATTTGCACACACTGTATATATATTTTCTGTTGTATTTTTGACTTTATGTTTTGTTTTACCCCATATGTAACTCTGTGTTGTTGTTTTTATCGCACTGCTTTGCTTTATCTTGGCCAGGTCGCAGTTGTAAATGAGAACTTGTTCTCAACTGGCTTACCTGGTTAAATAAAGGTGAAAAAAATAAAATAAAATTCTGTAACTCATTGATGTAAAAAGAGCGAGCAGAGACCTCAGAGAGGATACTTATAGTAAGCTGTATGAAACATTTTGTTTATGATTTTGTCCACCAAACACTTACTGTTAACGTAAGGTGTGACAACAAATGATCTGTTATCTGCAGCAGACTGGTGGTGTTGGGTATACCATGTCAGCAGAGTGGAAACAAGCCTCTGGTGACACAGTCTGACATGACAAAGTTAATGATTGTATTAACAGCAGAAAAACAATGCAATAATTGAGTTGTTATACTGTTTCAGTTCAGTTATTTAAAAAAAAATGATGTACAGATGCAACTTCATTTTGGGATTTCAAAAAGAGGAGATAGGGACAGGGATTCAATTATGTCAGGTATGAAGACTTTGACCTGTTGGTTGGAAGACATGACAGCCCATCTACACTGAGTGTACAAAACATTAGGAACATTTACATTAAATAGACTGACCAGGTGAATCCAGGGGAAAGCTATGATCCCTTATTGATGTCACTTGTTCAATCCACTTCAATCAGTGTTGATGAAGGGGAGGAGACAGGTTAAAGAAGGACTTTTAAGCCTTGAGACAATTGAGACATGGAATGTCTATGTGTGCCATTCAGAGGGTGAATGGGCAAGACAAAAGATTTAAGTGCCTTTGAACGGGGTATGGTAGTAGGTGTCAGGTGCATCGGTTTGAGGGTCAAGAACTGCAACTCTGCTGGGTTTTTCACGCTCAACAGTTTCCTGTGTGTATCAAGAATGGTCTACCACACCCAAAGGACATCCAGCCAACTTGACACAACTGTGCGAATCATTGGAGTCAACATGGGCCAGCATCCCTGTGGAACGCTTTCGACACCTTGTAGAATCCATGCCCGGACTAATTGAGGCTGTTCTGATGGCAAAAGGAAACATTGCATGCGCAGTTTGAGAAAGTGACATTGTAGGCTAGCTCAATGCTGCCCCCTCTCATGGAGTAGCTCAAATTGAAGGCCGACTGAGGTACTGCAGACTACCATTAGCAACTAAATTATCCTTATAACTTTGTCTGTGTGTGATTTTAAAGTAATCGGTTCAAGGACATACATCTGGTGAAATAGAAGCAATTATTGGTACCATGATTGTGTTCGATTATTTTTTTTATATCCACGAATATTGACCACGAAGATCGACATTTCCCCATTCACTATAATGGGGGATCCTGTTTTCTGGAAACAATGCCTGCAGCACCGCGGTCGGCCTTCAACTGGAAATCCTCAATCCGAGGGGGCAGTCATTCTCCCCTGATTGACCCTCTGTTACTCTTACCTGGCAGCCTGTCAATGTGATCCAGTCTTTAAACCTAAAATCAATGATTTAGTTCTCTGTCTCTTTGAGTACTGCTCCATATTGATCTGTTTTGGATGTTGAAAAACAGCAGGATTTGCTTCTCTGTTCTTTGCGTCTCTGCTACTCTGGTCAAACTGATAAATAGATAAATAATACACAAATGAAAATTATATGTTTTATGGTCAGTTGTATGGTGCACACACACACACACACACACACACACACAAACACAGTGACACCTCCCATGTTGAATTCCTACCGGCCTGTGTAAGGTGCTAGCTGTGGGAAAGAAAACGTCTGTATAAAGCTTGGCAGCAGATTATTATGGTATGTCATCCTGGGTAAGTCCCTATGGCGACCTGCCCTAGCTCTTCTAAGAAAGGATCCATTTCAACTGTCTCCTCGGCTCAAATCCCCTCAGGCTTAAAGAGGATAGACACAACTAGAGGCTTGTTTTATGATGATACTGACATGTTATTGTTTACAGAAATGTAAATGTTATCGCTTGTCATGAGGAGCCAAAATCCCCTTTAATTGAAGCTGAAAGTGATGTTGAGTTGGAATGTATGGATCAGGGTTTGGGAAAGAGGTGGCAGACTACCAAACAGTTCTGTTTCTGCATAATAGCTTTGTTCAATGCTTTAAAAGCTTTACACAATGGTTTAGCACTTCACTGTCTCTGGTGAAACTGTATGAGCAACACTTCTCAAGTTTAGTGTTTTGAAGAGGATGACAGATAGTAGCTGGTACAGTATTGTGTCAATATAATACAGGACTACAGGAGATACAATGCATGGGGCTATCTGCTGAAGAGGTGCTCTTGAAACTGGCCTATTGAATCACCTGGATGGAATGTCTGTGCTGGCCTCACTCTGAGGGACAGTAATCACACACGCGCGCGCACACACACACACACCTAGTGAGTCCTTCTGACATAAGGGATCATACACAGGCACCACAGGACAAAAGGGGCCATGACACATCATGCTGAACCCGACAGCTCGTCCCTTTCAAACACCTGGAGCCTGCTGGAATGAAGGAAGAGATCTGGCTTCTCCCTGGCTGTTTATCCAGCAGAGAAAAGAAAGTTGTTGAAAGGTGCAGCCATGTCCTATCAGTTTCCCCTGTTCTGACAGTCCTCTTTAGAAAACATAAAATCAATATCATCAACCACCTGAGGTGCCGATGGCACCGTTTCACTGAATACAGTGAAACGGGAGGGAAATATCCTTGCGGTAACTCCTAAGTGAACTTTAGTGTGTCTCTATAAACTTTAGTGTCTTTCCAGTCTCTGCAAGATGTTGTTTTCATTCAGCTTTAACAGTAGGCCTATGTAGATTTAATCTATAATGTTATGTAGAGCAGTCTTGCCAACCATGTTTGCTCAAAACAACTGAATAGCAAACGAGCAAATTGCCACTAAACTAATCTCTCTCTCTCTCCCTCTCACTCTCCTGCTTTCTGTCTTCTTCTCTTCTGCTCTCTCTCTCTCTCTCCTCTCTCTCTCTCTCTCTCTCTCTCTCTCTCTCTCTCTCTCTCTCTCTCTCTCTCTCTCTCTCTCTCTCTCTCTCTCTCTCTCTCTCTCTCTCAGCCCTAACTGCAGGGCAAAGTACTGCGGTTAGCTGGCTAAGTATAGTTATCGCAGGGCTAGCAGGCAGGCAGTGCAAAAATGCTTTCAAACAGGAGCAGCTCTCAGGGTATAAGTAAGTGCCAGGCATGCCCATGCAGGAACATATTCCAACAAGATGTGAGAATTTTGGGAATAATAACACATGTTTATCAGTCTGTGAAGTTATTAAAGATGACAATGAGGCCGTGGAAGCAGAAGGGGTGAAGTTGCCCCCTGAGATGTTCCCGTTTACTTCTGGTCTGATTGTTTCTCCGTACTCATGACTCAATGTAATCTGTTTGAGATCAGCCTTTAGGTTGGGAAAGAGAAAGAGCTGAGGACATCAGCTGGGTTATGCTGAGTGAAAACAGTCAGGGCCTCACGTTAAAACAAATACTTGACCATGATTACTGGGTTAAGTCCTTATAAAACGGGCATTCAGTGTAGGGACAGGGGGGGAAAGCACAGTGGTCTTAAATTCAAAGGTTAGTTTTTCTGTGCCAGCACCATACTGTGCTGTCAGCAGCTTGTCAGCAACTAGAATCTGAAATCTAACCTCATTCCTTTGATTGGGATAAGATATCCCCTCAGGTGTGATACAGTTTGGAGAGCCAGACAAAACATTGGGAGAGAACCACTGGAAATCTAGTGGCCTGAAGTACATCTCTACTGCTGTTGCTGCTGCTAGATGGAAAAAGCAGATGATTGAGATGAAGTGGCACATTTACAGTAGTAAACTATTTTGGTATTTGTTTCATTAGTCCATTGTTGACACAGTCCCAAAATGTTTTGCTTGTCAGCACTCAAGTTTTCAAGATATGTAACTTTCAAAATAGAGAAATCCTCCCCGTATGAAGCATTTTGGCAAAATGCATCATACGGGGATGATTTCTGTATTTTGAAAGTTACATATCTTGAAAACTTGGACAACTAATTATGGACAATATGCACTCCCAGGAACGATGAAATCATGACGTCAAGTCAAATAAAACAACCTCAGAGGTATCAGAGCATCTGGCCTTTAGTCTACAGGAGTAAGCAATCAGCCCAGCTTTGATAGGTTGTTATCTGAAAGGTGTAATTCACAGTGATAAGACCACCCGTAACAACCTGCAGTGGACAGCATGTGGACCCATTCTCCACTTGAAGTGTGTGTGTAGTGTACCACATACACTGTGTGTGTGTGTGTGTGCGGTATGTGTGCGTGCATGCATGTACACGGGGGGTTGTTCTTGACCTGATGTTTCCCTCTTGCAACACATCCAATGTATCACAAACCAGCTTATCCATAAATAAACAGAAGTGTCCTGTCACGGATTCTGCCGAGGCTGCTCCTCCTCCTTGCTCGGGCAGGCTTCGGCGTTCGTCGTCCCCGGAGTACTAGCTACCACCGTTAGATGTTTTGATGTTTGATTGGTTTGGTCTGTCTGTTGCACCTGTGTCCGTTTGTGTCTGATTATGTGTCCTATAAGTTTCCGGCTTTGTGTTTGTGAGTTTGTGTGTTATTTTCCGCCTGTCCGTTGGTGTCACCCGTGCAGTACTCTGGACTTTGTTTATTGTGACGCACTGTGTTTGCGTTGTCGCTCGCCTCCTTGTTTGAGGTCCTGTATTTTGTTTTGTTTATACAGTTTAGTAAAGTCTTGTTTGACTGAGCCCATGCGTCCTGCGTCTGACTCCTCAACCACATCCACATCAACACTGACATGTCCATGGTGGCTAACCATTTCAGAGAAACCTCTAGAAACCAAAAATAAAATAAAAATGAGTAACAAGACTGAGACTTACGTCAGAATGTCAGCATGTTTTTCTTTGGAAAATAGCAAATTCTTCTTTATGTTTGATATTCAAATGTGATTATTTGATAATGATTCTGTAGGACCTTGGGTCTATCAGTTGTAGGCTACTAGTTTGTGTATGATTAAAACATTTTTTTTTTTACATCAACCAAACGATTGTGAACCTATTCAACAGCTTGACTCATCATCTTGTCAAAGAACAGAACAGAAAAAGAGCTACATAATGTATTTCTCCTCAGTAAAACTCCCCTTCTGAGGTTATCATAGTTCCAGGTCACTGTCACAAACGGCACCCTATTCCCTATATAGTGCACTACTTTTGAACAGAGCCCTATGGGCACTATATAGGGAATAGGGTGCCATTTGGGATGCAGACATAGTTCCAGGTCCCTGCAGAGGGAAGGAGAAGATAACCTGATTAAATAGTTTCAGGGCCCACATCGCCATGGTCTGGGACATTGTTTCTTTTGAAGTCTTCCCCTGGTTCAGTTGATGTGTTTCAAGGTTATCTCTCTCACAGGAAAGATAACACTACAGGACAGGAATCAGAGGTGATGTTTACTAACATTCACTACCACAGCCTTCCTCTAAGTAGTGATAGGATGAGGCAGAAGCAACTCTGGAAATGCAAGCTATTTAGTCTTGAATGCATTGAATACTATTATGAAGATCCAAGGATGTGCATAGCTCACTAAGCAAATAAATAATAGAATGTGGATATATATACTGTATATATAATTAAGAATTAGATAATATATTACCTCCAACATCTACTGTACATGCTGTATACCACCTCCAACTGATGTGTCCCTAACTCACATCCTATAGAGAAGAAACATCCTAAGACAAATAGACTCTCACTAACATGAAGGATCAACCACAACCATTAATCTCTGCCAGAGATAACAGAACTCTTTTGATCCTTCCTCCAACTTCAAGTTCCTTGATGTGCACATCACTGAGGACCTGAAATGATCCCACCACACCGACACCGTGGTGAAGAAGGCGCAACAGCGCCTCTACAACCTCAGGCAGCTGAATAAATTTGGCATGGCCCCTTAGACCCTCACAAACTTCTAGAGATGCACCACCGAGAGCATTCTGTTGGCCTGCATCACCGCCTGGTACAGCATCTGCACTGCGCATCACCAGGGTCACGCTGCCTGCCCTCCAGGAAATGTACAGCACTCGGTGTCAAAGGACGGCCAAGAAGATCATCAAGGACCTCAGCCACCCGAGCCACGGCCTGTTCACTCTGCTACCTTCTTAGCAGACAGAGATGGAACAGATGCATCAAAGCTAGGACAGAGAGACTAAAAAAACAGGTCCTATCTCCAGTCCATTAGACTGTTGAACAGCCATCACTAGCCGGCTACCTGCCCGGTACACTGCCCTGCACCTTGAGACTAATGCCCCATGTACTGTATAGAGTCATTGAATGCTGGTCAACTCATATTCTGTTTATATACTGTTGTTTACATACTGTGTATGTATATACTGTATTCTCGACATAGCTCATCCTAATATACATAATGTACTACTGTACATACCATTTTCTTTTCCAAATTATATACTGTCTATACACACCACATATTTATATTCTGGATGTATTAATATTCTGGTCTATACACACCACGTATTTATATTCTCGATTCTGACACATGCTCACTCTAATATATCTACTCTGGATTGTTAATTGGTCCCGTTTGTCATTTCTTTATATCTTGTTAAGATTTTTGAATTATTTGTATTGTATTTGCAAGACATTTACTGCACTGTTGGAGCTAGTAACATAAGCATTTCACTGCACCTGCTATAACACCTGCAAATCTGTGTACGTGGCCAATAAACTTTGATTTGATTTGTGCGTGACTCCATATTTACTGTAGCCTACATGTTCTCTGCAGATGTTTAAATACACACATCAAAGCATGAGGCATTCTATGTGAAAACACATTGGGTGCCTTCCTACTGAAGTATGACAAGTATATTGTCAATTATAAGTACATTTGAATGTGTGAGTCTTTAATATGCACACACAGTAGTAGAGTGTAGTGTAAGGTCCAACTGAGCCTTCTTGTAATAAAACTGTTTAAATCCACTTCGAGGACACAAAGGCGATAAGTCATCTTGTTCCGTTGTTGATTTCTAACTTCATATCAAATCCTATATGGATTTGCAATATGTCAATACTATTTTCTTTGACTGTAAATTGACCATTGATCAGGCACAGCCTGTCCCCTGGATCATGGTATTTGATGCATTATTGAGTGTGTGTGGTCTTGAGGGACCCTAGAAATGTGGGTTACATGGGACTATGTGGTGTGGTCTGGGGCAGCAGAGGATGAAGATGGATGTGGCTCTATGCCAGCCACCCACTGGGGGAAATGGAGGCTAACGCAGCCCAGATGTGATGTGATCCTGTCCCAATGACAGGTGAGGGTCCCTACAGGCTTAGAATGATGTAGATGGGGGGGGAATCAGCCATTTTAACCATCTTTGTTTTTACACTGCTGCTACTCGCTGTTTATTATCAATGTATAGTCACTTTACCCCTACCTACATGTACAAATTACCTCGA